TTTTAACTGTTCTTTGAGCTCAAATCAATAGTTACATATTCGATTTGGCATCCATTTTGGTGGCCATCTTGGATTTCTATGAAAAATAATTATTTTATGACTCAGATTTAGACATAAATCAAATCCTTGACCCCTAAAACATAGACATGGGCTCCAAAATCACTGTTCTTAAGTGATTCTTGAGCATTAACAGTAGTTACATATCCGTTTTTGCACCCATTTTGGCGGCCATCTTGGATTTCTATGAGAAACAATTGTTTGATGACTTAGATTTAGACATAAATGAAATCCTTGACCCCTAAAACCTAGACATAGGTCCTAAAATCACAGTTTTTGCATCTCAGTGTGCTTAGATATACCCACTCTTGTATTGTGACACGTACATTGGCGGCCATTTTGAAAAATGGGCGATAACACCCATTTAGCTACAACTGTTACAATGCTATCACATATTTTCTTACTCTAGAGGTCTTAACCTTCCCAAAAATCACTATGGCGATTATTCCCCTAATTTGATACCGACCAACCCCCCAGGCTGATGGCCTATTATTTTTATTCTAAAATTTAAATTAGAAGGTCAAGATAGTCACACTCATTTTTGATTCATTTGTCCATTTTATCTCCTATCTTGACAGGGTATATTATCTTAATTACAAAATCTTTAAGTGTATCATTGTCTGAACTTAACAGGTCATCTCTATACTTACCTGTCTTATTCAATAATTTAGAGATATGTAAAGTGTCGTCAAGACATATAGGTTGAAATATCAAATATCACCCTCTAAAGTACTTTAATTTGCTTTAAAAACTCAATCGGATGTCAGTGTCTGAAACTGAGACAATATTGACAAGCGAAATTCAAACACTATAACATCAGTTGTAGAAAAAGTTCCCCAGAGTATTGTGATGTATTGTGATGTCATATTAGCATAGCAATTGTAACTGTAGAAGCAATTCATAAAATATTTTCATTTCAAACTTTGCACTTCTAATGGCAATACATAGAGGTGTATTATGGGAAAGTTTGAACAAAAGTGGTGCAGAATTAACACAATACCAGCACCAGTCCTGTTTCTGTTTTGTTTCTGTTTTTTTCCTGCAATCAAATGGACATTACAAAGTAAATCTCATTCATACAGTGTGGATTGCTTAGGTATATTTCATGAATAATCAGGAATATTCATATCAGGAATATTGATCATTTTGGGATTTAAAATACCATATTCTCTGTAATTAGTGCCTTACTGAGGTGAAAAATTCAAAATACATCCTTCGGACCACTCTTATAGGTGCCCATAAATCGGAGAATTTCAAGGAATTTCTTATAATGGAATTTTTGTTCAACTTCAGGACGGAGTAACAGTATATTTTTACAATAATATCATGAATTGTTATTGGTGAGTTTATGGTAAAAATTGCTAAATAGACCAAAAATCTATCTAAGAGGGATGGCTTTGTGGATGGATGTTGACCCTTTGATACACTTATGGACTTGGAGATTTTTATTTTTTATATGTTAATTTCATCATGTTCATACTTAAACAAAATTGTAGACAATACTACCACCTAGTAATTTCTATCATATAATGATCAAATGATGAATGGTCTGAAAAAATATGTTTGATTGGTAGCATGGAGTTGTTTTCCTAATAATTTGCAAGAGATATAGTCTGAACGGTTAAATGCAAAAGACCATGTGCAGTATGGCAAGTGATTTTAGACAGCCATATCTTTCACCATGAGTACTTTCTGGGCATAAATACAATGGTATTTATTTAAACGATATGTTTTCTTTCAAGTGAAATAACCACGATGATAAAAATATCAATCGAACAATTCGAAAAATTATGAAAAGGGACCCCATGTCAACATTTTTTTTCAAAATATTGAACCTATTTACTCAAAATAGGATCTCCCTTTTCTGATTTCTATTGCATGAAAAGATTATTCAACAGGGGTCTAAAACATCTTAAAAAATATAATGGTATTGAAAGTCTAGTTTTGAAGATATCAATTTTCGATGACCAAAGTGATGCTGAAAACAATGGATAACACGAGTTTTCCCTATGGGAAAATAACATGGGATATGTGGTTTTTAACTTTAACCCATTTCAATATACATCCCCTTTTCAGAAATTGTTAATATAGTGTAGAAGAAACTTTCGATATGTTTAAATTGAGAAAAACAAGATCCTCTTTTTAGAAAATAAGCCTAACATTTTTAAAAAGTGCCAAGGTGGGGCCCTAATCCATAATTTTTCAGAGAGTTGGATTTATGTTTTACTATCATGGGGACTTCACTTGAAAGAAAACATCTTGTTTTAATAAAAAAAAACATTGTATTTATGGCCAGAAAGTACTCATGGTGAAAGAAATGACTGCCTAAAATCACTTGCCATACTGCACATAGACCTTTGTGCCATGTCCTCCGAGATTTGTACAAAATAAGGAATAAAGCTTGTTCTGCAATATCAGAAAAAATGATGAAAGCCTAAATACATAACACACAATATATGAAACACAAAATATTTTAATATTGAAGTCTGCATTCTACCATAGTGTATAGATATCTACATCAAATTTTGAAAAATATTATCTATTTTATAATTTATCTTTGGTGATTGAAATCATGAAAATTCTCATGCAGTTTTATCCTTATTAGCATTAGCACCCGTGTAGCTCAGCGGTAGCGCAGGTACCTCTTACGCAATAGGTCCCGGATTCGATCTCTGGTTCAGGCAAGACTAAATTTGCTTGTTTGCGTGAAGTACTTCAGGGTGTTTGACTGAGTGGTCCGCAACCGAAAAGCACAAAAGGCTGTGGTGTGTACTTGTATGTCTATGTATAAGTGCACATAAAAGAACACAGGGCTCCTTCAAGGAGGGGTTTCTTGGTCTATCTTCCATGTTAATTACGTAAATTACGACCGTATATATACGGGACATACCCAAGAGGTATTGCTCATCTTAATTGCTGGTAAACAAAATACGATACAATATTACAATTTCTAAGTACCATTTTAAAAATAATGGAAGGAACTGACCATGATTTTAGTGAATGCAGCAGATTTATTTTTAGTGAATGCAGCATATACCTGTTTTTTCCATTTCTGCTTCTGGTCCTGGATTCTGCTCAACACCACCTCTCACCAGCAGCATCTTGATGATCTTTCGCTTCAACGCCAACTGTGTTGGAGATGTTATGACTGTCGATGAATTGAGTGTCCTTTTTTGATGGCCTCCATCGAATATCCCTATTGTCATCCTCCATTGCTGAATTGATTCCCCCATGATCTTCTTGGTATTATACTAAACTGTTAGTTATTCTATGTTCAATATACTTTTGTTTTTAATAAGAGTTGTTTTTGTTTTTTCTAAATCTTTTTCATTTCATCTTTATAATATTTCTTGGTTCCATTTCAATATTTTTGTTAAATCTAATGTTATTGGCTCTTGGTACTTTTTAATACTAAGTGTACTGGCATACTTCTAATGTCTTTGAGACAAGTGACATTCCAAGCCCATCACATTTCCATCATATTTAAATAGAAAATCCTTGTCATGCTTTTGCATATTCCTTCTATTTTAGCTCTCGTTAGAGTCCTTTATATGTTTCTGTCTATTTGACATACTCACTGATATTCTGTTTTATGTAATGTTCATAATAGTTTTCTCACCAATGTTTTTATTTGTGCATTCTCTCCCGATGTTCATGATAATACACATGCACTATGTACTTGTACTTGAAAAACCTAATAAGTTTTTAAGTAACACAATAACTCTCAAAATGGACAGCAGTTGATTTTCTCAAGTTGTTCAATCTTAAATGACATTAAGCATTTTTAGGTCAGCCCAGCCTATTGGAGTGAAACCTGTATACCCGAAAAGTGAACACTTCTCGAATCTGAACACTTCTCAAATTGAACATTTTATCTCTGTCTCAAATTTTTTTCCTCAAATACATAAATATTTAAAAAACCTTGAAATGTGAACACCTGCTAATCTGAGCACGTTTTTCAAGCTCCAGTGCCATACTGATTGGACAGGTTTCATTGGACCTATCAGTATGTAGCATTTTCAAATGATATCCCAGTTGGGATAATGAGACAGTCATGGTAATGGGAAAACTGTGATCTTCAGATCATCAGGTGTTTTAAGGTGGTTCAAGTAATCATTGTACTGGTCAATCAGTGTCAACGCATTTGATGAGTTTTGATTTGTGTTTTTTATTTAATGTTACTGCCTCGTGCACTGTGTGTAGACAGGTCTGCTGGTCATAATTGATATCTAAAAAGGTTACAACTAGACAAGAATTAGTATTGTTATTTTATAACAGCCTCTTAATGATTGTTAAAAGAATCCTTATCTATGGTGGCAGTATTACACGTGAACTTTGTAATTGTACAAAATCATGGACCTCTTTGCTGAAAATATCAAAGTTTCAACATTACCTCATTTAGGTATGAATGTCAAACCAATTGCAATGAAACCTGTACATCTAAAAAGCAAATACTGTACTTTTGCCGTTTGCTGTTTTGAACATTTGGTGACTACTGAATTTGGTTGACTTGCAATATTGAAATGTATATACCAGACAAATACGATTGAAATATGAAATATTGAATTATGTGGCTACTTCATTTGGCAGACTTTAACAATTTGGCAAATGATATTGTATTAATCTTTTGACTAGATTTTGACCATGAAAGATCACACATGTTATTCTAGGATGTACATGTTATTCTAGGTTGTACATTGTAGTTTCAATAATGTGTGAAAATCCAAGAGAAATTGCATTAATGTGTTTCCCCTATTTGAAATACTTAAAATGGTTAAAACATTTACAGACAGAAGTAGTACATGTCCCACATAGGTTCATATTAATTAAAAGAGGAATTACATTCATGTATGTAATATAACTGTTGCTGCATTACCCCTTATAAAAATACTCAAAATGGTACAAATATTTACAGAATGTTAACATTTTATTCATGTTAACAGGTGATTTTGGAGATCCAGGAAGGTGCAGTAAAACCCAAGTATGTTGGAGAACTCCTCCAAGTTGTACATAAAACCATCACTGCAAAATGGTACAAATATTTACAGAATGTTAACATGTTATTCCAGGTGATTTTGGAGATCCAGGAAGGTGCAGTGAAACCCAAGTATGTTAAAGAACTCCTCCAAGTTGTACATAAAACCATCACTGCAGATCCTGATGCTAATCTAAATGTAAGTTACATTTACATCTCAAGTACAAATATTTTAAATAGAGAATTGTTGTCTCCATAGAGGATTTCATAAAATCTCAGAAATGGTAAAATTAGACAATTTGATAATACAAGATTCAGTTTATTTTCTGACTGAGGTCAGGAGGATACCCTTTGCATTCATTGACTTCGGTTCTTAAAAGAGAGCTTTATCTACACTCTGCACGCAGGGTATCAGGAAGAATATACAAAATATGGCAATCTGTTCGTTTGTGACTCTCACTATTTACAACAATGGTCTGTGAAAGTTATCAGTGTGGCAGAATGACATATGTATAGAATGTAAAAATGGTCATTAATCTACATAATGAAGTTAACAATTAACTGTTCAATACATAAAAAATACTTACATGATATATCACATGAAACTTGCATCTGAATTCATACAATTCTCCGATGTATGTTAGATATATCATTTTACCTGTTATATCACTTTATTAAGCATGTGTCTACAATTTCTGTGTTTTAGTTTTCTGATGAGGTAAATGAGAAGCTTGTGTCTCTGAAGGGGAGTATGGGACAGGATGCTATCAAGTTATGTCGCAAGTTGAACATCATCAAACAAGGGTAGGTCCTCGTGATGAATGCCATCCAAATGTTGACAGTTGAGGAGAAAAAGTTTATTTTCTCTTGATTAACCTCCCTGTGTAACAATGTATTGTTGGTTTGACGTTTGCATAAGTACACATTAAAATGTACATGTATGATTATTTGGGTGTTAAGAATATATTTAGAGATTTGCCATATTTATACAGCAGTGTTATACAGGGTTTTCCTATAGAGATTATGACCTAAAGTGACTAAATGTGAGTCTAGATATTGCAAGCTGTTGCATCTCATAAAGAGTCTTTCTGTATTTCCTCAATATATATTACAAGCAAAGACATCCGTATATTTTTACTCGGATTTATCTTATGTTCCATATATTTCAGTGGTAACCAAACCTCAAAGAAAAACAGAAAGCGCATCGAGGAAGATTCACATAACAACGGTGAACCACCAGAGAAAAAATCTAACATTCAAAATGGTGTCCATGACACACCCCAAGAAAATTTATCACCTGTGAAGAATGAGGTGACCAATGGGACAACTTTGGGTCTCACTGATACTCCCAAACCAACTGGAGACACCAGTGAGAGTAAATCAAGTAAAAAGAAAAAGAAGAGGAAGTCAGGAGCTGCAGATACTGAAACTATACTGACTGAAACTCCAAATACCACTAAAGCAGTTTCTTCGAAGAAAAAGCATAAAAAGAAAAACATTAATCAAGAGTGAATTTGATTGAAGTGTACGTAATTACACAAAGTGAATAAAATGGGAACTGATATGTATAATGTACATTCTGTTTTCTATGTTTGTATGAAATAAGGCATTCCTCAACTTATTGCTGATCAACCCCAGGATATCTTGTCTATGACGTCATAATAGTATCTGACCAACCCCAAGATATCTGGAGGTGCTGTACAATAATTGTCGCACAATTTGTACCAATAATCTTTCGAAATATTTTAGTATTTTTTTGTATTTGCGTGCAATTGAAATATATTGTCATTGCTGTTCACAATGGTATTATACACAGAAAAGAGGGTGTTGATACAGTCCATTAAAATGCTAATATGAAAAATTGGTATTTTGATCAATTTTTTATCAAAATGGCCAATCACCAGCAGAAAACCTCAAAAATAGCTTTGGCCAGCAATGGATTATTCCAAATGATTTAAATTTGAATTGTGGCTACGTTGCACCATATCTGGTCCTCCATGTAGTAACAGAATGGGCCGAACTCCCATGCAGTGTCTCGGTATAGACACTGCGGCGGGCAGACGAAGAAAATCCCCAAAATTTGGGGAAAATAGTTCCCTTTTTCATCATATTGTTACAGTATTATATTATATTATATTCACATTAAGTTTATCAATATGCATATACTGTAACTGATCTTCATTAGAGATCTTAGGTCAAGTCAAGGTCACAATGACATTATATTGTGTATCTTGTAAACATAACTGAACTGAATGACTCATTAACTCTTGGCCTTCTAGAAAGTACTGGAACTGTAATCATTTAATCAAGATTGAATCATGTGACTTAAGATGTCCAATCAGTGTTATTTTCTAGAAAACGTAACTTCTTGAAGCATCTGGACTATGCCTTTGCACTATATAATGAGAGAGCTGATTTGGGCTGTCAGCAGAATTTCAAAGTTTATCAAAGGACATCTTCTTAGCAGAAAATTACAGACACCTACTTTGGGAACATTTATAACAGTGCAAACATACAACCTGAGGACTTTATATGGACATATATTACAACACACACTATATAGGGATTATCATATACATTCGTGGATTATCATAAACATTTGTGGATTATCATCAAACATTTGTGGATTATCATCAAACATTATTGGATACAAACATTATAGGATTACAACAAACATTATTGGATTATTACAAACATTGGAGCATTATTAACGATTATTGAAACGCTTCGTGATCTGGAACATTCTCAAGGATATTTATCGACATCAAGAGACAGGCGTATCATTTCTCTACATCTACGTATCATAAGTATTGACTTTTATATATTATTGTCATCGCATTTAGTTTTCAAAAATATATTTCTGTACATTGTTATATTTTAATTGCTGTTTTTACTTTCTGTTATTTTCGAACGTAACAGAAATTGGGGGCTCGTCCGGGAACCAACTACAACAAGCACAAATTCAAATATTTCAAAATCTAAAACTTGCACTTTTAAATTGTGAAGACAGCAATTAATTGAAAATGAGTTTTGAGGTTGAGACATTTTTAGAAGCGCCCTCTTTGGAGGAATTTGATGATTTAAAGAAAACTGAACTTCTGGCAATTGCAAAACATGTTGGGCTATCAGTCAAAAGCTCATACAAAAAGGATACAATTAAAAACTTTGTACTTCAATATTTGGTCGCAGAATCACTTCTGCCTGAGCAGCCAGCCCAGCATGTTGAGCATGTTGATCCTATTAAGCTCAAAGAACTTGAATTGAGAGAAAAAGAGTTAGAAATTCAAAAAGAAAGAGAAATTAGAGAATTGAAAGAAAAAGAGTTAGAAATTCAAAAAGAAAGAGAAATTAGAGAATTGAGAGAGAAAGAATTGCAAATGCAAAATGAAAGAGAAAAAAGAGAAAATGAAAGACAAATGAGAGAACAAGAAATTCAAAGAGAAATTGAATTGAAACGTCTTGAGATAGAAGCTCAATCCAAAACTGATGAACATGCTACTATGCATCAACATTTTGAAAATAGGTTTGACGCTTCAAAATTTCTCAAATTTGTACCTAAATTTCAAGAGAAAAATGTTGATAAATACTTTACACATTTTGAAAAAGTCGCTCAGAGCCTAGACTGGCCTAAATCTGCATGGCCAGTTATGCTTCAGAGTGTATTCATTGGTAAAGCAAGTGAAATATTTGCCTCTCTCTCAGCAGAAGTATGCTCTGATTATGACCTTATTAAAAATGCAATTCTTAAAGCTTATGAACTAGTACCAGAAGCTTACAGACAAAAATTTAGAAATGCCCACAAACAGAGTGACCAAACCCATGTTGAGTTTGCTAGAGAGCAAGAGCAGCTTTTTGACAGGTGGCTTGTCTCTAAAGATGTATCTGAAGAGTTTAAAAAGCTCAGAGAGCTTATGCTAATAGAACAATTTAAAAACTGTGTTCAGTATCACATTAGAACTTACTTAGATGAACACAAGGTAGAAACTTTAAGCCAAGCTGCCACCCTGTCTGATGATTATGCTCTTACTCATAAGGGTAGTTTTATCAAAGGTAATCCCAACTTTAGAGGTTATCAAGGTAACAAACCTTCATATGATTCAAAACCAAATCAGTCCTCATCATCAAATGCATCAAACAAAGCAAAAGACCAGTCTAATTCATCACAGAATTCTAGCTCAAAATCAGATCAATCAAATTCTTCAGGTCCAAAATCAAATGTCACCTGTAATTATTGTAAAAAGCCTGGTCATCTTATTTCTGAATGCTATAGGATTAAGAATAGAAGAGAGATGTCTGGTTCTGCTCATTCAAATGGTTGTGCTACAGTTCCCATTTCAAGAAAGCCCATTGTTTGGGATTCATATACTCATACTGAGAAATCAACTCATAGTGATATTATGGAGGATTATAAGCCTTTCATGTCGGAAGGATCTGTGTCACTGTCACGTGACGGTACCAATTCAACGCCAATTAAGATTCTCAGAGACACGGGTGCATCTCAGACTTTGTTGTTAGAAGGTGTCCTTCCTTTATCTGAGGAGTCATTCACAGGTACCCATATTTTGATGCAAGGCATTGAATTAGGTTTTACTAAAGTTCCCCTCCATCGTATTCATATCACATCAGAGTTAGTCAAAGGGCCAGTTATTGTTGGTGTTAGGCCACAACTTCCTGTTGAAGGAGTCGCATTGCTTTTAGGCAATGATTTAGCTGGGGGTAAGGTATCATTAGACCCCATTGTTTCTGATCAGCCTTGTTCTATTGAGGATTCTGTCCAAGAGGACTCTGATATATATCCTGCTTGTGCTGTTACTAGGGCTATGGCTAAAAAGTTAGCTAATAGCGGGGATTCGTCTGTGGGAGATGACTTTGATAGTGGGTTTTTAAGCTCCTTGTTTGATGATGAATGTCACTCACCACTTGTTAAAGATGGTCCTTATCCTATTTTAAAGGCAAATTCTTCATTGAAACAGCCTTCTGTTCAAGCCAAGCAGTCATCTATTGAGGCAAATTCTTCATTGAAAAAGCCTATTGCCAGAGGTGATTCACCTTCTGAGCAGGATCACTATTTTAATGCGGTTTCGCCCGCTCTTGCTAGTCCTGATGAAGTTCCATCTTCTTCTGCTAGTGTTCATGAGGTTACATCCTCTTCTAGTTCTGAGGTTTCATCCTCTATTTCTGATAGTGATTCTTTGAAAAATGATCCTCATTCTAAACACATGTTAATTTATGAACAAGAGCATGATCCATCACTCATTGATCTTCATAAAAGATGTCTTACTATTGATGAAGCTGACAAGGTCCCTGTTTGTTTCTACAAAAAGGATGGCATATTAATGCGAAAGTGGAGACCTCCTGAAGCTTCCCCTGAAGATGATTGGACAATTGTACATCAAATTGTTGTCCCCAAATCGTATCATAAGGAAATCTTGAGTCTAGCTCATGATTCTCCCATGGCAGGTCATTTAGGAGTAACCAAAACATACCATAAAATACTCAATCATTTCTATTGGCCCAAATTAAAACAAGATGTCCAAGAGTATTGTAGGTCTTGTCATACATGTCAAATGGTAGGGAAACCTAACCAGAAAATTCCAACTGCTCCTTTACACCCTATACCTGCATTCGATGAACCATTTAGTAAGGTTCTTATTGACTGTGTTGGTCCATTACCAAAAACAAAATCTGGTAATCAATATTTACTCACTATTCTCTGTATGGCCACACGGTTTCCAGAAGCGATTCCACTTAGAAATATCAAAGCCAAAAACATAGTGAAATCACTCATCAAATTTTTCACCTTAGTTGGACTACCAAAAGATCTCCAGTCTGATCAGGGCTCAAATTTCATGTCAGGCTTATTCCAACAAGTCATGGATACCTTGGGTATCAAACAGTGTAAGTCAAGTGCCTATCACCCAGAGTCTCAAGGAGCTCTAGAGCGTTACCATCAGACGCTTAAGACCATGATCAGAGCTTTCTGTTTTGAATATGAGAAAGACTGGGATGAGGGCATACCCTTGCTTCTGTTTGCTACCAGGGAGGCTAAGCAAGAATCATTAGGGTTCAGTCCATTTGAGCTGGTATTTGGTCATTCTGTGCGTGGTCCACTTAAATTGCTCAAAGAAAAGTGGCTGTCAGAAACTGAAAAGTTTAATCTGCTGAACTATGTCACCGGGTTTAAAGAGCGCCTATCAAAGGCTTGTGAAATAGCCAAAGAAAATTTGCTAAATAGCCAAGATAAAATGAAAACTTGGTATGACAGAAAAGTCAAAGAAAGATCTTTCCAGCCAGGTGACAAAGTTCTTATATTGCTGCCACTTCAGACAAATCCATTACAGGCAAAATTCTATGGTCCTTATGTAGTGGATTCCAAGGTCAATGACCTCAATTATATTGTCAAAACTCCAGATAGGCGCAAAGAAACACAACTGTGTCACATCAATATGATGAAAAGGTACTTTGAGCCAGACAAAGAGCCTGGCTCAGTTAAACCTGTAGTCACTTTGGCATCTGCCCTTGTAAAAGAAACTGATCTACAAGATTCAGATGATATCACTTATACTGATTTAGACTATGAAGATATCAAAGGTTTGTCTAGGTTAAAGAACTCTGAAGTATTATCAAATCTAGATCATAAATTGCACCATGTGACAAATGATCAAAAACAGCAAGTCACAAAATTAATTCATGAGTTCACTGATATCTTCTCTGATGTACCGACTAAGACATCTATAGCTTATCATGATGTTGAAGTCCAAGATGTAACCCCTATTAAGCAACATGCTTATAGAGTTAATCCATCAAAATCTGAAGATTTGAGAGCTGAGGTCAATTATATGTTAGAAAATGACATAATTGAAAAGAGCAATAGCCCATGGAGTTCACCTGCTTTCATTGTTCCAAAATCAAATGGTGGACGTAGGCTAGTGGTTAATTATATCAAGGTGAATCGAGTAACAAAGACCGATTCTTATCCAATACCACGAATTGACGACTGCATTGACAAAATTGGAACTGCTAAATATGTCAGTAAATTTGATCTCCTCAAAGGATTCCTAGGGGTTCCATTAACTGAAAGAGCAAAACAGGTATCTGCCTTTGTTACTCCTGATGGTTTGTACCAATTTAAAGTTATGCCATTTGGTATGAAAAATGCACCTGCCACATTTCAAAGAATGATGAATGGCTTATTAGCAGATCTTGAAAACACTGGTGTCTACATCGATGATGTAATTGTGTATTCTGACACTTTTGATGAACATATGTGTTTGCTGCGTAAGTTGTTTGAAAGAATCTCTCTAGCCAACTTAACCATCAATTTAGCTAAGAGTGAATTTTGTAAAGCCACAGTTGAATATCTGGGCCATGTGGTAGGTCAAGGACAGGTCAAACCAGTGAGTGCCAAAGTGGAATCAATTACACAACTCCCAGCTCCTACTAACAAGAAAGAATTAATGAGAAGTCTTGGAATGGCTGGCTTTTATAGGAAGTTTTGTCCAAATTTCTCTTCAATTGCTCTTCCATTGACCAATTTACTTGGGAAAAACATCAAATATGTGTGGTCTGAGCAATGTCATACAGCCTTTGATAAAATCAAGGCCATACTAAGTGAAGAACCAGTGCTTGTTGCACCTGATTTTAGCAAGCCATTCAAGATCCAAGTAGATGCTTCTGATGTAGGAATGGGAGCTGTCCTATTACAAGAAAAGGATGGTATTGATCATCCAGTGTGTTATTATTCAAAGAAATTTGATAAACATCAGAAAAACTACTCCACCATAGAAAAGGAATGTCTAGCATTACTTCTGTCATTACAGCATTTTGAAGTATATGTTAGTTCACCAGTTCATGCAGTTACTGTATTTACTGACCATAATCCGCTGACATTCCTTCATAGAATGAAGAACAAGAATCGTAGATTGTTGAGGTGGAGTCTGTTATTGTCAGAGTACAATCTTGACATAAGACATATCAAAGGCAAGGATAATTTAATTGCTGACACTCTTTCAAGAGTGTAATGTTTCTATTTTTAAGAGGCTATTTGATTTATACTGCATTTGCCTAAGGCTTTGTATTGATATAATAAAAAGATTGTACTTAGAGTGTGATTTGATAATATTATTGTAATATGTTTTTTTGGGATTTTACTCAGTCTGTAACTATATAAATATTATTGTATTTGACTATTGTAAACAAATGTTATGTAAGTCTCAACCTCATCTTTAAAAAAATTGTAACCCTCGCTACACCAGATATTATTGTAAAAGTTTTTCATTGTATTCAAAACTTTTCTTTTAAGGAGGGAGGTGTTACAGTATTATATTATATTATATTCACATTAAGTTTATCAATATGCATATACTGTAACTGATCTTCATTAGAGATCTTAGGTCAAGTCAAGGTCACAATGACATTATATTGTGTATCTTGTAAACATAACTGAACTGAATGACTCATTAACTCTTGGCCTTCTAGAAAGTACTGGAACTGTAATCATTTAATCAAGATTGAATCATGTGACTTAAGATGTCCAATCAGTGTTATTTTCTAGAAAACGTAACTTCTTGAAGCATCTGGACTATGCCTTTGCACTATATAATGAGAGAGCTGATTTGGGCTGTCAGCAGAATTTCAAAGTTTATCAAAGGACATCTTCTTAGCAGAAAATTACAGACACCTACTTTGGGAACATTTATAACAGTGCAAACATACAACCTGAGGACTTTATATGGACATATATTACAACACACACTATATAGGGATTATCATATACATTCGTGGATTATCATAAACATTTGTGGATTATCATCAAACATTTGTGGATTATCATCAAACATTATTGGATACGAACATTATAGGATTACAACAAACATTATTGGATTATTACAAACATTGGAGCATTATTAACGATTATTGAAACGCTTCGTGATCTGGAACATTCTCAAGGATATTTATCGACATCAAGAGACAGGCGTATCATTTCTCTACATCTACGTATCATAAGTATTGACTTTTATATATTATTGTCATCGCATTTAGTTTTCAAAAATATATTTCTGTACATTGTTATATTTTAATTGCTGTTTTTACTTTCTGTTATTTTCGAACGTAACAATATATGTGGTCAATTTTCACACAACTTATAAAATATGTATTCATAAATGTTCCCCAAACATTATTTTGTCAAAATATTTCAAAATCATTGAAATATGAGAAGAAATCACCGCGGAAGGAATTCTGAGTAAAAGTTGTGTTGATAATAGTTTACCGCACGTGTTGTTTATCAGTTAATACGTGCAATTCAACCAATGAAATTGTCTAAATTTAACAATCACGCGACCTGAGCATGGGACTATAACCAATCACGTCAGTTGTTTATTAAAAGTTACCATGCTTACGGTGAGATACCTGCCCGCCGCAGTGATTCACACAGTATTTTTAAATCTAGATCAGTGCTGCCATCTATTGAAAAGCATCTCCCTCGGTATATAAGTAAAAACTCATTTTGCAAAATGTAATGATTGTCCTCACCTAGAGAAAACTCGTATAGATGCCATATCACTGTTGACTTGTTTTTCTTAAATAGATGGAACTATTGAATTTTGATGAAACTCAAGTTTGTAACATAGGCTGAATTTAACTCAACCCATCTACAGCAGTAATGGTACAAAAGTATATGGCTAAATGGGAAATTAAACACAATTCAGATGTTATAAATGACAATATAATCATAAATTATTTATTTCATGAGAGGGATGTAATATGGTCTTTATTCGGCGAAAATGGACTTTTGAGAAATATTTTGTGACGGCAATGGAGCATTTGGTCTATAAAGATGGATAACTAGATGTCAGTATGTGTTGTTAAGATTAATACCAGCAATTGAAAAAATAGAAAGTCATTTCTTGATTTATTGAACATCTCTGAATGGATGATTGTCAAACTCCATTAGCATACAAGATGATCTTGTTGACATGGCAATGTTAAACCTTAAAAAACTATAAATCACTTTGGAAGATTTTTTAACATTGTGTCAATGGGAATTTAGCTACTTTCATAAAAGGTAAAAATCCTTGGAAATAAATACGGTATGTTCATAAAATTGTAGAAAATGTAAGTCCTCATTGGATAAATATGCAAATCTTTTAAAATTTCATTAAAATGAGACTTCATGGAGATTTTAAGGCTACATAGCAAATGTTTAATAAGGAGGGGAGAGGAGATGGCATTATACAAGCTGCAGAGTACAACCAAACATTATTTAATAAAATATACATTTATTTATTTCTGTGGAGATTATATCCTACATATACAATTGTATATACATGTACATATACATGTATGTACATATACATGTACATCTCTATGGTATTTCATATTGCACGATTACTTTCATAGCATTCTAATGAGCATACATATTAATATTCATAACAATGAGCGTACATATTTATAACGTCTCTCTGTAAAATTCTCCGTTCAATTTTTGTTTTTGAAACAGCTCTTCCTATTTGAAAATTGCACCTCAATATGAAAGAAAACAAAAGTAAATTCAGAACATCGGAAAAAAAGTTTCAACGGAAGGTTTAGAGTTCCAACGAGATCACTAAACACATTTAATTCACGGGGGCCTTTACAAAAGAACACATTCAATGAATCGCAGATTATTATTTACAGCCAAAACAAACAATATTTAAACATTACATGGCTTAGGACACTCATCCTATCAAATTACATATTTGTAGTTCATTAAAACTCAGTATTGAACTTTCAAAACATTGATGCATCGAAAACCTGTCAGTTAATGACTTTATTGAGAAAAATCAAGTATTTGTATCAATTTTGGTTCACCCAGTGTTATTGTGTTAAACTTTCAAGTACTCAAAATCTTTTGATTTACGTTTTTTAAATGTGGTCAAATATACAACCATATAGGTGTCATGACCACAAATCTGTTCAAATGTTATTATGTTTTAATGAAATAAATAAAAAATAAGGAATTCGTACAATACTACTAGAGATGCTCGAAGGTCGTTCAAATTGCTGGGTATACCAGCCCAGTATGGAATTATAAATTATCCATCATAATACATTTTGCACAGCTCTAACATAGATCACAAACATAACAATTCCTCATATTACTATATACACTTATCACATATTAACAGATTAATTAGGATTATGTCCAATGATATTTCATCTTATCTTCAGTGATTTCAGAATTTTTAAGGTTGATCGAATATTAATGACATTTAAATCAATAAATGTGGTACATTCTCTTAGTTACCATAGCAACACTGTTACTAGTTTTATTTTAAGAAAATGAAGTTAATGACATTTGCTCCCATTAATATCTCATTAATTTACAATCACTCTTCCAAGCATTTAAATAATAATTAGATCTCGATGATTCTGCTATGATTTGCCGCTAGTTGACGTGGTAACAGCAACAGCATTTGTCATTATTCCAGATACGGTTGTCGTGGAAACTATACTAGGTACTGATACCATGATAACGTGTTGCTCTGGTACCATTTGTGGCTGCATGAAGAATATGGGGTTTTGTCCCATTTGCTTAATCATTTGAGGACTAATAATGTTATTAAGGTTCACACCCCCTTGGCCTACTACAGTCAATGGAGATACCAACTGAGTCCCTGGCATTTGTAACAGCTGGGTGGGGACCGTTTGTCTTGTAGTGGGGGTAGCGCTTGATCTTGCCACAGTTGAGGGGGTGGGGGTAACAACAAGTTGAGTCCCTGGCATTTGTAGTAGCTGTGTGGGGACTGCAGGTCTCGTGGGGGTTGTGGTTGTCCTAGCAACAGTTGATGGGGTAACAACTAGCTGAGTTCCAGGCATCTGTATAAGCTGTGCAGGGACCAGAGGTCGAGTAGGGGCCATAGTTGGACTTGGGGCACCAGAGGGAGTAAGTGTAAAAGATGGAATTGCACTGATTGTAACAGGGGTACGTGGACTTGTCTGGGATGTCTGAGGAGCCGCAGCCTGGAGAGTTTGCCCCATGAGTTGGCTTAAGTTCAGCCCCGGGCTTAAAATCTGACCCCCAGACAAGACTTGATTAAGGGGGACTGTGATGTGCTTCATAAGCTGTGCCCCTGTTGTATTGTTATTATTGGATTGCGATGTCACAACAGGAGCTGGCTGAAGTGACACAACTGGACGCAGTGTGGTAACATCAGACTGCGTTCCACTAGGAGTTGGCTGGAGTGTCACAACTGGGCGTAATGTCGTCATTGTTGCTGTAGTTGTTGATTTTGACAAACTGGCTTTAGCTGGAGATGCTGTAATTGTCTGTGTCATATTTGGAAATCGCGATATTGTAATTTGATTGGGTTGTGGATTAGGAGTCAAAGTATAAATCCCCTTGTTATCAACATTCAATTGTCCTGTTGTAACTGGCGTCAAAACTGGTGCATTCTGGGATATCAGGGTCCCTTGCGCTGATGTGACGTTAGCCACAATTGCACCACCCGTCATTGTACCTCCGCTGACGAGGTTTGGAATTGCAATACGATGGATGACTGGCCGATTCCCCGTTGATGCAGGGGTGGAGACAGGAACCGGCGTCTTCGCTACATTTGTGAGAGGCGTCAAAGCTGAAAGAAAATCAGAGATGAATTTTGAAAAATGTGAACACTTTTTGCCAGGTTCAAAGCAATAATCAAAAAATATTTATATTGGAAGGTTACCATTAATAATAGAGCTATCTCCAATTTTCTTGACAAATATAAACACAGACGTCATCTTTTATTTTACTCATGACAAGAAACACACTCACTAATTCCACTTGTGGCCTGCAGTGTTCCTGGAACACTATGAGATCTTTGTAATATATTCTGATGCACAATCGCTTGTTGCCTAGCAACAGCTTTCTGCGCAATGGTCTGTTGAAGGATCTGTGTAACGGGGGTACGCATTTGTGTCACTGAGGCTGATTTTTGAAGAACGTGGGTGGTCGACTTTGACATTGGTACAACTGTTAAGGAACTGGATCTCTGAGCTGCAAGAAAAATTCAAAACTCTTAATATTTTCACAAGTGATTTTGTAAAGGAATGTTAGCAGTACATAAGAGAATACATGTTTGAGGGGATCAATTGGGGGTCTTCTTATACCTCGCTTGTAGATGATTGGATTTTGCAGATTTTACACTTTATATCATTATATAGTGTTTTTGGCAAATTTTTGTAGTTACAAAATAGAATACCATAATTTGCTTTTTAATGCTCTTTATAACCCCAAAGTCTAGATGATAATTTTATCAGTTCAAGTAACATCCAGGAAAACTGTAAAATCTTAGAGTCTTACAATAATTTCAGTCCCTCCCAATCTCAAACCTTGCTTTCCACAATTTGTGTTTGAATTTAGCAAATGGAAAAGGGGAGCTGCGATTTTATTATTTACCCAATATGTAACACTAATCCTGATTGGTCAATACCTAGTCACGTGTTCCGAAATAGATTTACTATTTCCCTCGGAAAGTTATATTCCCTCAAATGTGACGTCAGCGGGAATATACATTTGAACTATTGCCCGCTGACGTCACAATTGCAAGTTCTATTACCCTTGGAAACGTCTGCGCATCATCACTGCGCAGACGAAAAACAGAAAAATGGAGGATGAGCACAAACACAAATCAACTCCGTTCACCATGACAGACGTGCGTGAACGATACAATATAAGCAACGTGTATAAAGTTCCCTAAGCTCAATACGTCTGTGTAATTTTAAGTGTTATGGTAATCTATTCCGCGTGTTAAACGCGATTGAATTTGTCAAGTGAGAGTCTCAGAGGCAAAAATTTCTGTTGAGCATCTGATGACGTCACAGCTTATAATGCTAACAATGGACCCGGGGAGGGGGCTTTCTAAGCCTTTTTGGCCTTCGCAGAGGAAACGGGACAAGAGTCAGTATAGGGTATATAATAAAACAAATAGTGACTGCGGCTTCGAGAATAGTACATTGTAGAGGATATTCCCTCGGGGAAATAATTTACATTATTATATACCTCAAATGTATTCTAGATGTTCATTGGCTTATTCATGGTCACATGACATGGAATAGATGAACTAATTCCCTGGAAAGTCCTAAATCCCTGCTTTCAGGGAAGATGAATTGTACTAATCACCAGTTAGGTCATGTGACCAGTCAATAGTACGTTTTATCTTCCCCCAAATCTGAGATTATAGGAGTTGAAAGGTAAAATGCCTTTAAATGCCAATAAGAACCTGTGAACGTTTGATATTGAAATGAAAAGACTTCTCATTTTGTTTTTGTTTACAGAGTACTTATCGGGTATATAATAAAACTATTGCCCTCAATGGCAGTCACTATTTATATACTGTCTTACAACAATTTTACTCCCATTCATCGACCTTGATTTCTCTAATCTGTCAATTTTAGGAACTGAAAGTGACTGAGGGTTAATAAAACAGGGACTTTTATACCGCTACTTACTTCACTTAGAATATTAATATAAACAGCATAGTCGTGACCTTCAGTCCTACAACAATTTCCCCCAAACCACTGACTTTGTTTCCTACTTAGTAACTTTTTGGTTAAAACCACCTACCTGCTTGGCTTAGAATAGTTGCCACTGTGGGGGGTCTCCCATAAGCATGACTTGACCCCGAGTTATGGCTTGTGGCTAGGGGTATGCTCGAACTTGGCGGAACTATGATCCTTGCAGGTTGTGCCAACTGCGCCCGGAGTCCAGAAAGAGGCTGGGCATTTTGGATCTTATTTGGGTGAACCATTACGTAAGATTGCGTTGTTGTAGTTGGTATAGATGGTGCTTGACTCTGTGGCCCATCAAACATATCCTCATCGTCAGAGTTTATTGGTGTTCCCCGCTCTGAAATAAAATTTCAAAAATGAAATAAAAAATTTCATCTTATAACTTACCTTACAATTAAAAAAATCAGGAGAGTGTTATATCTACACCACAATAAAGCTATGGAAGTCTTAAAAATCCTCCATTTCCCACACATCGTAACCCGAAACAGTAAGGATGATTGGACAGATGGGCAGACAGACTGACATACAAGTGGGCAATTCCATGTAATTATGGTAATAAGGCATTAACATGCAAAATGTTACCACCTGCCATTTGTTACAGATACCGAACACCATCCACAAAAAGTTGGAGACCATAACACTTGTGGTGGTAACATAAAAAGTTAATCATTGGTACCTGTAGCAGTGTTTGTAGAATTAGACATCTGGTCGTCAGCTACGGCCCATACACTCAGGTCAAACCTTACGTTCATGGCCTGGAGCTCATTCTTCAAGACATCCAGTTTATACTGGTTCTTGATTTTCTCGCTGGCTAATCTCTGCGTCTCAACTTCGTATTCCCTTTCACGTCTTTTCAGAACCTTGAACACAAAAATGAAAGATATTTTGTGCTTTTTTGCTAAATGTAAAAATTATTATTCTTTTTTTGAAAAATGTTATATTCAAAGTTTTAAAGAACAATTAACATTTTAAAAAACATTTGTTCAAATTTTGGGATCTTAGAAGGTAGAATAAGGCAGACATGGGTAGGTATGGGATACATCTATATGATGTATAGTCAATATATCGTTTATTCAAGGGAGATACATGTATTTCCATTTCAAAACCTTCCAGTACATAACCCTTATTTGAGTCCAGTACATAACCCTTATGTTGTAGATTATTGTTATAGTTATTGGCCTTTGATAGGGTTAACAATGTATCCCTGTTACCTCATCCTCCGATCACAGGGCTTCAAAATCTAGAATATATTCTTTCTTTTTACCTCCTGCGATAAGCAGTTAGCATTTCCCAGATTATGAAATCACAATCTGATTGGCTGTCGCAACACTGCGACAGAAATCATGTATAAGTCATTGCGCATAATTGGATCACGTGATTCAGTTTAATCGGGCGCTTCCAAATTGGTTATAGCAGGGGGAAGAAAGAGGTACAGCTTCTGGATACCTGCTTAGGAGGATGCTGTTACCTCTTCTGAAAATGTTTACCTGGATATATTTAAGAGCTCCTCGTAAGATGCTCAAGTTGGAAGTCTTCTTTAGGTCTTCAATTGAAGGAATCTGACTTTTCAGCAGCTCAAAACATTCCTTCAAGTGAGCTCTCCTGCAATAAATGAATGTGTTATCTCTGCATGAGTTATAAACAATATGAAGTTAAGTATTTCTTCAATCTGTATACTATACTGACACTCTTAAAATTTGGATATTTGATGACATGAGCTTATGTAAATCTTAAAAATCTTAAAAAATATTTCAAATTTGAAGTGATTTTCATAATCAATTTATATTGAAGTAAGCAGCACAATCAATGGATGCAGAACATATTGAAGTAAGCAGCACAATCAATGGATGCAGAACATATTGAAGCAAGCAGCACAATCAATGGATGTAAGACATATTGAAGTAAGCAGCACAATCAAAAGATGCAAGTCATATTGAAGTAAACAGCACAATTAATGGATGCAAGTCATATTGAAGCAAGCAGCACAATCAATGGATGCAAGTCATATTGAAGCAAGCAGCACAATCAATGGATGCAAGTCATATTGAAGTAAGTAGCACAATCAATGGATGCAAGTCATATTGAAGCAAGCAGCATAATCAATGGGAGCAAGTCATATTGAAGCAAGCAGCACAATCAATGGATGCAAGTCATATTGAAGTAAACAGCACAATCAAAAGATTCAAGTCATATTGAAGTAAACAGCACAATCAATGGATGCAAGTCATATTGAAGCAAGCAGCACAATCAATGGATGCAAGTCATATTGAAGTAAACAGCACAATCAATGGATGCAAGACATATTGAAGGAAGCAGCAGTGGATGTCAGATGACAAATGGAATAGAATATTATGTATAATGATCAACAGATGTCATGAACGTCACAATCCAGTTGTATCAAGGATAGAATACACCTCATGGTATTGGTACACAATGACTTTGTGTTATCTAGAACAATTCACATTTGACAGCCATAAAAGAATGTGAAAGAATGCCTAGTAGATCTATATCAAAGTGACCCAGCCCAAATGCCTTGATGAATTACTCTCACATGAATAAGGTCAATGTTGGGATGAATACTGTTGTAGTATTGGTATTTGTATTTTTAGTGCTCATACATACAAGATTTTCACAACAAACAGTCTACTTCATCTGTGGAGGGATGAGGAAGTTTGGAAATGTGGATGAAGCATTGCACTGTACTATGTAAATATGAGGCATTGTTTCTAATGGGACCTCAACCCTGTCAAACTTGCCAGGCAAATTAGATAAGCCCCTCCCTCCAGTCACGTGATCAAGCAAACACTTATTTATCGTGAAGATTTCTCTGTGGCTTTCAGAACATTTGAAGGCCTACTCAAATGGATATTGAAAGAAATACTAGGGAAATGAGACTGACAGTTTTGAGTAAGTTTCCAAGAACTTTAAGAAGGCGTAAAAAGGAAATCACAACACCTACTTAATATTCATGAGGTGCATAATGAGCTTGTTCAAACCACATGTAAGGTTACAAATAATCATCTAACATTTACCTGTTTTTCTCCAGCTTGTTGTGCACTTCCCTAGTCCCAGACCTACAAAGTAATACATAGATATCATTGTGGAAAAACAATACATTCAACTAAACATTGCAAGAGATTTGATTCCCACAGTCAGTTTTCAAATCGATCACGAGTGAGTGTCTAAAAATAGTGCCAACAAATATGGTGACGTACCCTCCCGGTCTGGATTTGAGATCGTATTCATTTTCAGACAGAGAATTCCCACGATCCGTCCCTCCCTCTCCAGAGCTGTCATCTGCAGAACCTTGGGAAGGTGCTGGCTTAGAATACGAGTGCGAATCTTTCACTGGATCTACAAAAATAGGAGACAAAAATCAACATTTGTTCATATTAATTGGGGTAGCCTTATTTGAATATGCAAATCAGTATCGTTGCGTGGGGTGGTGAAAAATACTCCCAGCATCTGTCTCATTTGCAGCTTTTAAGACAATCATCCTGATCTAAATATAAAGCCAAAATATTAAGAAATGTGCATACTTTACAAAAGCAATAAATTTTGTATCATTCATCCAACAGTTGCTGCACAAATCGGTTGACCTACTTAACAGGTCTATGTACCATGTGCTTTACATACCACGTGTAGGCTTAACTGTGTGGCTCTTCCATTCCACATATTTGGCCGCTTCTAGTAAGGTATCCAGGCTCATAACTTCCGTACACACACGATGGTTGTTTATCTTTATCCGTGGCAGCGAATAAAGAATAAATAATGGTGCATATAGCTTGATTTATCGCTTAAAGAACGACTCAAATTTTAGTCTCTATGTCAAAATGGCGGTGTGTTGATCAAAACAGTGAGTACATGCCAAATAGTAATATCACGTGGTATGTTGATTGACGGGTGGGTTTTTGATGGCCAATAGGGAGTCAATAATTTTGACGCCGCCTATAAATTTGATCACGTGGTCAATATCATGTGCTTTTATTTGGCTTTTGAATAATTGGATGCCCTCCCTCGTTCGATTTCCTATTTTGTAAAAGAGATCTGGGAACAGTATTATCTTTGACGCAGGGAATCCTATGTGCAGAAATATGTTTTTGTAGTCAGCGAACCCATTTCCAGCCATTTGACTCCCGGGCCGCACATATAAACCGGAGGGGACAGAACATCTTCAAATTGAATGCTGTTATCCACTGTGTCTAAAGATGTCGCTGTCAGTTGTCAAATGTCATCTCCACTTTTCTCCAATTTCACGAGAGTTAGAAAATGTCAACTTCTCAGATTGGATTTGTTACATAGATTATCTGATATCTCAGTATTTTGTGAATGAATGATGTTGAAAACAACACATATGACATTTAGTAGCTGATTCCATACATTGGTATAATTACAGGTAGATTCATTGCGAAGAAAGGTAGGAAAATTGATTTACGTGTGGCCACGTATTTTTTAGGATTTTTTTCATTTTTTTTGATTTTCAAGATATTTTTGAATTTTATTTTAGCATCGACGTAGCGCTTTCTTTATAAGTAGTACGCCCACTGTAGCCCAAGTAGACCGAAGCGAAAAACGAGTGTTCATGAGTGGGAATTTTGAAATTTGGATGTATTTCAGTGTATTTGCGACCATCTGTGCGTATCAGGCATACCGGGTGATACGCCTATACGGCTCGGACCGGTACTTGGGAATGACAAGTCGGGTGCAAAATGTGGCCGGATTCAGTTACAGACTTCAATATCCGAAAACCGAACCCATTTCTGTTCTATATAATCACACGATTCTATGCCTGGATATTGCAAAATGTCTAGAAATAAAAGAATATGAACTAAATCTCACCTTAACGCTGATAATCACTATTTTTTGTGCTTTTATTTTTCGACCCATCATATTTATGATACCCAGATGTATGTCATAGGAATTCTAATTTTTCGTTTCAATTGTCTTACCTTGAGAAATGTTGGCGAACATCCTCTTACTTAACTTTGTTGGGGTCTGTGGTGGTAAAGTAATTCCAGACTTGAGATCGTTTCGTCGACTTTTTTTTTGCTGCAGCAGTCGACATGTTTATGATACCCGGATGAAGGTCATAGGAATTCTGGGATACCCGGAAGTAAACAACAACGATGGAAGACAAAAGTTTTGTCATATTTTTCATTGAAAATAAGAATTTTGAAGCAGTTTGACAAGATCCTGACGTATAAGTTTACTTTCTTGGACTATCATAAGTTAAAGTTCGGTTATTCGGATTCGGATTTATCTTGACCAAAACGGTTTTCCAGTGATCTCCGCACAATATGATTCACCAGGCGGCCCGCCTGGTTGAACATTTCCTGCGCCTAGTTGGCGCCTGGTTGAAACATTTCTCCAGCCTTAATGATTAACTATTAATGTTGATCGGGTACTCCAAAATTGTCACTTTTGGGACCTGATTTCAAGTCTAAAATACAGGTTATTTACGCTATATTTAGCTCTAAAACTTGATATACAATAAGATTGGGTTTGGAACTCAACAAATATAGCAATAAATTATCGCTACCTTATCTAATTGCACTTCGATTTAATAAAATGCAAACCAGGAAGTGTTTTGTAATAGGTGAGACTTCACAATTAATAAATGTTGATCGGGTAGTTACTGCCGATCAACATTAACAAAATCTTGATTCGATAAAATGAAGGGCTGTCTAACCTTTACGAGGACATCTCAAGTGCTGCAGACAATACAACAATTAAAATCTTAATAATCTCAACTGAAAGTGAAAACCACATTTCAAGTGTAAAACCTGCATAAACTGAGAGGAGACAGAAAGCAGAACTATCTCACAATGAATAGCATGGGAATATCCTCCCTTTATATTTTGTCTAATTGGTTACATAAAGTGGAATCTGACTAGGGAAGGACAATCCCAATATTCTATTTTATGGCTTTGAGTGTCCTCCATTAGACAAGCTCAACACAAAAACAGAGAGATCATTCTGTCAATCAACTGGACAGCACTCAAACATTAGAGGGGATTTTCAAGATCACAATGATATCATCAACCTGTTTCTCAGTTCAATGTTTCTCCTGAATAACTGCAAATAACAAGATTTGAGATAATAAAACTAATGCATAAGAGTATCCCTGAAAATGAATCGATGAAGGTTGAAATTTTCCAACAAATTTTACGAGAGGGGCAAAGTACCTCTGTTGCTACTCAGAAAAAAGTTTGACAGGACCAATTTTAAGCCCCAACAAAAATGGCAACAGAGAAAAATTGAGTTTTAGCACCATGTATTGCTGTTTTATTATGGTTATATTTGAATGGGTTATGAAGAGCTATATTGATTAAGTCAGCAGGTTTATGATTGGAAAAATGCGAGCGAAGTGAGCGGCGAATTTTTAGGGTGACAAAATTGTGCACCCAGTTGGGAAAAAATCCTGGGGAGAACACTGTTTTCGGTTGTGATTTTCACAACCGGTCCGAGCCCTAAATGATGGGGATTGGGTAATAAGTCAAAGTCATCTTCATATTTTATCAAATCAAAGGCATGGTATTACAAAGAAATATAACATTGTTTCAGGGATAAAGTTGAAACAACAAAATTGTAGAGAATCAATCAATCATCATTAGGCCGAAGGGGTATATTGTCGACACCATTTTTGGGTAATTTAGACATAAGGGGTAACTTCATTACACTTTGTTGTTTATTTGCTCTGATTTCCGATCTAGGGGGAAGCCTAGTTCAACAAGTTAAACCTAGTCTGGGCCTTATTTCTTATCTGACATATATTGTGGCCCACCCTAGGTTTAACGTCCGTGCCTATTCGGCCCTTGATGCAAAAAAATTAATGGTGGCCTATGGCAGCACATGGAATTTCATGCACGTTTTATTAATAAATGATAGTGAGAATTTTCAACCAATGAAAGCATAGCACGGAAGTTAAACCCAACCACGGCAACAAGAACACTCAGATTAATAAATGAAAGCCGTGGTATCGGGTTTAACTTGTTGAACTAGGGGGAAGCCATGTTTTTTTTTCTTGCATGGATCGAGATCTCATGAGATTTAATTTTTCCAGAATTAAACATGGCGGAAAATGGTATTCTAAATTCTAAGTTAGTGTTGAAGTTACCCCATTTCTCATGTCGACATTACCCCACACTTGGACGCTACACCCCTTTGCCCAGGCCTATGAGATTTTGAAACGATAGCATTTAATTTAGCATGTAACTTTTCCAACTGAAATCCAAGTTTTGTTTCATCAGTCATTCAAGGCAGCTTATTTCAAGAGAAAAGAAAAATTGACGACTTGTTGAAGGATAAACTGGTCAGGCACGTAGCCAGAATTTTCCAAGGGGGGTTCACTTTTCCAAAATAATCTAGGTGGGGGTTCACTTTGGCAAATTTGGCGAAAAATCACACAAAAAACAGTCAGAATGGTGAAAAACTGCATGATTTTGAAAGAAATTTTGGCCAGGGGGGGTTGGCTACAGGCCTGCTGGTAGTGGTTTTGTTCAGTGCAATTGTTCCTCAATCCAGGTAATGTTCTGTCATTAATTTTTTGTCTTATGGTATCAATATTTATTTCAAGTCGCTATTGACCAACACCTTCATTTTTTGCCAGATAACCTAAAAATGAAAGGATTATCCTACAATTAAGTCAAATTCATATAATTTGTATTATATACTAGGGTCTGTCATGATCTGATGGAGCCCCTAGTTAGATAAAGTGTGAAAATCAAAATGTCTTGTTCTTGTATTTCAGTAAACATGGGGTTTCAACCTGTAGAGAATTTCAAGGGGTTCATGACACATCGTCCTCCACTGGTGATGTTCATGATCACCCTTGGAGTCTTCGCTGTCATCCTGGTATCTGTGGCATACTATGTCAAACTGAACGATCTCCAAAACCCCGATGTTAAGGTATGTTTTTGTTAACAGTACAGGGAGTCCATTAAGTCTCATTACAAAAGTCTCTAACTCTTGTAGAGGGACTCTAATATGGATAATCTGTATTTATGTTATGATCATATACAATTTTGTTCGTGGAAGTCCATTGCAATACAGTCTCTAACTCTTGTAGAGATACTTTATGGACACCCTGAAATTTTATTTTACGATCACTCACAATTTTTTTTGAAATTTAGAGACAATGTGAACTTCAAACTAAAAATATTAGACATACAGTAAAACCTGTGTAATCCGAATGCCATTGAAATTTGCTGAATGTATTTAGATTGGAAGGTGTTCACATTTCTATGTTTTTAACATGAAAGTTAGCATATGGCAGGTTAAAATTTGGGACTGAAAAAGTATTCCTATGGTGAAGTGTTCAGATTAAAATGGTGTTTGGATATGTAGGTTTTACTGTTCATGTTTATTTATATTGGAGGGCAAAAGGGAACACAAGACCTATAAATAGACTTAAAATACCAAAAAAGGGAACATGAAAAGCCTAGGCAATAAATACTTCGACTTAAAATAGCAAATAAAACTGGGGTGATATTCTTTAAGTAAGTAAAACCTGTCTTAGTGAACACCTCTCTCTAATGAACACCCATCTCTAGTGGACACCCTCCCTCGGCATATACTCTACTGACTTCTGTATAAATTACCCTTTCTTTAATGAATGCTTACCAAATCTGAACATTTTTTCTTGGCAAAAAAATGTTTAATATAACCGGAGTTCATGTTCATCCATATAGCAGCTTAGTTTGAATTATTATCATTATAAACCTAAAATATACAGTATTCGGAATACTATTACAGGACTGGAACAACTTCCTTGAGAGCTTTTCAACCTTAGAATTCTGTGTGACGGGGAATTTGACCGAGTCCTCCGCAACAGAAGAAACCCCGACCACCACCCCACTTTCAAAGAAATCAAAACGTGATAAATTGCACAAAAAGGGACACAAACTAACAACCACTCCAGTTGAAGTGTATGATGAAACTCAGAGGTAAAGGAGAGTTGAAATGATGAATAAAGATCATAGTATTTTATTTTGACAATTCTAGATTGATCCCTATTGTTAAAGTTTTATATATTGCTATTCCAGTGCAGTAAACATAGTAGATATTGTTCTTAAAAATCTACAAATATAAAATTTTCTTGAAATATACAAAAAATGTACAAGACCTAGTATACAGTTATTTCTCTTACTCTGGTGAATCAAATGAAAAACGTTAAATAAGGTGGTCATTTTTGATACAATATTGTTCACTGTGTGCCTTGTTTTGTTTTAGAAATCATTCAGTGTCACTCCTACTAACAGTGGAACCGACCATGGAGTTTGTGCGTCAGTCCCACAATATCACAAAACTTTCTGCCATTGTCTATGGACATCATTTGGGCCTTAGAGGTAACATAGAATTTTTGTTGTAATTGTTTTTCACAAAACCTATATCGATCTATTCAAATATTTCTGTTTATCGTATGATCTGTAAAATGAAGCCCTCTGATTGGTCAGTTCTTGTGCTGTGCCAATCTGTATTGCTACTGAGATTGTCCCCGTTGATCATCTCTGTCGCAATACAGAAAATATTGGTACGGAGGGGACAATATCAGTAGCAATACAGAGGATCACATGATCGTCTCGTTCCAATAAAGAATTTCCGAGCAGAATATATCCTGTATTGCACTTCAAATCATTCAATAACTTATAGTGTTTTCATTCATTAAAGACTAACATGCACTTGTCATATTGAATGAAAATGTAAAAAAACAGTTTTATTTCTTAAACTACATTTAAAGCAGATATGAAATGGTATTTTTAACCTAAAGGAATCAATATACTTTTTTGATAGATGTATTTGGATATGTTTTCTCATCAGTAGTGTGAAAACTATTTCACTCTAACGATCGTTATAGCTGCTTAATAAGCAATATTCGAATTGGTTGTGACGTTATTGGCCCCCACGTGATCTCTCACTGGTCCCCACGTGGCCCGTTTTGGTCCATTAGATCATGACGTCATAATGCCAAAATGTTTTGTTATTTGTTTACACAACAATCCTATGGTTGCCGTGACGTTGTGATTACTATGGAACCAATAAACCAAAGTTATATTTTGTATATGACGTTACTAATCACGTGGGGGCCAATTTGATTCATCAGTTAGTTTTATTTCGTTATCTATGACCGTAAGCAGTTATCTAACATTTATTTTATAATGGCTATCGCAAGAACTCTACGGTGGGCTTACAATGGAGAAAACCACATTTTTGTAGCTGCAAGTTGAGAAAAGCTATTTCAGTTGTCTTTTAATCGCTTGGATATTTAATCAAAAGAAATATGGATTGCAATTTTTACTCATAGACTGAAGACTTTTGTAATGACCCTGTATTGCAAGTTGCTACTTTATAGCGCAGTTGGTAGAGCATCAGTCTTTGGATCTAAGGGCCCTGGGTTCGATTCCCTCTTGGGGTGTTGAATTTAGCACATTTTCTTTCATGCCTGCAGGGGTTTCAATAAATATTTTTTCAACAGGCCTTCGGCAATTTCAACAGGCTGAATTTTTTTTTCGACCATTCGCCGCTCGCTTCGCTCGCATTCTCGTTCATATTTGGAGTTAAATGTTACCCCTTGTGCTTCATCAATGTGACGTAAAACGATAAAATCAGTATTTTCCTGTCACCGTGACTTTAATACAAACTGTATATGAGCAATAGATCTATTTGACTTGTTCATTACTTTATGTGTTTTTTAAATGTTGACTCGTGTAAATTAATAAACTCAATATTCCTTTCTGACACATTATTAATCACAATGAAATATAAAGATTAACATTCAATAGTTTGATATGCATTTTTGACTTGTAATATTTTATTTGTTTTCAAATGTTGCCCTTTGTGCTTCCTCACTATGATGTAAGATAATGCCAAGAAGATCAATTGTATTGATTATACTGTTTGTTTTCAAGTTCATGTGTAATTGTTAATAATATAGTGTCAATTGAAAGTTGACAGGACAGTGATAAAGGTTTTTTGCTACTGACCCATTAGTCTCAAAGCAATGTTGGTTTGAGAGTAGGTCAATGTATCTGGTTTGTTATGTCACCACCAAAAGTGGTGACATATTGTTATGGTCTCCGTTTTTTTGCGACGGCGGTTGGCGTCCGGCGGTTGGTGGTTGGCGTCCGGCGGTTGGCGTCTGGCGTCTGGCGGTTGGCGTCTGTAACAATTTCTTACAACTTCCTATAACATAACAAATACTGTTTAGATTGACTTCAATTTTTTTCTAAATCATCTACATGTTCTCAGAAGTTCAAATCTGACTTTAGATTTGACATTTGACCTTCAATGACCTTCTCAAGGTCAAAAAGGTCTTTTTTCAACTTGCTTCACATTGACTAATTTTTTTTTCAAAATCATCTACATGTTCTCAGAAATTCAAATCTGACTTTAGATTTGACTTTAGATTTGACATTTGACCTTCAAATCTGACTTTAGATTTGACATTTGACCTTCAATGACCTTCTCAAGGTCAAAAAGGTCTGTTTTCAACTTGCTTCAAATTGACTAATTTTTTTTTTCAAAATCATCTACGTGTTCTCAGAAATTCAAATCTGACTTAAGATTTGACTTAAGATTTGACCTTCAATGACCTTCTCAAGGTCAAAAAAGGTCAAAAATGTCTGTTTTCAACTTGCTTCAAATTGACTAAAAAAAATTTTCAAAATCATCTATGTGTTCTCAGAAATTCAAATCTGACTTTAGATTTGACTTAAGATTAGACATTTGACCTTCAATGACCTTCTCAAAGTCAAAAAAGGTCAAAAAGGTCTTTTTTCAACTTGCTTCAAATTGACTAAATTTTTTTTTCAAAATCATCTACATGTTATCAGAAATTCAAATCTGACTTTAGATTTGACATTTGACCTTCAATGACCTTCTCAATGTCAAAAAAGGTCAAAAAGGTATTTTTTCATCTTGCTTCAAATTGACTAATTTTTTTTTTCAAAATCATCTACATGTTCTCAGAAATTCAAATATGACTTAAGATTTGACTTTAGATTTGACATTTGACCTTCAATGACCTTCTCAAGGTCAAAAAAGGTCAAAAAGGTATTTTTTCAACTTGCTTCAAATTGACTAATTTTTTTTTTCAAAATCATCTACATGTTCTCAGAAATTCAAATCTGACTTTAGATTTGACATTTAACCTTTAATGACCTTCTCAAGGTCAAAAAGGTCTGTTTTCAACTTGCTTCAAATTGACCAAATTTTTTTTTCAAAATCATCTACATCTTTTCAGAAGTTCAAATTTGACTTTACAAGTTCTCAGAAGTTCAAATCTGACTTTAGATTTGACCTTTGACCTTCAAGGTCAAAACGGTCTTTTTCAACTTGCTTCAAATTTACTTAATTTTTTTTTCAAAATCATCTACATGTTCTCAGAAGTTCAAATCTGACTTTAGATTTGACATTTGACCTTCAATGACCTTTTCAAGGTCAAAAAGGTCTTTTTTCAACTTGCTTCAAATTTACTTAATTTTTTTTTCAAAATCATCTACATGTTCTCAGAAGTTCAAATCTGACTTTACATTTGACATTTGACCTTCAATGACCTTCTCAATGTCAAAAAAAGTCAAAGAGGTATTTTTTCAACTTGCTTTAAATTGACCAAATTGTTTTAGGTGGTGACATTTTGTCATGTTAATGCCTTGTTACAATATGCTAGGTAGCTCGGGATTCCCATGGGGCACTGAGAATTTTTCAATGTAATTAAAAATTCTGATTTTTGCTATTCAGGTAGCCGGGCCCAGGAAGCCATCAATGTAACCATAGACCTTCCTGTACAGTTCAACAAGACACATTGCAAGAATAACCACTGTGCACCTATGCAGATTGTCACTTGTGTTTTTTTCCATGGGACCACTGCTTTATTCCCTAGCACAAGGTAAGATATAACCACTGTGCACCTATGCAGATTGTCACTTGTGTCTTTTTTCATGGGACCACTGCTTTATTTCCTAGCACAAGGTAAGATATAACCACTGTGCACCTATGCAGATTGTCACTTGTGTCTTTTTCCATGGGACCACTGCTTTATTCCCTAGCACAAGGTAAGATATAACCACTGTGCTCCTGTGCAGATTGTCACTTGTGTCTTTTTCCATGGGACCACTGCTTTATTCCCTACCACAAGGTAAAATATAACCACTGTGCACCTATGCAGATTGTCACTTGTGTCTTTTTCCATGGGACCACTGCTTTATTTCCTAGCACAAGGTAAGATATAACCACTGTGCACCTATGCAGATTGTCACTTGTGTCTTTTTCCATGGGACCACTGCTTTATTCCCTAGCACAAGGTAAGATATAACCACTGTGCTCCTATGCAGATTGTCACTTGTGTCTTTTTCCATGGGACCACTGCTTTATTCCCTAGCACAAGGTAAGATATAACCACTGTGCTCCTATGCAGATTGTCACTTGTGTCTTTTTCCATGGGACCACTGCTTTATTCCCTAGCACAAGGTAAGATATAACCACTGTGCTCCTGTGCAGATTGTCACTTGTGTCTTTTTCCATGGGACCACTGCTTTATTTCCTAGCACAAGGTAAGATATAACCACTGTGCACCTATGCAGATTGTCACTTGTGTCTTTTTCCATGGGACCACTGCTTTATTCCCTAGCACAAGGTAAGATATAACCACTGTGCACCTATGCAGATTGTCACTTGTGTCTTTTTCCATGGGACCACTGCTTTATTCCTTAGCACAAGGTAAGATATAACCACTGTGCACCTATGCAGATTGTCACTTGTGTCTTTTTCCATGGGACCACTGCTTTATTCCCTAGCACAAGGTAAGATATAACCACTGTGCTCCTATGCAGATTGTCACTTGTGTCTTTTTTCATGGGACCACTGCTTTATTCCCTAGCACAAGGTAAGATATAACCACTGTGCTCCAATGCAGATTGTCACTTGTGTCTTTTTCCATGGGACCACTGCTTTATTCCCTAGCACAAGGTAAGATATAACCACTGTGCACCTATGCAGATTGTCACGTGTGTCTTTTTCCATGGGACCACTGCTTTATTCCTTAGCACAAGGTAAGATATAACCACTGTGCACCTATGCAGATTGTCACTTGTGTCTTTTTCCATGGGACCACTGCTTTATTCCCAAGTACAAGGTAAGATATAACCACTGTGCACCTATGCAGATTGTCACTTGTGTCTTTTTCCATGGGACCACTGCTTTATTCCCAAGTACAAGGTAAGATATAACCACTGTGCACCTATGCAGATTGTCACTTGTGTCTTTTTCCATGGGACCACTGCTTTATTCCCAAGTACAAGGTAAGATATAACCACTGTGCTCCTATGCAGATTGTCACTTGTGTCTTTTTCCATGGGACCACTGCTTTATTTCCTAGCACAAGGTAAGATATAACCACTGTGCTCCTATGCAGATTGTCACTTGTGTGTCTTTTTTTTCCATGGGACCACTGCTTTATTCCCTAGCACAAGGTAAGATATAACCACTGTGCACCTATGCAGATTGTCACTTGTGTCTTTTTCCATGGGACCACTGCTTTATTCCCTAGCACAAGGTAAGATATAACCACTGTGCACCTATGCAGATTGTCACTTGTGTCTTTTTCCATGGGACCACTGCTTTATTCCCTAGCACAAGGTAAGATATAACCACTGTGCACCTATGCAAATTGTCACTTGTGTCTTTTTCCATGGGACCACTGCTTTGTTCCCTAGCACAAGGTAAGAATTCAAGGGACATCACAGATTTTGCTATACTTCAGAAATGTGTTGTGACCAAGTAGTTGCCAACTTAATCAGACTGGTCATTTTGTCCAGTTTTCAGAATGATCTAATGTTTTCAAATTGTAATGCCTTTTATTTGGTTGAGACTAGAATTGAATTTGGCAACTGTAACAATTGTCACACTTTTGTATCTGTAACAATTATCACACTTTTGTATCTGAAACAATTGTCACACTTTTGTATCTGTAACAATTGTTACACTTTTGTAATTGCTAAGAGAAGTAATGGTCAGGTTCACTTGAGACCTGTCTGTTTAGGATAAGTTTGAACAGATTATTGCCAATATCTAGATATCCTGTGTTTTATGAGCTGTAATGATTTATAACTACCCAGTGATCTTAAAGCAACTCAGCGCAGCACCCACCTGGGATTTTGAAAATATGCTTGCACCCACCTGAAAATCCACTCGAACCCACTTGAAAATGATAAAAAGCATGAAAAATGGCATAATTTGACCAATTTTGGTCTGAATTGTGAAAATGAGAATTTTACACCCACCTTAGAAAAAATCCTGGGGAGATCACTGCTACCCAATTTAAAGTGGTTAATGGATATAATTTAAAATCCTTTAAAATGTGAGGCTCTAACTGAATGGGCCTTCCATAAACCCACTCTTGTAATAATGCTGTAATATTGCATTTAGGATGCCAGATACATGCTATGGCATGAACGAGACTGGGGTAGAATACCATGCAGAGATGGATACACTTCCACAAACCAGCATGTTTAAGAGTCAAGTATGCCGTAACAAGGTCAAGGTCAAGGCGGACTACAGCTTCAATCCCTCACTCACCATGTGGCTCAGTGTGGTAGGTGATCCTTAATACATATTAAACATGGTCAGTGCTTTCCAATGGTGTATCATCCATGCATAAATCAGCAATTATATTTAGGTGGTCCTTATACATATGTTCAGTGTTTTTTGAATTAGCTTTCCAGTGGTGTATCATCCACACATAATTCCACATTTATTTTGAAAATACTCTGAGTACAGTACGATGTTTTGCATCATATTTTGTGTTGAATACATGAATTATATGTGAAAGTTTTCATCAATAAATCTATCTGAATAAAAGTTATTTGAAAAAATTTCAATTCTTAAACGCTTGTTTTTTCCTTTCAGAAGGACAAATCAGACATGATTGAGTGTGACATTTTGAACAGAAAGTTTTCTGAATAAAGCAATGTTTGGAAATTAAAATTTTGGTAAAAAAATTAATTAACACTTCTTGCTTCAGCAGAATTCAGACATGATGGTAAAGTATGACATATTTCTGAGTAAAAATATTTTGGAATCAAAATTTTAATTTTGCAACTTTTTTTACGTTTCAGAAGGACAAATCTGTGATCAACCTTCACCTAATGCACACCAGTTACTTCCTGTTCGTTATGGTGGTGACATTGCTATGTTACGCTATCATACGAGGCAAACCTAAACAAATCATCAAAGTGGTCCATGTCCAACCTGATAAGGTACATATAAAAATTGATTAGTCTTAACTAGAAATTAATCAAATTTTGATTTAAATTGCCATGTGCAGCCATTGCAATTATTTTGTCCTAACCCAATAACATTTCCCATAAAATTAGATAAAAATGGGTTAAAAGAAATGAAAAATGGGTTAGAATATATAGCATACAACAAACGTTACATTCTTTTTCCTTACTTTGAGTTAAAAATAAAAATGAGCATGCAACACAAAATGTGTATTTCATAGTTTTCTCTTTAGTCTTTTACATAATACACGCAATTACAATTAATAATACATGTATGTTTTGTTTCAGGCATCTAATGGAAGATTAATATGAACACATTGTGAAACCAAATCAAAGGAAGACCCTTAATGTTGGAAATTGATGTAGAATATAACTACAGTTACAGTATATATAAATGAGATTATGTTTCACAGGAGTACGATTCGAATGGCACAATATGCTGATATGTTCCAAGTGACACAAAATGTGATAGTGACAAAGTGAAACATTTTGTGAAAGTGACACAATATTATATACCTTGTGAGAGTGACACAGTATGTGAAAGTGACACAATATTATATACCTTGTGAGAGTTACCTTGTGAGAGTGACACAGTATGTGAAAGTGACACATTATCTGAAAGTGACACATTATGTGAAACTAACATAACATACTATGAGAAAGTCAAATTAAATGTGAAAGTGACACAATATGTGAAAGTGACAAAATATTTATGGAAGAGAGAGTCAGTGTACATAGAAATATAGAAGGATACAATAAAAATCAACTCCACGGTTGCAACCTATCCTGTGAAATCTGCCAATCAACTTTGAGTATTTGTCTGCATTTAATTGTTTGAATCAAAACCTGTAATAGACAGGCCATTTCAGGAGGATGTCAGCTTAAAAGAGATGATAAGATGATGTCAGCTTATTAGAAATGAAATAAGAGGATGTCAGCTTATAAGAAATGATTAGAGGATATCAACTTAATGTGGCTTCTGTAAACTGATCAGTTTTTTGGTTCCTTTATTAGTCAAGGAAATCTGAAATTTCAGTTCTAAATTTCCAAAAATGTTAAAAATGGTTTCAGAATTTGTGCAATTAAGCGTATATCGTATAATGTGTATATACCATGTATATATAGGTTACACAATTTGGTTTTTGTATATATAAGTAATATGATGTATTTTTCCCATGCTACAGTTTTATTGGTATTGTGTCTATGAAATAACAAACTCCACAAATATAATAGGGAAGATATCCATATCTCAACTGTTGTGGAATAACAAAATTAATTTTTTAAGGGGGAGGGGTGTAATGATGATTTTAACTCGTGAAAAAAATTTTAAGGCTTCTCACAAAGTGGGTGGAGCTCATATGGCCTTTGTATGTTTCTTGTAAAATTTGCACTGGATTATTATGTTTGAAAGATTCGATTGAAAGGCGAATCAACATTTCAAAATGCTCTTATGTTGGGTATACATGTATATGATTGAAACCATAATGAAATTAACTCGGCTTTTCCACAATATTTGACATATAGACACCCCTAAAGCAAAATTCGTGAACAAATGATTTACTGGCGCTTTCTGCTCTTTGACTCATGGACATTTGAAAGAGGGATTTATCAGAAAGCGACCAAATCTTCTCTAAAAGCCCATGAGTACTCATAACTGTATAAAAGTGCTTTGTAAAACATACCCTACAAAATAAAAGCCCAGTGGGACCAAAAGTGGAACATTGTTCAGAACATCAATTTTTGAATTCAGCATTCTGACATGTCTTGTTGTCCAGATGGTAAAAATAAGTATGATTTTCTAAGTAAGGGATTAAGTTAGTGTCATCATTTTCAGTTCAACTCTGGACTTGTATTGTCATTCTGATTCATCAGATGCCCCAATTTGGCCTCACCAGGTGTGAGGCAAGGGCCTCGCTAAATTTTACAAAAATATATTAAGGGAGTAATTTATTTGAAGGAGTTAATGAAATGAACATTTGTATTGGTATTGTAGTTAAATTCGGAGAAAGTACATACTTGTACATTTACATGCATTATTGTACTTTGCATTTGAGGGAAAAGAAATGAATATGTACATATAGTTTAAAATTTACATATTTAAACACCTTTATATACATGTAGATTGAAATTTTTGCTTTTTGTTTTGGATATCATTTTGTGGGAATTCAATGTATTGTTGAATTCGAGTTGGCATGAGGAAATATTGTTAGATGATAATATATATTTGTATATTTTGTAATTCTAAGCAGTCAAATTGACTTAAGATATATTGTATATTATAACATACCTATGATGATGTATAGTGCAAAGTGTACACAAGACAGCGGGCCAATATAAGTTTTGAAAAGCCCGCGCCCGCTAACTTTCTGATTGGTCAAGGCGCTGACGTCATAACCAATCAATCGAAGATAAAACTGTGCGAGCAATTTTTCTAAACTCATTTCAATCATTTTCAAACCATTTGTTTGTCAATTCTATAAGAAAACGGTACTCTCTGACCAGTCTACATCATCATAGGTATGTTATAAATCGTTTATGTCACTATCGTGGCACATATGCCCTCGGTTCTCAGAGATCAATGTCCCTCCCAAGGTCGGGCCATATATCACTGAGACCTCGGGCATATATGCCACGATAGTGACATAACCTCTAATTAGTACTATTATACGTTTCCGGCATTTCCTATAAATGACTTCATCGGACGCTGGTGATCACCCTCCACACAGGGCTCCAGACATCCACTACGTTATTTCCGACTTTGTAAGAACAAGCAGGGGTTTCAATAGCAGCAGACAACAGGCAATTTTCACCGGTTGTTCTCACAAAATTGTCTGTTGTTTTGAGGGACTTATTAACTTTTTCATGTTAATTTTATGATTTCCATTAATTATGCCTGTTGTTTTCATTTATTTAGCCTGTTGTGATATATTCTAATGAACCCCTGACAAGTTACTTTTTCTGGAGACTTGTGCTTTGGGGATGGCCGGTGATATGAAAAAAGGCACTTTTGCATATGAAAGCACCAACTTGTTCAATATTAGATCATTTATGCCTGGGTCACATTTGCTCCGATTCATCGGCCGGCGCCTGGCTGATTGAGTGTTCTGTTCAAAATCGTATTCAGTTTGGAACAAAATACCCAATCGCCTGGGCGCCAGCCGATGAATCGCACCAAATGTGACCAAGGTATAACACTTGGGCCTTGCATGTAAGCTCATAAAGTGGTACAGTAAAACCTGTCTAATGGAACACCTTTAATATTGGCCAGACAAAGGCGTTTGGATTAGCAGTAGTCATATTTCAAGGTTTTTCTTATATTTGAATGTATCCAATCATGTGTATGGGAGATTACAAAATTGGGATCAAAATCGTTCACATTGAGAGGTGTTTGGATGTACAGGTTTCACTGTATTAATAAGAAAGTGAGGGGTAACAGATTTGATGTAATAGGTTAAACTATTGTTGATCTTTTAGGTTTATTTCATTAAAACACATTACGACATCATGCGGCAAATTGTCTTTTGGCATTTCGTGTGAGAAGTTTGCATTACATGTAGAATACACAAATAGCAAAAAAAGAAATTATTTAATGTAATGTTATTCCAGAAATAAATGACAGTGCATGTATAATTGTATATAGACTATGTATGCTACGCATTGCCACCAAAATCCTATATGAGAAAAATGAACATATATGCCAATTAATAATCTTCGATGTAAAATAAGGCAATGAGGTCAGCCATTAAACTGATAAGGATGAAGTTGAAATAGAAAATGTGGCTTATGTAACGTAAAGAAAAACATGTCTCATGCAGGTACATTTTGAACAAATTGAGTGAATTAGCATTTAAATAAGGAGGCCATTTAATGAGGTAAACTGATGGAAGAAGGATGTTCACATTGATTGTATCATGATCTTGTGATATGATTGTTAAAATATTATGTTAAAATCGAGATGTACAAATGATATACTAAATAAATAAAACCATTAAATACCTATGCTAAAATATTCTTGTTTGTTCCTTCTTCGATATGTTTGTGGTAATAATCAATTATTCCAGTTACAGATACTGTTGCTATGTAGCAGTTGCTATGCATTTCATCTTTGAGGTAAACTATTAAGAGACAAAATGGTGGAAGATCAAGATAAGTAAAAGAAAATACTGTCTTGGGCAAGGCTATCAATTGGAATTACACCCCCAAAATGCAATCTGATTTTCGACGCCGTTTCGGTGCCAAATTTCAAAACGGTGCCGTAACAGCGCCGAATGTTTTCGATGCCGAAACGGTGCCGAATAAGATTGGCTGTGTATCTGCATGGTTAAAATGTGAAAAAGCTGACAATATTTTACTGTGGAATCGCCTACTGGACCATGTAGATCCTGTCTAAATCAATGTTACAAGTTTTAGTGTGCATTTTTTATTTTTACCTGGCTCCTAGCCAAATATAATTTTTATTTCAATCATACTTTCCCTTGTAGGAAAATAGAGATTGGAATGAGCCCTTACAACAATTTTGTATTGTCTGAATAACATTCTTAAAAACAAAAGAAAGCAATTAACAAAACAAAGTGATGATCTATTTTTTTCATGACTATATATCCACCAGTTAGGCATACTAGAATTTGGGAATTGATAAATAAACTGAGCCTTACGCATAGTCGAATACTGGTCAAAAGGTTTTTATCTGTTAATTTTAACTTAAAGCAGATATGAAATGGTATTTTTAACCTAAAGGAATCAATATAATTTTTTGATAGATGTATTTGGACATGTTTTCTCATCAGTAGTGAGAAAACTATTTCACTCTAACGATCGTTATAGCTGCTTAATAAGCAATATTTGAATTGGTTGTGACGTTATTGGCCCCCACGTGATCTCTCACTGGTCCCCACGTGGCCCGTTATGGTCCATTAGATCATGACGTCATAATGCCAAAATATTTTGTTATTTGTTTACGCAACAATTCTATGGTTGCCGTGACGTTGTGATTACTATGGAACCAATAAACCAAAGCTATATTTTGTATATGACGTTACTAATCACGTGGGGGCCAATTTGATTAGTCACTTAGTTTTGTTTCGTTATCTATGACCGTTAGCAGTTATCTAACATTTATTTTATAATGGCTGTTGCAAGACCTCTATGGTGGGCTTACAATGGAGAAAACCACATTTTTGTAGCTGCAAGTTGAGAAAAGCTATTTCAGTTGTCCTTTAATGTATCTGGACTTCTTAAAAAGCACAAACCACCAGTTATTACTAAGTATCATTATCTTCTGGATTCACAAGTTTCCCCTTTCCTGATTTTCTCCTTCTTTTCTTAGTCTTATGCTTTTTCTCCTCTGATTGCACTCTACAATTACATTGATAGTGGAATCAATTGGTGCAAGGCCCCCATAGGGACCTTGCGTTTTCATACTAAAGTTCGTTTTGGAATTTTTTCTTATTGTTCTATGTATTTCAAGACATTTTAGAGACAGGGCCCTTTTTCTAAAGCCCTTTTTAGAAAAATAATTGAGATTACAGAGGATACCCATTATTACTGCTTTTTAACACAATGTGAACAGAAAATTCAAATTTCAAACTCTTTATCTCACTATAATTCACCAATGGAGAATGGAAGTTGAGCAACCAAACTTGGCACAAAGTTGGACCCTAAGATAAGCTCTAATCTGAGGGGTTTGATCTTTTGTGAAATCATACATTTGCCTAGCAACCACATAGCAACCATCTAAAATAACACATTTTACAATATAAATCCACTTAATATATGCTAGGATGCTATAAGACCATTACAAAAAGTCTTCTTATCCTAAAATACAATAATTCAAACATATTTACAGAAGTGACATCACCATTTTGCATAGCAACAACATGGTAACAGGTTACAATGCCCATTTTGACATTTGCACACCATGTTCCTATTATATGCTCACTTGGATGCTTTTGGATCCCTTCCACATTATTTCTTAACATACAGAAATTGTATTTAAGCATAAATGATGCAGTTATGCCTGACAATTTTTCCTAACAACTTCCTAGCAACGGCTTAAAATAATGCTTAAATTTGCCTAGCAATGACCTAGCAACAGCTTAAAATACCAATGTTTCTCATAAAAATCTCACTATATTTCCACTATTATGTAATATGTATGTCTTTTAATTGATAAAGCTTTGTTGCTGCACACTCAAAAACCTGTAGTCTTTTGTGTAAAGCATGATGGGACATTTCTTGTCTTATGTTTGTCTTATGTTTATCAAATTGCAAAAGTCCTGCAATTCATGTTTCAGTTCTGAGATAAAGTAAACACAAAATATTCATCATATTTATCCTTGTTACATTTTCAGCATTAATACCCCTAAGATAATACTTTATTTGGGTTAATTGCTACAATTTCCTTTGCAGTTGCATAGTTTCGGTGCAGTAGAATGCACCATGGCATTTGCAGTTCACTTTGCAGTCACATTTGGTACATCCACATTTAATTATGACTTTACATGCCTCGGATGCTTGCGACAGTATTGTCCATCTGGGTACACACAATCCTGATGCACTCCTAAACCATCCCCATAGGTTTGTTGAAGGAAGAACTGGATCCACTATATGCCATTGCCCCCATACATGTGCTCCTTGGAGCATGACATTATAGAGTGCTGCATCGCATGTTGGAGGTACTCTATTGGGATCCATCTGTCATGAGTGAACATGTGCCTGCGCATGGTATTGAGATTTGTCTCACTGTTTGTAGGCTGGTAAACCAGGATAATGAACCTCTCAATTGTGCCCATAACTTCTGTTGTTGTTACGGTTGATGGGCGATCTACTTGAGTCAAAAAGCCACCTGTTAGATCATTACATAAGTTCCATTGCTTGAAAACTGTCACCTTGCTCTGATGGTAAAATGAAAAAATCCGGACATGGTATCAGTTCCAGTATGGGCGTGGAACATTGGCAACGCACATGATCTTTGTGGTTCTAGTGCTCTTGCAATCTCATGAACTGGAATGTAGCGATACGTTTTGCATTTTGAAAATGCTACATAGACCTCAATCTGTAGCTCAGAGGCACAGGTAAAGGCTATCACAATAACATTACTGTCCACTGATCTTATCATAAATGTCCTGCAACCTTTTCCGACACCATGAGACACATGCAAAAACATATATGTATCTGCCTCATGACATTGTTAATTTTCCACATTTGGATAGTAATATTCTACTGAACCCAGTATATGTAGCTTATGTATCCCAGCAGGGCATGTTCAAAATACTAGTATATAGATTTTAAATCAAGACACTACTGATTAAATCGTTAGGTCAAGGTTATACTTGTAAAAAGCTTAAAATCCTATCTGGGATTTGCTGAAACATACAAGTCATTAATTTCAAAGTTTCAAGTTTTACCACTTGAGATGCTGAAGGATGTAGGAATTGTGCAAAGAGCTCTATCTTTCAATAAAGTCTTGCCAATATTGCTTGGTAGTTTGGTGTTAGGATAGGATTTCTCAGAAACAATGACAACAAGATAGAGTTCTTTGCACTACTAGCAACTGTTACAAGACATATTATGACAGACGATAGAGACTTTGTTTCAACCATTGAAGGAGAGTGCATCAGTAGTCCTGCTAATTATGCCATAATAGTCCCTGCTCCCAGGAAGAGGCAGATACACATATGCAGTTTTTGGATGTGCCTCATGGTGTCAGAAAAGGTTGCAGGACATTTATGATAAGATCGATGGACAGTAATGGTGTGATAGCCTAATAGCCTGTGCCTCTAAGCTACAGATTGAGATCTATGTAGCATTTTCAAAACTAACACTACATTCCAATTTATGAATTTGCTTGAGCACTAGGACCACAAAGATCATGTGCGCTGCCAATGTCCCACGTCCTTACTGGAACTGATACCACATCTGGATTTTACCATCATAGCAAAGTGACAGTTTTCAAGCAATGGAACTTATGTAATGATCTTACAGGTGCCCTTTTGACAAGAAGCACATGGGGGCAGTGGTATATAGTGGATCCAGTTTTTCCTTCACCAAGCCTATAGGGATGGTTTAGGAGCCCATCAGGATTGTGGGTGCCCAGATGGAGAATATTGACCAAGCATCCATAGCATGTAAAGTCATAATTAAATGTGACTGCACCAAATGTGACTGCAAAGGGAACTGTTAATGCCATGGTGCATTCTACTGCATCGAACTATGCACCTGTAAAGGAAATTGAAGCAATTCACCAAAATAGAGTATTATCTTAGGGGTATCAATGCTGAAAATGTATCAAGTATCAATGTGATGAATCACAACTGAAACATGAATTGCAATTTGATACACGTAAGACAAGAAATGTCCCATCATGCTTTACACAAGAGACTAAAGATTTTTAAGTGAGCAACTATAAAGCTTTATAAATTACTTAAGACATAAATATTGATTTTCTTTAAGTCATATAGTGGATATATAGTGAAATTCTTATGAGAAACATTGCTATTTTAAGATGTTGCTGGGTCGTTGCTATGCAAATTTAGCCTTTATTTCAAGCCGTTGCTATGGAAAATGGTCAGACATAACTGCATCAATACATTTGCTATATGTTAAGAAATAATGTGGAAGAGATCCAAAAGCAGTGAACATATAATAGATATATGGTCTGCAAATGTCAAAATGGGCATTGTAACCTGTTGCCATGTTGTTGCTATGCAACATGGTGATGTCACTTCAGTAAATATGTTAAAATTGTTGTATTTTAAGATAAGAATACTTTTTTGTAATGGTCTTATAGCATCCTAGCATATATTAAGTGGATTTATATTATAAAATATGTTATTTTAGGCAGTTGCTATGTGGTTGCTAGGCAAATATAAGATATCACAAAAAATCAAAGCCCTAAGATTAGAGTTTATCTTAGGATCTAACTTTGTGCCAAGTTTGGTTGCTCAATTCCCATTCCCCAGTGGTGAATTATAGTGAGATAAGGAGTTTGGAATTGGAATTTTCTATTAAAATTGTGTTAAAAAGCAGAAATAACAGGTATCCTCTGTAATCTCAATTATTTTTCTAAAAAGGGCTTTAGAAAAAGGGCCCTGTCTCTTAAATAACTTTAAATACATAAAACTATAAGAAAAAACTCAAAAACAAACTTTAGTATGAAAACGCAAGATCATTCACCAATTGATTCCGCTATGAGTTCTTTTACATCTTTCACATTTATCATCACCACCAGTTAATGTCTTTTTCCTTTTCTTCTTTGCTTTCTTTTTTTCACTTTGCACCCCAGTGTCACATTTTTTCACATCTTTCAAGTCATGAACTTTTGAAATAATTTCAGTATCCAAACACTCACTATTTAATTCTGCATTATTTTTAATTTCAGTATTTTGGTTAATGTCATCGATATTGTCTGTCTCACTGTTTGAACTATTTCTACGTATAACAGTTATTTTGGGATTTTCTGAGTCAGGAACACGATAGGACGCTTCCCATGCAAGCAGCTGTTTTCCTTGTTCAATGACAAACTGCTGTGTCACAGCTGCTTGGGCCACTTTAGTTGACTCATCATCACTGAAATACAATATACAATTGTTGACCTCTCCAGAGGTCAACCGGCAAAATTGTATACCGAGACTGTAAACCGAGAAACTACTGTTGACAGAGACCGAAGGTCGAGGTCAACAGTAGTTTCAAGGTTTACAGTCGAGGTATATGGTTTTGACGGTTGACCGAATGGAGAGGTCTACAATTGTTTTGTTAGTCAGAAAAAACTAATAATACACATATAGACGACAGTCATCAATCATGGCTTCATTTCACAATCTTTTCTCCGAACCACGCCAGCAATAATTTTTTAAGAAAATCTTAAGACAGTGGTAGCTAAACTCTTTGTTTTTGGCACATAGCTGCATACTCACTTGTAAATTAATGTTAATTTTTCGTTTCTTTTTGTATTTTTGCTATACTTGTCGTCTAGCAAAGTCAAAATATCACTTTCATCAACGTTTACAAAATGTCCGTAATACCATGTTTTTTCTGTAAACATTATGACGTCATATTTCCCATAATTCACAAGTGTAGTACAGTAACATAAGCGGTCAATAATATGATATCCCATGATGCACAGGTGAGGTACAGGCAAAAATGTTGACCGCTAATTGACCAATCAGATGCGAGTATTTACACTGAGGTACTAACAATATGTATTGTAACTAAACATGTATTGTAATTACGTACTGTATTTATATGTACAAAATGAAGTGAAATAAATGAATTAAAAAAAGCAATAAAAAAATCACTGAAATACAAGCAGAAGTTATTCAGTCTGCAATTTCCAAAAAAGTCTTGCTTCAAGCTTTTGTGACTCTTCCCCTCACATACACATATTGTGGGGACGGGTAAAGTAGATTGGCTAGGGGATCAGAGACTTGACACAAGACTATGAAAATGTAGTGTTAAAAATGAATTTTTTTTAAAATTACTTTCAAATATTTAAAAGTAATATCAAACAAGCTCCAATGAAGAAGAATTTGTTTGGTAATTCATGCCATCTTTCTTTGTTACTTTGCAACGCTCATGTAAGAAACAGAAATACTCAACACTGGAACTGAAAGTGAAATATTTAAAAGAAATAAATGTACATGTACCTTTCACAATAATATTTGTCTTTCTTGCGCTTTTTTATCTTTGGTGGCTTTTGTTTTTTCCAAACATCTAAGGAGTTTGTTGTGACATCATTCTTTATCAACACGTCTGAGAGTAACTTGAAACCTGGAATAATACATGGAATATATATGTTCATAATGTTAAATCTTGTTTGTCTGCCTACAAATGACATGTATGAAATCACAATTGGCCTTTCGCTGGTGAAAAATGTGAATTTGACAAAAAAACTGATTTCTCCAGATTTCCTCTGAATGATGCATAAGTAGGAGCCATGGCAAATGTACCAGTCAACAAAAAGAATAGAAAACAAAAAATTTGAAGTTTGTTGTGAAACTTACTTCCACTACATTCTGCTTCAGTGATATCCTCATCCTTGTTTGTAGAATTGTCCTCTTCTGTTACACACTCCATCTGTCTGCAATCAAGACAAAATAATTACATATACCTGTATTACCTGTTACCTGTCCATATATGCAATGTATAGTACTATAATACATAAACATGCTTAAGTCTACAATCAGGCCCTTAAGCCAGGGGGGTTCAAGCAAACAAGAATTCTTACAAAGTCATCCAGTTTTTCACCATTATGAGCACTTTTCAAGTGATTTTGGGCCAAAGTTGTCAAAAGTGAACACCCCCTGATTTTATTTTTGAAAAGTGAATACCCACTTGGCAAAATGAGTGGAATACAGAGAGTTTGTTGATTACACCCAGTAATTACCTATCTAAAAGTGCAGTGAGGTTCTTTGCAATATGTTCCTTGAATTCTGGGGTTGCCTTCAACTCATTTTCATCAACATGTAAAGTGTTGATATTCCTGAAATGTAAAATAGTATTAGAAATTAATAAAGGCTTTTGGAAAAAGTTAAGTTTGATTGGAATTCAATTACAGTACTACTTAAACAAAAAATATGTTACTTATAATGATTGTCACATGTGCAGAACAACTATCTCATGTGACCTTTTTGTACTTAGTACTGAATAATGGTTCATTTCACCATGGTATCATGGGCCATAATGTGTGCAACCTTGACTTTTTGCAAAGAACATGTTATGGTCACATTAACTGATTCAAGTTTCATATAGAATGGGAGAATGAATTAAGGCCATGAAAATTGACTATAATTTATAGACGTAGCCATGGGTGTGGGATCACACACAATATAACCATGATAAAGAAGAGGAAAATAGCTTTAAATGCTTTTTATTTGAAGCTTCTAGCTCAATTTTGAAACCAGTTGCATCAATTTTCGTAAAATTCAAGAAAAATCTTTTTGGCTTGTTTAAGCCACAATCACACCCCCCTTACTGAAAACCAAAATTTTTTTGGTTTGGCGATTGCACCCCCCCCCCCATGAAACATATCTTTTTAAAATATTTGGAAACACATTCAAATAACACTTTATTGTTACAATGCTGGCATCTATTATATATTAACCAATCGTCTGTTTTACAATATAATTATCTGTCTAAAAGTATAGCAGGTGATTTCAAGTTTATTTTATATGTGAGTAAATGGGAGCTTTACAAGATTGGGACCGAAAAAATGTTCAAGACATCTTTGGATTAGAGTGTTCAGATATCAAGGTTTTTACTGCATATCTAATTGGGAGAAATTCATCTTCGGAAGTATAAAGTGATACATCTACAATTGGCTGTACAATACCTGAGAGATGGCTTCTGTGCAAGTTGAACTTTATGATTGACAGCTCCATCTTGACCCGATGTGCCAGAAGGACCTGGAACAACATCAATGGTAATGATGATGATTATAAAGTTTGAACAAATATGCATAATTTTGAAGATTTCGCTAACTGAAAATTCTGTAAGAAGTGTTCTTTGACAATAAAACTATAAAAAACTACTAAAAGTGCTCATTTTTGGGGAAAGGTATTCTGAGAGAAATTGTTATGAAATGTGGATTATAAATGACAATAGAAAATAATGGGTATCGATATGGCGAACTTTTTGAACACACATTTCTCTTAAACCAGTCATCAAAAATTTCTGAAAATCTTACAAATTGTCAATTTAATGGCAAAAACAGTTGCACTAAAAATAGAAAAAATGTTAACAGTTATATAAAATATTTCTAAATAATTTTCGCATTAAATTGTTGTCAATCATTTAACATTACATAAAATACCGTGTTTTTTTACAGAATATTTTCAATGATTGGTTTAAGAGAAAAACATTGTTGAATTCAGTTCTCCATATCGATACCTATCCTTTGACTGCTCCATATTTCAAGTTTTTTAAAACTGGATCCATGAAGTAGAGGGTAGCCATTGGTGTACAAGCAATATTTGGGGTGAATATACATTCATGTTGAGGGCATCAAAAAACAACAATGGCCTCTCTCTGTTGTAAAAATGTATAGATACAAAATGTATCCATTTTAAAGAGAATTTAATTCTCCAGTTACCACAGGAGTTTTGCCCATGCATGACATAATATTGCAAAGTTACAGCCTATTGTAAATAGTGTGTATGAGCTCATTTATGGCAAAAATAACAACGAATTAAATCTGACTTCAACAATGTTTCAAATAAAGCTGTAGAATTCCTTTTATTGCCTATGGCATGGTTAGATTTATTATGTTCCTTATAAAGGGAGTTATTTTAGAATGATGATCTAAAGGACCCTATTCGAATCTCATAAATGTTTTCAACTGATTTAGATTGAAGTTTGATGAAGTAGATTGGGGGTCGCCTCATCATGGTTCAGATCTTATTGGTCCGATGTGAATCCACATGGTCCAAATCCATATTGGTCCGAAACACAATGGTCCGAATCTCATCTGTTCGAATCCAATAATCTTCCAAATCTCATTTGTCCGATCCCAATCGTTCTAATCCCATTGGTCATAATCCTGCTTAATTACGCTAATAATACAAAATTGTCATTCACATGGATTTGGTTAGTGGAATTTATACAGGTTTTAGCTAACATATTTTATGATCAGGTGTGAATATTTTCGGAACAAATGCGTGACATATACACACATTTTGTACCAAATGCGTGACATAAACGGCAATCGCGTGCAAAGACCGAACGGAATGCGTTCGCTTTTTTTCGCCGTTCGGTATTTTACCGTATCGGCATTTCGCAAAAAACGATTTTTAAAAATTTCAACAAAATGCGTGATTTGCGTGATATTTGATCAAACATGCTAAATTGATGCGTGATTTCTATTTTTCCAGCAAATGCGTGACAATCACGCCTAATGCATGAGGGTTGACAGGGCAGATGATGGTCTCAGGTTTTAGATACATTGACTAACTGTTATGAAAAAGTTGACCTTACTGTCATGATACCTCCCTGTGTAAATCATAGTAACAATTGTTAATTTTCATATAGAGTTTCGGACGGATATGATTCAATGACCATTGGCACTTGGATGATTGGGATTTCGACGCACGATAGGGATTTGGCCTATAGGAATTGGACGATTTGGATTTGAATGATTCGAATTAGGACCAATTTGTTTTGGACAATTGGGATTCAGACCAATGGTGTTTCATTTATAACTTGATCAGATCTACTGTTGTTCATTTGGCTTGGTCCAAACCGGAAGTGATCAAATATATGAAATTTCAACGCATTTTGGAAGATTGCATGAACAGATCAAGCATGAATACTTTTATGTAGTAATAAAAATGTGCTCCTGTGTACCTGTATTGACTTGATTTTGTGGAAATTCCACAACAGCCTCTCTGAAACGAGAGTCATCCTCATCAGAACTTGAATCTTCACCGGAAGCATGTTTCATGGAGGCCGCCATATTGGATAAAATTAGGTCAAATAGTTCCAACAAATTAATACATCGAAAGCCTTCATTTACCTTATTAATTTCGAAATTTCATTACAATCTTAGTTAAATAAAACAATTCGATACATTTAGTTACCTTTTTAACAGAAATACACTGCGATAAACTTAAACAATGATATAAAACAACAGGACTATTTTTGCGGCGCGTATTTACGTGCAGGTGCTTTGGACAACATTTCACGTGAAAAAGCTTTGAAATTCATCACAATTTCCTCATTTTCTGAAAATCAACTGTTACTTAGTGGCTATAACCAAGGATTACTTGAACATAACATTATAGTCTTTGACGGATAGGATTGTTACATCAAAAGCATGCATCTGTGTGGAGAAATTTGACGAGCTTGTCAAGAAAGATTCGAATAAATTTCATTTTTCAAGTTTATTTTGAATGTCTCTGAAGATCCTGTCTATGATAGATGTAATTCACAATCATCAGTAGAGGAATATAACCAGATTACATGATGTCATCTTACTCAGGATTAAGCAGAGCTCAGCTGAGCTATGAGTATCTTCATACAAACTCGTAAGTAAACATTAGGCTGACAGTTTCATCTTATCAGAGTAAAAATTCATCGATTGTGCGTATATTGTTCACAGGGGCTTGGCTGGTGTGTCGGGCAAGCCCTCCGATGAGTGTGTCCTGGTTATAAAGAGTTAAAGGGAGGCCACTGTTTCGAAAACGTTTGTGCCTAGAGTCCATTTCACTGCTTCATTTCGTCAGTAGAACGGCAAAAATAAGAAATTGGGAGACCATTGTGCAATAATATATGGAAAAGTATATTCCTAATGTACATGAATGACATTTGTATATCTTGGATTGCTTTTAGTTTGGCTTATAAAGTGTGTGGCCTCTTATATTTGGATGTTTCTCTGCCATGTTATTTTCAATAAGATTAACATGGCTGAAATTCTTCAAATTACAAGACGGCACAGGCTTATTGCACAAAAAACTAAAAAATCTGAAATATACAAATGTCATCCGTGTACATTATGAATATACTTTTTCATATATTATTGCACAATGGTCTCCCAATTTCTTATTTTTGCCGTTCTACTGACGAAATGAAGCAGTGAAATGGACTCTAGACCCTGCGGGGTGTAACAACGTTTTTTTCGGAAGATTTTGTGCCAAGACCCAAGGGGTGTATTCGAAACTTAAGTAGCCCTGCTCTGAGGTCTATATTACGATTTGAACATGAAAACTCACCAGAATAATCCAAGTCGATGTTCATTTCCACTTTTTTCATTTCTACTTCCGGTTGAGCGTTTGGCTGTTCCAATTTGTTTACTTACCTCCTGACCCCAACTTAAGTTTTTTATTGACATTTCGGCCTATTTTATTGGTTTCACACATATCTCCTACACTGATAATTATTGAGATTACAGTTTACAAATGCTCCGACAGGAAATTTTGGCTCCGGACAATTTGTCCCTGCCATTTTGAATTTTGCAGACGAGAGGGGGATGAGAAAATAATTGACTGGCCTAAACTGACCAATGAGTGCACTGAACGAAACACTTAGGACAGAGCCGGAGAATTGATCTCGAATATAACCCAGCTGAAGCATTGACTTTGTTCACAGTTTATAGAAGGCATGAATACAGTCATGTTCGAATAGCTTTTTCAGACCTTTGAATATGTGACTGAAAAAAGTTAAAGTTAGCGTTTCGAAAAGTCAGTAAACAGAATATTTTGGATTTTTCAGAAAATGTGCCCAACATTTGCTTTAAATGATAGGAGCTTTGAAAATTTAATTCATTTCTAGAAATAGAGAAAAAATGAAAAAATTGAAAATCTTTTTTCTTTTTTATGAGCACACCTTTAGTTTCAGACAATTTTTCTAATTTTCAAAGCTCCTATTAGTCAAATCACTAATGGGTTTCTAACATGGTGATAGTTCGCGATCATATATATTCTTAGATTTTCGGCACACAGACTAATATGGACATTCTAAAAATTTTGATTCGCATTGCCAAGCGCAAATCGCACTCCTTCATGGTGAAAATTCAAGATGGCCGCCAAAAATATCGTCAAATATGTATATTTTTTTGATAATTTTTTTTACTGCCTTTATTTCAATAAAATATGATAAATTAGTGTCTTCAGGTATTATCTAATAATATTCCTACCAAATGAATTTTTTTATTAAGTATAAACATAAGAAATTGCTTTAATAGCGCCATCTTTTGATAAAATTATACCAAAATTGACGTCAAAATAACACACATTTCCCTTATTCACTACTTCTTTTCAATAAAATTTGACAAGTTTATATTTTATCAAGGCTTACTGATAATATTCAACATATATCCGTCAAAATATTTCATTATAATCAATAAAGAAGAGTGTTGGATAGCCCCACCTATAGGTATATATGCATTGAACTGCTCTGAAACATAAATTAAAGATTATTATTTTTTTATTCATGCTGACCCAATTTGCTTATTCTTAAATAACTGTTATCTGTAATGAAAATGTTAGATTTTCGGCACACAGACTAATATGGATATTTTAAAGATCTCAATCCGCATTGCCAAGCACGATTCTCACTCCTTCGAGGTTAAAGTTCAAGATGGCCACCAAAATAATCGTCAAATAAGAATATTTTTTTGATAATTTTTTTTCTGCTTTTATTTCAATAAAATGTGATAAATTAGTGTCTTCAGTTATTATTTGATAATATTCCCACCAAACAGCTTTTTATTAAGTATAAATATAAGAAATTGCTTTTACAGCGCCACCTTTTGATAAAATTATACCAAAATTAACGTCAAAATGATAAAACAATTCCCTTATTCACTTCTTCTTTTCAATAGAATTTGACAAGTTTATATTTTATCAATGCTTAGTGATAACATTCAACATATATCTGTCAAAATATTTCATTATAACCAATAAAGAAGAGTGTTGTGCAGCCCCACCTATAGGTATATCCATTAAACTGAAACATAAATTAATAATTATTATTATTTTATTCATGCTGACCCAATTTGCTTATTCTTAAGTAACTGTTATCTGGAATAAAAATGTTAGTGTTTCTAGATTCAACAACATGTAAGTTGTAGAAAGTAGAAATGAGAGTTATATGAAGGCGGAGGGGGTATGTAAGTGGGGATAAGGTTTGTGGGTATATATTGAGGCATGTCACCCATCTTGATTTTCTGAGTGTTTCTGCACTCTGAAATATAACAGAACTGTATTACAATTTTCTCTATTTTAGTTATATTGAAGTCAGTTTAAAGTCTAATATTCATTGTCTCTCATGTTGACGTGTATAAAGTCAACAAATTATATCAACCCAGACCAAACACCTGTACTTGTTGCCGAACAGCCCCTCTTTGCACTGTTCAAGCAGTAATAGTGGACAATGGCAAGAGATGGGAGAAAAAACGAAGCTGATAAGGATATTTGGTGGAATACACACTGAGATAGGAGCATTTCACATCTTGGGCAATCTATGAGAGAACCCTGGATGGATAATCTCCCTCTCTCAAGCTGGCATAGCCACATATGATGCAGCTGATTCCTTTATCAAAGTTAACCAACTCGCACTTACTTGCAGAGCACATCATATTTCTGTCTTTATATTCTTGACAAAAAGCCTGTGAGACACATTGTTTGTGCTGTGATATTGATGAATAACCTCAGTTTGAGTTGGATGACTGGGTGAAAAAACAGTCCCAGCTGAATGACTCTTCCCAATTTAAGTTCTGGTCGATGGTAATGGATCTTAAACTTTTGAGAGGGCAACTTCAGCCTATACAAAGACACCCTTTCTGAGTTGTTGCCATGCCTTTTTATACTCAATCACACAAACTAGTCAAGGTGGCTACCAGTTTTATCCGTGACATGAACCAATTTAATGCAACACACCAATCAGTGCTTGGTGAATTCATTAAGGGAAACTAAACATTGATTAAAACAACAAGGCACATGACATGAAGGAAATCATACCATCTAGACATTGTTTTGGACAGTTATGAAACTACATGTAACAGTTTAGAGTCTGGTATAAGAAATAAGAGAGGAAACAGTAAAAGGAGGCATATTTATCCTGAAAATTCCCTACCTAGAAACTGGCAAGATTGTTTGTGCTTGGACTTAAACAAGAGAGAACTGTTTCAAATCCTTACTGCAAATGTGAGCAATATAATTATTCATGAACGAAAAAGACTTCTCGCAACCTTTGATCAGGATGTCATGTGTCAATCCACAAAAACAATCCACCAAAGACAAATAACCTTGCACACAATCAACACATTTTTTCTGAATGAACCAATATGAGTTGGATTTGACAAAGGGGAGACAGTTCAGGTACTTGGCAGCACATGAAATGGCGAATTCCATTGGGCCTCAAAAGGTCTATGTCTGCCATTATTCCACTCATTGACAAGTTACACCTGGATTCCATGGAAGCAGGGGCAGAATTATAGCATGGGACAGATGAAACTCATTTTCACAACTGATGAATGCACTCCTCAGTCTAATAGATGATCCTTTATTAATGTTATGTTGCTGTATGGTAAATTCAGCAATGACACCTCAATCAACACTGCAAGAAAGAATACATTTTTACAGAAGACTACTTCATTATTGACCACATTCCTCCAACAGCTGCGCCTTAATGCAACACTGCAAAGGAGCATTGTACCCAGGTGTGCATATCTGGGGTCAGTTTAACAAAACAAGTCCTATCATTCCCCGGGTATCATTCCATCTCCAAAGAACTGGGGCTGGAGAACAGAGCCAAGATCAAGAGACAACACTCAGAAGCCACACAGGACTACCTTAAAGCAGATGGCTGATGCTAGTCAACCATTAGTGTGGTTGTCAGAAGCAGTGTTTCCCTTGAAGATGTACCATGTACCAGCTTGAAGGCTACTCTAGTATGCACATCATTGTGTGCCTGCAATGGAGAGTATTCATTAGAATAACTAAAGTAAGGGTTTAAATATGGTAATACAAGGCCCATATAAGATGCAAGATACCCCCTATTTACCCCCCCCCCCCAAATTTATATGGTTGACATCTTAGAGTTGGCATTCTACTGTAAAATAATACTATAGAATAGTTTTTTATTATGCATGGTACATGATACAGATCAAATCTTGGCTCTCCAAACTATTCCACGCTTCCTTCAACAGTTCAATATATTATAAAACACAGTTTTGATTTTGAACAATTTCACCAATAGGTGGCGCTAGGGGAGACATTCTTTATTATGTGTTTATTTAAATATTGTTTGGAAAGGAATCAGTTTCTACTAAAACATACAAACCTAATATATTCTGATGAAAAAAGGATAGAGATATGATAGGTACAGTACTACAGTATATATGAAAGGTACATATTTTAATGATTTAGCGAAAATTTGGACGAAATCTTAAAAATGGGGGGAATGAACAACCAAAATCTTCTTTTTTGATAATTTAAATATTTTTCAGGGTAGAAATATTATAAAATGATGTTGAAAAATACTAATTAACCACATTTTATTGAAAAAAAGGAATGAAAAAAATTATCAAATGAATATTATATAATTTTCGGCAATTTTGGCGGCCATCTTGGATTTTCACCAAGAAGGAGTGCGAACCGCGCTTGGCAATGCAGATCAAAATTTTTAGAATGTCCATATTAGTCTATGTGCCAAAAATCTAAGAATATATATGATCGCGAACTATCGAGCCATTATTGACTGGGCTATATCATTAAAAGCAATACATTGGACACATTTTCTGAAAAATTCAAAATAGTCTGTTGAGTGACCTTTCAGAAATGCTAACTTTTAACCTTTTTCAGTCACAAATTTAAGCCATTACTGAGAAATTCTAGTGAAACCCCTAATATGTATATCCTAAATTTATTTTTTGATATTTCAGAACGACCCATGAGTTTCTGTTTGGTGCCTTAGCTGAGTTAGTAGACAATGCAAGGTAAGTATTAACAGTGCAGCTGTTCTTGTTTCATACCACCATGGACATACTAAATGTCAATGATAAAGAGAATTCAAAATTTATGAAACCATAATTCACATTTCAGCGAGAAGCTGAAATTGTCACAATTGCAAAAAGTCAAGACTGTACCATAAAAATAACAGTTCTAGCTGTAGCCTCTCATTGCTACTTTTGGAGTCCTCTTGGTATTCAAGAAATTAGCAATTTTGAAGTCAATTGTCACATTTTGGTAACCGTTGACTGTGAGCACGTGGGCCAAAGGTCCTTTAGTGGTACATATTATAGAATGTATAGTAGTGTACTGTTTAGTTTTGTCCCAGTTAATTGATACACAATGATAATTATGCAATATGCAAATAACTAAGACAAAATGTTTTAGAAAAAATTAATTTGCAAAATTTTTATTTTTTTTCATTTTCAGAGATGCATCTGCCACCAAAATTAGCATATATTCAGGTAAGTTCAACAAAATCATACATACTCTTGTAAATTGAGAACTACAAGTAGATGAAAGAATAGCTATCCAAAGTCAAGTCGAGTTTTAGGGAGATAAGTTGGTATTAGATATATCCCGTATCCTGATTTTGAGGTTTCCATATCCAGAACCTCCATATCTCCCGCCATACCTCCTACTTCAGTGCATATCTTCCTGCTTCCGGTAAATAGTGGAAATGCAATAAAATGACTTTGCAAGTCTGCATATGAATGATTTGTTTATTTTTACACCTTGTACTATTGAAATGGCCATATGCCCCTGAAAATTCTACTTGGTATAGGATAAAGCAGTTATGTATGGTCGGTTTGGATATTGGGTTCATCCCTCATGAGATATGCACATCTACCTTAGGTCCCTACAGTCCCTCAGGTAGATATGCATATCTCCCTCTGGATAAACCCCATATCCAAAACCTCCCAGTACATAACCCTTATGCACAGACTGACATATAGCTAAATATAAGTACAAATTATTTTTTTGTGGTATGAGAATACTCAAAAAATTATAATAGTAATCCAACCAGTGAAACGTGTTCAGAAATTTTATGAGAATCAATTAAGTCTTAAACCACAAAATGGGTAGCTAGAACTTAAATAGGCAAAGCACAACATGACATACGCACCCACTTTGTCATGGCCTTTTCATGTACGAAACAGGATATAGGATGAACCTTAAAACTGGAATGGGCAAGGCTTTGGAAGGAAGTGAATATTATATATCCAATTTCACACTTTTCAACTGAAAATCTATCAGAATGCCAGAATTTGATAGAATTTATAACACCACATTTTTATATTTTTCAAGTTTCACTTTGACCAAATTTTAATTTTGATAGATAAAAGACGAAAAACAAACATTCGTTGCAGCATTATTGATTATTAGTGTTTAACATTTGACACAGCTTTGTAGCTTCTTATTGTGGTTGAATACTTGTTTCAATAAAATAGACTTGTCACCCTCATCAATACAATTGACTTGTCACCCTCATCAATACAATTGACTTGTCACCCTCATCAATACAATTGACTTGTCACCCTCATCAAGAGTTACCTTTGCACAGGTGTACCTTTCATAATTATGAGGTTTGTTGACTTTTGAGTCTTTGAAAATTGTATCAGGATCTATATAATATCCTGTCTTTTTATGATATCCAAAAATGTTGCAGGGTTAATTACTTTTTAATTAGATAATCCAGAAAAAATCATGCAGGGTTATTTCTTTTTAATTAGATAATCCAGAAGCAATGTTGCAGGATAAATTATGTTTTAATTAGATAATCCAGAAGAAATGTTTGATGGTTAATTACTTTTTAATTAGATAATCCAGAGAAAATGTTGCAGGGTTATTTCTTTTTAATTAGATAATCCAGAAGCAATGTTGCAGGATAAATTATGTTTTAATTAGATAATCCAGAAGAAATGTTTGATGGTTAATTACTTTTTAATTAGATAATCCAGAAGAAATGTTTGAGGGTTAATTTTTAATTAGATAATCCAGAGGAAATGTTGCAGGATAAATTACGTTTTAATTAGATAATCCAGGAGAAATGTTTGAGGGTTAATTTCTTTTGATTTAGATTATCCAGGAGGAAAATCATCTTTTGTGTCTTCGCCTGTGTCTAGCAATTTGATTGGTCGGAATTAGGCAGAGTGACGGAAATTTCAAAACTTTGAAAAATGTCTCTGATATTGTATCTTTTATTTGACCAAAAGTCAATCCGTGGGAAGAGAGGTGGGCATACACAATAACTCCATGCAATATGTTGTAGAATGATCAATCCCTAGATGATTGCAAAAATGATCAATCCCAAGTTGATAGCGTCACAGCTGGTGACCTTGCTGTAATTAATTCTTGTCGCAATATGATTGGTCGTCCAACCTGCAAATCTATGAGCAGTAATGGAATTATAATCAATTTATAGCTTTGCTTGTGGCAAAGCATCATGTGTTACAAAGGGTTATCTATTAATTAAATTATATTTTGTCTAGTAGTACATATAAAATGAAAAATATTATTTTGCAGTCTTCATGCCCTTGTATTAGTGATTTTACTCATTAGAATTTCATGATAGTGCAATTATTTCTTGAGAGTGAAACAATATCATGATAGTACAACACTATATTGATAGTGCGACTATCTTATGATAGTGCAATAAATGTCATGATATATTGAACAAATTAACCTTATAAGAGTGCAGTTATGTTTAGCAACTTTATAATTCAACAACCGTATGATATTGCAAACAACTTATGATATTGCAAACAACTCATGATAGTGCAACAAACTCATGATAGTGTTATGCATGCATGCTAGCGAAATAACCACAGATACTAGAATTCTGTGATTCGGCGTCGCCGCAGAAAAAACTGCCACCATTTGTCACCAGAAGCTGGTGTAATTAAGATTTAGAAGGGAAAATGTGAAATCTGTTTAAGATTCCCAAACTTCAGGCTTTTCATGCAGTATTTGACTTTTTTATGCAGAGTTTCTGCGCAGAATTTGCATTTTCTCATGAAGTAAACTGAGATGTGTAAATAACATCATGATATTCAATGCCATTGATAATAGGATTTATATTTTTTGTAATCTTGAACGATGCATATAATTACAGTTAATGTCATACTGATAATGCAGATCTGCTGAATATGTGACAATGAATTGTGGTAAAGCTATTTGTATTGATACAGCTGAAACAATATCATTGTTTTTGATTGCAAAGTGACAGATAATGGTGGAAAATAAAATAAAATAACTTTTATTATTATTCAACTGTTTCGCTGGTTTGGAACCTTGTCTAATAAGTGATAGTACTTTAATAAAGGTACCTTTTGCATTCGTTCGACTTCACTTCTTAAAAGAGAGCTTCGTCTTCACTCTTTCAGTTTACAATAAATCTCTGATCTCACTGAGCCAATCAGAGAGTTCATCGTCAAAGAGGGACAACTTTCTATATGGTAATTTTCTCTGACATCCCCACATAGTTAAGGAGCACATATTAAGCATGTGTTCCTTCCACTTCGCTGATTGGTTGAGAAAGGGTCAGCGTCGTAGATTTGGAATGATTTATTACCCGGGCTGTCACAGGCAACAATCTTTGGGACGGGGCTGCTAAACTGTAATATAGTCTATACTAGGCAGAGGGTAGTTCATAACTAGACTCTGCGGAGTCTGGGCACAGGATATAATAAAGCCTATGTGTTGTGTGAAATATTGTAAAACATGACAACGACGAGCATTTTGAAAAAGTGCAATAAGAATGGCAGTCTCAATATTCCTTCCTGCATTTAAAAGTGCAGCAAATAACCATAATATATTTTTTTTCTGTTTTTAGTACCAGATAAGTCACTTAGAGGGGACTACATGCTGTGTTTCCTTGACGATGGAGAAGGCATGGACTCAGGTATGGATCAAAGTTGTCATGGATACCCAGTGGTTTTATTAGCAACAGGCAACAAGCACCTGTTGTTTTTAGGAAGTTTTCAACTTTTCCATGTTTTTATGATTTTTATTAATTTTTCCTGTTGGTTTCATTTATTTAGCTTGTTGTGAGAAATTCTATTGGAACCCCTGGATAACCCCCATTATGTCAATATTCAGAACCAATCTGTTATAGGAACGCTATAGCTGCATAGCTGCTTTATGATAAAGGCAAATTAAAGTGTCATTCCCCCATCTTTCAAAGAAAAAACAAATAGCCTTAGAATGATTTATAGTACATGAGGGTGGCATATGTTGGATCAGTACATCTGCGCATATCAATACATTTGAGAAAAAGATTGTGAGAATTTTGAAAGTCGTTTCTTACTTTATTTCTAAATAAAAGAATACATGATAAAGATCTCATAAGATTTTATGATCCATGTATAGTATGATACCAAAAAATACAAATATAGTGCCAAATGGCATCAAAATTCCAAACTCTCCCAAGAGTTGCTTTCTCAAGAGGGCGTACCTACACCAAATATACTCCTGCCATTTTTTTAAATTCCTCAAATTTGACATCAGTTTTTGACATTTTGTAAAGGAGAGATTGAATTGAAAATTGTCTGAAATATGGAGAATAGAGTCAAGGTACATATCCATTGACATTATCAGTTTTTCTTTCGTTTCAGGCTTTGAAAATAAGAGTTCAAACATACATGGGGTTTAACATGTAAACCTATGAGGAAAAAGACTGGTCCTTTACTTTTTTGAGGAGTATATATGTGCAATATAGCTGTATGACCATGTAGTATATTTTAACAAAATTTCTTTTTCACCATACAGGTGAAGCCTCCGATATCATCACATTTGGAAAATCTACAAAAAAGACACTAGACTCTCAAATGATAGGAATGTACGGGAATGGTCTCAAATCGTAAGTTGAATTCAGATTTTTCTGGTAATTTTGAGTCAAGTAGCAAAAACCTTTAATATTACCTATCACCCCTTAACCATCAAACTCTCCAAACTTTTCATTCTTTTGAGTTGTGCAATATTCATTTGGCATTCATCACGGTGTATAACCCAAACGCTCCTACATGCACGACGGAGCGTTTCATTACTGAAATTAAACAAAGAAACGCTCCGGAGTATGAAAACTGGCTGGCGGGAATGATGAGCCGTTTGACGATTTCCCCAATGATGGGAATGAGAGGTATGAGTTACATATTTCGAGTATACCATTCGATGGGTGTGATATTCATGTTGTACTTGGCCGACTGTTGACTTTTGAAGCAATTAGGAAGAGCTGTACGAAGCAGTATAGTTCAAAAACGTATTTGTCATTCTACCGGTCAAAACCCCTTTTGTCGATACATGTGATTAGTTGAGCCAAGATTAGAGCACCAACGTATATTTTAGTCAAATTCCAATGCTTCAACGCACCATACATTATCGTAATAGTGATTTGATGACCGAAAATCCAGTCTTAAAAATGATGACGTACTCATATTCAAGAAACGCTCCGATCTGGTTAACACAGTGCACTGGAAACGCTCCGGTAGTCTAGATCAGTTTAGGAAATATATAGCTTGCCTTTCCTTTTCAGGAAGAGAAAGAAAATATCTATTATACCCCTTGGCATCAATAGAAGAAAGATTAATTCACATATAAATTTTCGTTTTTTCTATAGTTTTATGATTTAGCACATATGTAGGCATGACATCATCTAATGTAGGCTTAAATCAGCTAGTTGCACGTTTAGCACCACCAAGTTCAGATGTTTCAATTTACCTAACAAGTACAAAACGTTTTTGAGAGCTGGATTCGATTCGGAACTCTTCTCTAATAATCTGAAAATGATATCAAAACAAAATGGTAAGTGCGTTTCTAAAATTGTGTTCTAAATCGACGGAGCGTTTCGAGGAAAACAAGCGATTTCTCGAGAACAAGTAATGGATTTGGACTGGGATTTTAGGAAATGAGAATATACGAGTTTGTGATCTACTACTTTAACAGAAAGATTAACGTTTTCATATAAATATTAGTTTAATTCGTAATTTGTGGTCAAATCGTCATCTTCAGATTCGTTCGATCTACACTACGGAGCTTTGATCAAGCAAATAACAGTTTACCACCAGAAGTTGAATAAATAAGATCTTTGCTCACGGTATTGATCATCGAATGGTACATAATATTTCACCATAACATATGATATGTAAGAGAAACGAGAGAAACAATACTTACGGTCATTGTGGAATCTTCATTAGCCGCCATTTTATTTCGCTCCGGAGCGTTTCCGCGTAAATGAAACGCTCCGTCGTGCATGTAGGAGCGTTTGGGTTATACACCGTGTTCATTGCGCCCGATATTCAGAGTGAATAAATTGTAATCCTTCATGTGGGACTCAGTTTTGACCAATAATACAATTGACACATCTAAAAGTTTAGAGAATTGATTTAATAGTTTTGTGAAAATATTGCCAAAAGTATCATATTTTTCCTCTGGTTGCAATCAGTCCCGTAGCCAGGGGGATTCGATTTGATTCGAACCCCCCCCCCCTGGCCAAAAAATCTTTCAAAATCATGCAGTTTTTCACCATTCTGAGCACTTTTTAAGTGATTTTGGCCATTTTTGGACCAAGATTGTCACAAGTGAACCCCCCTGGAATTTTTCCAAAAAGTGACCCCCCCTTGGCAAATCGTGGCTACAGGCCTGCAATTATACTGGTTTTATCTTGACATGATATCAAATGTCATAGTAACTATAGATAATAGAATACTTTAACGCTCTATTTTCAGGGGTTCCATGCGAATAGGGAATGACTTCTGCCTATTCACTAAGAAGGGAGCAGAAATGACATGTGTCTTTTTATCAAGGACATTTCACGAGCAAGAGAAAATAGACGAAGTTATAGTTCCCATCCCAATCTTTGATGCAACCACCAAAAAATCAATTGCTTCCACTGCGCAGGAAAAAGAAAGGGTATGTTAATTCATTCATTATTATAGTGGTATACAGCTTGCATTTTATCAAGTCAAGTTTGGACATAGCCTCGAAAAAGTAAAATGAGTATTTTGCATCAAGGTGGAAAAAATCCATGAAAGAACACCAAATATTGTAAGTGTAAAAATAAAAGAATTGACCTAGCTAAGTGAGCTCATTTTTATGGGTTCAATTTGTGATTACACACTGTTGCAAATTGATAATGTTCCAATACAAATGGACAAAATTCTGAAGCAGGGAAATGTTACATTGATAAATTGAAAATAATATGTGACTGCATCTATGAATTTTGGGGTAGCCTCTGATGGTGTGATTTCCTTCACATCATATGCCTTGTTTATTTGTTTTTTCTGTACATTAACAAATTGTAAGATTACACTTATTTTATTTCAGCATGAGATGGAAATGCAGCTGATTTATAAATACTCACCTTTTAAAAATGAAAAAGACTTTATGGCCCAGTTTGACAAGATAGATGGCAGCACAGGTACCTTAGTAATTGTATACAATATGAAACTTCTCGACAGCGGGGAGCCAGAGCTTGATGTGAATTCTGACGCCAATGATATTTTACTCTCCAGCAATAAATTCTCAGAGTTTGACGCAGATGAAGGGTATGTACAAAATTCTGTAAACATGTTTCTATACTTTTTGAGGGGAATGTGTTCCGATTAAATTGAATTTTTCTATACTTTTTGAGGGGAATGTGTTCTGATTGAATAGAGGAGTTTCTAAATAGCTTTGAAATCTCGCTAATTCTTGTTTTTAAATGAGATTTTAAGAGATTTGCACTTTTTTCCTCTGATGAATTATTTTTCTTTATTTTTGATAGCCTTTTTGGATTCACAAATTTTCTCCAATTATAGCTTTGATTTTTAAAAAAAAAAGTTGGGCCAAATCCCCATTGGTGCAATGCTGAAATTCATTAAAACCTTGGTTTATTCGTATGACAACCAATATTTTCATGGTTAATCACAATATGTACATGGACAGGGTCATCCAATAGTATGCCATTCAAGTTTCAGACAGATTCAATCAACACTCTTTGATAAATCATGAAATTAAGTGACTGTTGCAAGTTTCTAACATTGGAGTGAGTGGAGGTCTGGCCCTAGAAAATCAAAGACAAACAAGGGTGAAATCTATTATGTCAGCACTTTTCAGCTATTTAGAAACTATACTATTTTACATCTGTTTGTTGCTCAGCGAGTCTGGGATTCTATTACAGTAAAACCTGTTGAATCCAAACACCAACGGGACCAGCCAAAAATGTTCAGATTGGCAGGTGTTCACATTGTGAGGTTTTTAAACAGTGTTCACATTGAAAGGTGTTCAGATAAGAGAGATGTGTTTGGATATACAGGTTTTATCGTTAAACAATAATATTTAAGTGCAATATTTATAATCTTTGTCTCATTTTTATACTGTAATATTGTGGCCTGAAATTATGCCACACTAAGTCATTTACTTTATTCAATGCAGTGGTTTTTGTTTAATCAGCTTTAAAAACACTTGTATTGTGCTATTAATTACAAGCCACAGTTTTATTAATGTATATTCAGTACTACAATTCGGATCGTGCAGTTGTGGTTGTTATCCTGTGAGCATTCATGATGCAAATCTACAACCAACAGTCTAAATTGATCTATAAATTATCCCAGTTTAAAGATAAAGCAATACTTTCATATACCATATTTAAGATGGCATAAATGTATTTCATTGGGTAAAATTCCATTTGAAAAATGTTATTATTAAAGTCACATATTTTTCAAGCATTTTCTAAAAACTGTTTTACTTTTTTCATATGATTCTTCTTAATTTCATGCGAGTAATATGTTGTACTTAATACTTAAATATTTAAGTATGTTCCATGTTAAAATAACTTACATAAATGTTACTGTGTTCATTCTTGAGTTGAATGCTGCCACTTTCTGCAATAGTCCAGTCAGAATGAGACATACAGCGTGTAAAATCAGATTTGGGTTGAATTTTTAAAATGAGAATTCTTCGAAATCCTTGGGAGAACATGGACATTGATTGAATATATTATAAAAACTTGGGATATTTGATTTACCTTTGACATTCATAATTGGCAAAATCAGAAATTTGGAAAACAACCCAGGAAGATACTGAATATTTGGGTTTTATTGTTTAAAAGTAAAAAAAAGTATTTTATTGATGTTTGACTTTGACTAGCTTTCTTATGTTTCATTATGATGTTGATGGACCATTCAAACATTTGGGTGAGACCCCTGATGTAGGAGGGTCAGGAATTCAACAAGAGGAATTTTGACTATATTTGACCACAATTATTACCAGCTATTATTTCTGAGGCGGGGAAACTGACTCACTAGGTTTTCCCCCTAGGGAATTTGAAACCCCAATTTTATTTTGTCAAAATCACCATACTTTCTCACGGGAGTCTCACGCAAACATGTAAATACATTTTTTTCATTTATCAATTTGTCAAATATCATGGCCATTTGGGAAATATTAGGAAATATGCCATATTTAGACTGCTTCCTCAATAGGACAGCCATTTCAAAATTTGAAAGCAATTCAATGTAATACTACTGCCTCTTGACAAGATTTTTCAATGGGATTAGTTATGCCATGGCGTTTCTGTTGTCTAGTAGTGACAAAGTAGTGACATATTGTTATGATCTCCATTTTTGTGACGGCGGTTGGCGTCTAGTGTTCGGTGTCTGTAAAAATAGTAGCTGGGGACATTTTGCATGTTAATGCCTTGTTCTACTCTGCTTACGTCAATCAATTTATAATGCTCATGTTTGTATGTTTCAGACTTATGCCCGAAAGGAGGTCATTCCGCGCCTACACAGCCCTGTTATATGTTGACCCCCGTATGAGGATATTTATACAAGGGAAGAAAGTACGAACAAAACGTTTAGCAAATACACTGTACAAGCCACGACTGTACAAGTTTTCCTCTAGTAGGTTTAAGTCACGTGCAGAGAGTGAAACACAAAAAGCAAAAGATGCATCAAGAATTGGTTAGTAGATTTTCAACTCTGACCAACAATAGCTTAAATAATGTAATGTGAAAACACAAAGGGCAATACAATGAAACAAATGGGTGTCCCATAGTATTAATAACCACACCTTAACTTGAGAAACAGGGATTTGAATGGATGATTACCTCTATATGTTCATGAATGATCAGAAGGGAATAGTGAGCATCTGTTTGAAATGTTCTTCAGTCATTGTTGATTTTTGTTTGATTTTTGATTGTGATAGTGATGCTTGAAAAATGGCAAAGCACTTAATTGTTTGTCTGTTTCATTGTAAGATTAATCGGCCATTAAAACCATGAAAACTGTAGGTGAGATTCCATATGACGGGTATAATTTTTTTCCCTTTCTACTATTTTTCGTACCTTTCCCATATTTTCGTTACTATTATAGCTGATGCTAAGGCCAGGGAGGCTGAGAGTAAAGCCAAAAACCTCGAGACACAACTTGAAAAGTCTGGCAAGATGACCAAGGCACAGACAACAGAATTGCGTAAACTGCAGGCTGCTGCGTCTGAGCTTAGGGCTGATGCTAACTTCAAGAAAAATATGGCTGAACGCAAAGCAAAGTAAGATTACATTGTGATTTTAGAAACTATTTATTTTCCAAAAAAGTATTACATAGAAAGTTTTATACATGATTTGTATATTTTTCTGAATTTCCCCACAACATAGAGAATGTCATTTATTGATGTTCATACAAAATGAAAATTACTCCAAAATTAATAATATTGTCTTTGTATTTTTGGTGATCTGGCATATTGCATCATCAAAACCTTTAATTGGGTCATGTTCATGAGTCCATCAATGTAATTTCCCATTCGAAAATAGAATATATACAGTTTACCCCATATGGAGTCATGTCTGGTTTTTGAAGTCATAAAATGTTATGCTGCTCGTATTAACTGTGTAAGAGGAGGTTATATACCAGAGTTCATATTTATATGGAGTTATGGGCATCTATGAATTCTGGGGTATTCCTCTCTCTCTCCCTCTCTTTTACTCTGTATAAGAACAGCCTATACCAAATAAGGAATTCCATATAAGGAAAATGTAATAATGTTTCGATAATATCTAACATTTTATTTTCTTATATATACATGTACAATATAATTTCAAATTCCTGGATATAATACATATTAAAAGTGGTATATGTAAATATATTTATTTACTCGCTGTTGCGTCATTTCAGACCATTTAGCTGTGAAATGTTATCATCCATGATTTATTTTAGACCAATGAAAAGGACGATTCTCAGTTTGGAGAACAGTCTCCTGGGCTAATAATCTTTTTCATGAAAAATATAGAAATATTACCCAAATTAAACTATGAATATTCAAAAGAGGACATTTAAATCTACAAGATGTACAAATAACAAATTGGTCTGAAGCAGGGATAACGGTCAATTAGACCGATTCAATAAAATACAAGTCTCGATTTGGGGAATGAAGTTCATCAGTGTACTGCGCTAATATTTTTTTGCGAAAAAAATCTAGAAATATTACCCAAATTAAATTATGACTATTCAAAAGAAGACATTCAAATCTATATTATGTAAAAAAATCAAATTTGTTCGAAGCAGGGATAATGCTCATTTAGATTGATGAACTTCGTTCTCCAAACCGAGAATTGTCCTTTAGCCCCATCTTTACAAAATGACGGCTCTTTTTCACAACAGTTATTTTTCTCCATTTTTATTTTTTCATATTGTGAAGATTGGTATTAGTAATTAAACTTACCCATGAAAATCATTATCCAATTAAATTAATCGTTTTATTCATCTCTTCTAGAACTCTAAAGGACCCTAAAATTCTCAACTTTATATTCGGAGTAAACCTGGACAATCGCAACCAAGATGGCGTATTTGTCTATAACTGCAGCCGTTTAATAAAAATGTACCAAAAGGTAAGATTATTTAGAGAATTTGTCAATTTTTTTTTAAATACTAATGGTATGTTTTAATTCACCCTTCCCCTAATCTTCTATTAACTCGAAAATTATGTCATATAAATGACATATACCAAAGAGACTACAACTACATACTAGGATTCTAGGATACTACTTTACGTCAGATTCACATACAGAACATCAGTGTCTTGTATCCATAATACATTTTTTTAAAACATTTGTACATAATATTATCATTTTCTAAATTTTGAAAGATTGATGTACAAATTGTAAGTTGACGTCAGAGATTTTACTAGACATGACAGTTTCAAACGGATTATCAAAATCTTTTTGTTGCTTGAACCCATTTAATATGTGCTTGTCCATGGTGTAAGATTACTCTTGATTGACTAATCCTAATCTACTTTACCACAATGAAATATTACTTCTCATTGGCTTGTCATTTTTTTCTTGACCACATTGTAATCTTTGGCTATTCCTTGTCTACATCTTCATATTGTAACTTTACACCTGATTGGGTAATCTTTAGTCACCTGACCACATAATCTTACTTCTGATTGGCTATTCCTTGTCTATTTGTCCATGTTGTAACCTTATACCTGATTGGCTAATCCTTAATTACTTGACCACATTGTAATCTTTTTTCCTGATTGGCTATTCATTATTTACTCAACAACAATGTTATCTTACTCCTGATTGGCTATTCCTTGTTTGACTCTAATAGAACAAAACTGACTAGAAGTCCACAGAAACTTATTATGGATGTTGAAATAAAGGTTAACATTGTACATTGTGAGCCAAAGCATTGATCTTTGGGATCATTGAACAGAGTGACATTGTCCAATGACACATTGGTATTGTAGAGTGACACATTGGTATTGTGTAGTGACACATTGGTATTGTACATTGACACATTTTTGATATTGATGTCAGATATGGTGTTTGTATGCCAGGCATTAAACATGTACACACGTTCATAAATGATCAGGAATAATATTGAGATTATTTTTTCAAAACCACTGATGAATCCCCATAGCAACGCAAACCTATCCAACCCATATTTCTCGTAGATTATAACGGGAGAAAAGACACGCAGTGTGGAGTTCCCGAGATTAAACAAAATGATCACGATAATCAAAACAGCAAAGGTTTGCTCTACCGTTACCATGACGATCTGAGAAATTACTAGTAAAACATTGCAACATATGAGAATCGTGTCTCGGGAAACTTTGCCCTTTAGACAACCGGCCAAAAGCCATATGTAATGTGAGACAAGCCCTACAACAGTAAACAATATATATAACACTCGTGTATGGTCCATTTGACCTGCGGAAACTATAATCAAGGTAGTAAGGAAATGAAAGTACACTATAGATGTCACTCCACCCAAGAACGCCATCATGAACATCACTAAAATAAAAACATCAGATAAAATTGGAACATCGTTATACCAAGACCTACTTCGGATCAGGATTTTATTTTTGTCCGATTTACTCAACTCTTGTTCTCTCATGCTCATCAGAGGTTGTCCTTCTGTTTTGTTTGCGGAATACATGTTCTTAGTCAAACCCCCATAAGGAGCCATTCTTATAGCATCACCACCATCATCATCATCTTCTAACCGCTCGTAGCCATCCTCTTTTGTAAATATCAGCATTAGTATAAACATAAGACTTGATAAGGTAGATAAAAGCAACAAACCCAGTACGAAATTTTGGTATTGCTTTATGTTGAAGTTGACCTGTTGAGTGACGTAACCTGATGTTGTAATTTCGCTGAAGAGGATTATAAGAAGGAATGGACTTCTCTGGTATATGTTTTCTACTACAGATACAAGTCTCGCTTTATTCTTGAAACTGACTGAAAAAAGTAAACATGTTGAATTAGTCATACTTGATATGTTCTTGTTAAACTCACAAAAGTAAAACACATACATGTTATCATATACGTTCATCCAATTATGGAGCGGGAGTTTAGTTTTGTTTTTTCAACAATAACAAGTTGTGATATACAGGTATGCTAATTGCATCATAACACATAAATGCTCTGCCTTTGGACATGGTGGTACATTAATTTTACTCACCCAGACCTCTAGCCAGCATGGCTATTATGGGATACATAGAACCATGCCCAATAATGGCTGTATACAGAATCAACAGCCAAGGGTGGTCTTTATGGAATTCTATTGTCTCGCAACTCCCCCACAATAACAAGTATCCAATAGCGCTTGTGACGCAACCAATCGCTGTTGTCCATTTTGAACCATAGCGATGTTGCACAATTCCCGCAATCATGTTTGCCGTGCATTGACCAAATACTAGCATTAACAACATGGTATCTGTGTTGTCTTTCGTAAGGTTGAAGATATCGTGTAGCCCTGGTCGTGAATGGATCACTGGGATTATAATGGCAGCTCCACTAGAGATACAGACTAGAATTCCAAATATGACGAACAATATGTCATCCAACCAAGTCCTTTTCAGCGATTTGGTATTTTGATAATTCATGCCCATATTTGGTGCCATATTGTGCTTTTTTCATATAATAGTGTAATTTTTTCCTATTTATGATTCTCTAATGTGCTCGTATTTTATTTTCTAATTTTGCTTATAATATGTGTAATATTTCTGGTATAAGTCGTATTGAACTATTCAGTTTTGCCTATTTCTAATTCTTCTGATAAATTCCTATTGTCTTTTCAAGTTTTGCTTATTTGTGATTTTTCTGATGTTCTTGTTTTTGTATTTTCAAAGTTTGCGTATTTGTTATTTCTTTTTTTGTTAAGTTCCTCATTAAATTAATTTTTTTGTTATTGTTTAACCCCTCCCCTATTACTGGAGCAAAAGAGATGTTGATTCACATATATTTCCAATGCAAAAATCAATATTTTGCATTTAAGATATCATGTAGGTCCTCTCAGAAAATCAACATCATTCTTCCAAATCTGTTAACAAATTGACTACATCCCTGATATATTTAATGTATGAATATGATGTAATTGCTGCCCACATTTATATGGTGAATAATAATGACCCATGAATTTGTATGATACAAGGTCATTTTCATAGATTTAATGGATTACAGTACGTGTGATATTAAAGCATCAACAGGAAATTTAGACACTGGAGATGATTTAAAATGTCTGAAAATCACTTTTAAAGTCTAAAACAGGAATAAAGCATTACCAAAATGGATTTTTAAGTATAAGATAGAAAGACAATAACCCCCACAGTGAAACATCACATTATGATACCTGGATGTAGGGATATAATTACCAATGAATATAAACTATAATATTAAATATTAACTTGTTAAATATTTATGTTTCTAATATTTATGAAGGTTTTTGTTTTTCTATTGTATGATAGACAGGATCACAATTTTTATGTCTCCATGGTAACATATTGTTGTAGTCTTCAACTTTTTTAGGAAGGTGTTTGGTAGTCGGCATTCGGTGGTTGTTATTTGGCATTCGGTGGTTAGTGTTTGGCAGTCTGTGTCTGTAACAAATGGCAGGTTGTGATATTTTGCATGTTAATACTTGATTTAATAAATGTATGGGATCATTAATTCATCAGATTTCCAGATTGTTTTTTCGAAGTTTTGTCAAATTCAAAGTTGACCTATTTTGCATGCTAATATTTGATCATTTTAACAGGGTACAAATTGATTTTCATCATGATGGGAAGACAAGTGGTGTCCTTTAGATTCATTGAGATTATGAGGTGAAATATGCAGATCTGAGACACCTGTCGATGGCACAATGAAGGCCACTCACTTAATTTTCTGTGATACTATATACCTGTCAAATATTTTCATGTTCAATTTCGTTGCGATTGCATCGTTGATGTTTTTTATCGTACCTAAAAAAAGGTACGATATTGTAGTCAGCTTGACGGGCGGGCGGCGGGCGGGCGGCGTCCCAAACCATTTGAGGGATTTATCTGAAATTTTCAGGGATTTTTCTACATATCAACATCAAGAACTGATTAGTTTTTGGGCATTCTGGGTAAATCTTAAGGTGGCCATTTTGGATTTTCCGTCCTAAAATCTTCACTTTCAAGACTTGTCTACAGGTTTCCAGCCAAACCATTTGAGGGATTCATCTGAAATTTTCAGGGATGTTTCTACATATCAACGTCAAGAACTGATTAGTTTTTGGGCATTCTGGGTAAATCTTAAGGTGGCCATTTTGGATTTTCCGTCCTAAAATCTTCACTTTCAAGACTTGTCTACAGGTTTCCAGCCAAACCATTTGAGGGATTCATCTGAAATTTTCAGGGATGTTTCTACATATCAACGTCAAGAACTGATTAGTTTTTGGGCATTCTGGGTAAATCTTGAGGTGGCCATTTTTGATTTTCCGTCCTAAAATCTTCACTTTCAAGACTTGTCTACAGGTTCCCAGCCAAACCATTTGAGGGATTCATCTGAAATTTTCAGGGATGTTTCTACATATCAACGTCAAGAATTGATTAGTTTTTGGGCATTCTGGGTAAATTTTAAGGTGGCCATTTTGGATTTTCCGTCCTAAAATCTTCACTTTCAAGACTGGTCTACAGGTTTTCAGCCAAACCATTTGAGGGATTCATCTGAAATTTTCAGGGATGTTTCTACATACCAACGTCAAGAACTGATTAGTTTTTGGGCATTCTGGGTAAATTTTAAGGTGGCCATTTTGGATTTTCCGTCCTAAAAGCTTCACTTTCAAGACTTGTCTACAGGTTTCCAGCCAAACCTTTTGAGGGATTCATCTGAAATTTTCAGGGATGTTTCTACATATCAACATCAAGAACTGATTAGTTTTTGGGCATTCTGGTTAAATTTTAAGGTGGCCATTTTGGATTTTCTGTCCTAAAATCTTCACTTTCAAGACTTGTCTACAGATTTTCAGCAAAACCATTTGAGGGATTCATCTGAAATTTTCAGGGATGTTTCTACATATCAACGTCAAGAACTGATTGGTTTTTGGGGATTCTGGGTAAATTTTAAGGTGGCCATTTTGGATTTTCCGTCCTAAAATCTTCACTTTCAAGAGTTGTCTACAGGTTTCCAGCCAAACCGTTCAAATTTTTACATATGTTACACAGTGATAAGTTCTAGAGCTGATTAACTTTTCTGCGGCCATCTTGCTTTCTTGGTCAACAAGACCACAATGCTGTGTTTTAGGTACGATATTGTTCACGTCTGTGCCTTGTTGAAAATAATTGTCAAAAGTGTGTGACCCTTTTGCTCTAAATGTGATACGTTCACTGTCATTTTTGAAAATACATGATAAAAATATCATCTTCATTCATTAGGTTGGGCCACAAGCTGACGGCGGTGTATTCTGTAGTGGAGTTGTCGGGATCGTTGATGTGCCATATTTGGTATTAGAGCCAACACATAATAAGCAGGATTTTGCAGACGCCAAAGAGTATCGACATTTATTAAAGGCTCTTGGGGAGCATATGGTTCAGTATTGGAAAGACATAGGAATAGGTGAGAGATTGGTATATTACATTACATTATTTAAATATGTGAGTCGAAGGGTAAAAATTTAATCCATGATTATACCAATATTAGTCTCATAATAACCAGCATTTATAGTATTAAAATCACTGGATATTTTAGTGTTATTGGTTATTCCACACCTACTCACATTCATATCATTTATTAATATTTACACCTAGTGACAAAGAAACTGGGTTTAAAAAGAAGTGAATATAAATTTATTTTAAACTCCCTGATGATCTCAAATGAACAAAGGAATACAAGCAAACAGTTCTAGTTATTAATTCTCTTGGTGCCAATTTATTTGGACTGTTCCCTCAAAGTTTTAAATCATAATTGGACCATTTCATATTTTTTAATTATAATTGGACCATTCTATTTTAGCCCAGCAAGGGGTGACAACATTCTGGACCAACTTTGGCTATGTGAGCAGTAACTGGAAAGACAACCCCTCACAAGACTCCAAGTTCCTCAAAAAGAGAGCAATGCAGATGAACATTACCTTACAGTGTGGTGAGCTTATCATTGTAGCATGATTGATAATTGAAGTGATAGTTCTGTTTACAGGGTTGCCATGGTGAGGGAAAACAAAATAAAATGATTTTCTCGACCTGAAAAAGTCAAGGAGTTCCCTTAAAAAAGACTAAATGCTATGGAAATTTGAGAATTCTGTTAAGTCAGGGATTTTAAGTTTGTGAAATTCAGAAAAGTTGTAAACTGGATTACAATTAACATACACTAAAAGTCAGAATCTGCTGCATTTATGCCTCTATGTATTCTCTATATTTCATTCCAGACATGTGTCTTAAGTGGCGAATGTTGCCATTCTCTGCCAGCAATATAGGTAAAGATTTCCCTGATGACTGGGAATGTACAGACAATACAGATCCTCAGCATAACACGTAAGTTGTCATTTCGTTTTGGCCATAGTCAGAAACTTGAATGATTTAAAATGTTTTCAAATATGAACACCCTCAAGTTAGTTTTATATCACCAACATTTTTATGGATGCTGTTCATTAAACTTTTGTCTACATGTACTTATATATTCTCCCTTGAGTTTTGTTTGGTCTTCAGTCAATTTAAGCAATATTGCTTTTTTCAGTTTTTGAGGGTCTAAACTTTTCATGAAAATAAGTCTCTGACAAAAAAAACTGGAGAGCTTTAACACATTATAGAAGGAAAAAATAAGTGCTGAGCTAAAAATGGGTGCCATGGTGGTAGAAATGAATTGGAATGTGTGTTTTGTATGAATTGGAATGTGTTCTTTATGTGAATTGGAATGTGTGCTTTATATAAATTGGAATGTGTTCTTTATGTTTTCAGGTGTGCTACAGCAGAGCAACGGCTCAACATAAACGAAGGTGTACTGAAGAAGGAAATTAAAAGCAAAGAAGACAAAGCAAAAGATCTCGAAGAAGAAATTAAGAAAAAACAACAAGAGCTTGAAAAAATGGCAGTAAGTAGAGGATTTAACCATTATAATGTTCAATAGACTTTTTCCAATAAATTTTGACTGCTTTTGGTGAACCAAGAAACTAGGGTATTTTGGCTAGATTTATGATGTCAACCACGGTGCTGTATGGTAAGTTAAGAATATAGTACTGTACTGTACCATTCAATTATGGTGCTGTACGGTGTTCATGGTACTGTATGGTTCAGCTTTTGTCAACTGTACCATATGGCACCATATTTTTGCATTGGCTCCCCCAAAATATAAATGATAGCTACTTTCCTGTCACTTTACTGAATGAATTTTAAATAAAGCCATCGATATATTTTAGAATAAACAAACTGTCCATTCCTCACGACAAGCTAAGAAAATGGAAGAAGAAAAACAGAGAGAAAAAGAAAGACAAGAGGAGGAACAGCAGAGAGAATTAGAAAGACGAGAGAAAGAAAAAGAAAGAGAAAGAATACGTTTGAAAAATGAGCGAGAAAAGGAACGAATGAGAATTGAAAAAGAAAAGGAAAAGGCAAGAATGGCGAAAGAGCGGGAAAAACAGGCTCGAGAGCGGGAAAGGGAAAAGGCCAGAATGGAGAAAGAACGGGAAAGGCAACGCCTAGAAAGAGAAAGAAAAAAGAAGGTGCAAGATAAAATCAATAAAATCTAGATTAATTAGAAAGTAAACAAACTTATAAACTATCAACAGAATAAGTAGTAGACTTGTAAGGTTGCTCCGTTGAACCTCTTTGTACTTTATCATGGGGTTACTTCGACAATGGCAGATAATTCCCTTTTCCGGGGTCAATGCCCAAATAGCCCAAAGTTGAAATAGCTTCATGACAAAGTAACCACATATTACCCTTACATTTCTCTTCAAATTCTTAATCAGTTTTTACACCAACTTGAAAATTACCTTTACATCCATTTGAAGTTGCATTTGCATCTTTTGAGGATTTGGAGAGAGAGAATTAGAAAAATTAAATTATTACACACAGTTGAAAAAGCTAGGAATAATACAAAATATTTCTAACGCAACATCCAAATCTTTTTTAACAGGCTGCCCAAAAGAGTAAGTCTGCCAAGGTGACCTCAAGTAGCACTCGTGGCCGAGGCGGGGCTGCAACAAAACGTAAAATGGATGAATCTTCATCTGAAGAAGAATCAGAAAGTTCAGAAGAAGAGGAAGAAGAAGTGAAACCAAGCCCAGCTAAGAGAAAACCAACACCAAAACCTGTCCCAGTCAAGAAAAAAGAGGTATGTGCTAGGTCAAACTCGGCTATGAGAAAACCAATACTAAAACTACCTTCTCCTGTTATCCATTTAACTTGAAATTTTTCAGATGCATGAGGTGGCCATTTTGAATTTTTCAATAAAAAGTGTGATATTTATGAATGTTTTATGGCAGACAATGCATTATTAGTCCACCCGCTATGGCTCAGTGGCAAAGAGAGTCAAGGTTACCAATATCGCTTGGCCCCGGGTTCGATTCCCGGTTCAGACAAGTTTGTTTGTGCGTTATGTAATTCTGGGTGTTTGACTGAGAGGTTCACGACTCGTATAAAAGGCTGTGGTGTGTACATGTATGTCTGTGTACCTGTGCACATAAAAGAAAACAGGGCTCCTCCAAGGAGGGGTTTCTGGCTCTATCTTCGAGTGTAAAATACGTAAAATACGGAATATACCAATGAGGTATTGCTCGCCAAATATGGCGGTAACCAAGATATAATAATAATAATTAGCAAGAGTAGTTATTATGTTTGCAAGTGATCAGTTTGCTTGAAATAATGTGTTTTTGACATGTTTATAATTCTAAGCATTTTCACTTACCTTGGCCATCCCATAAATAAAACACACTCTTTACTGAAATTTTGAGCTGTTGCTACTATTTGTTTATGTTTTTGATAGGTAAGCGAAGATGAAATGGATGAAGATAAGGATGTTTCTATGGAAACCACTGACATCACAGATACAATGAGTGAAGATGAAGAGAGTAAGTTTGCCAATCACCATTCTAACTATATAGCTGCCTGTCTCTGTTCAAACAAAAATTGTCAGATTTTTATTTCATATTTGTGGGGTACATAATGGTCAAGAAAACATGTATTTTTCAATATGACTACTTGATTATATACAAAAAATATGTGCCATTTTGATAGCATGTATGTAAAACATCTAATATCTGTGAAACTGAAATCTGAATTTTTTCTTTCAAGCATGTTGTCTTGATCTCAAAAACTTGTTTTTATGTTAAATATGTATATGTTTCATGTAGGTGTACTTGAACTTACCACCTATGTATTACACTGTCTTGTATTGTCTTTCCAGGTGAAGTGGGAACAAAAGTTGAGGCCAAGGTCAACAATAAATGGTAAGCAAGGCCATACTTCAGTGCACTATCTGTACTTCAATCCATACTTTTGTGCACTATCCATACTTCTGTCCATACTTCAGTGCACTATCCATACTTCAGTCCATACTTCAGTGCACTATCCATACTTCAGTGCATACTTCAGTGCACTATCCATACTTCAGTGCACTATCCATACTTCAGTCCATACTTCAGTGCACTATCCATACTTCAGTCCATACTTCAGTGCACTATCCATACTTCAGTCCATACTTCAGTGCACTATGCATACTTCAGTGCACTATCCATATATCTTTGCAATATTAATTTAATATGTTACATTCATAACATTAAAAGTACAAATCTTTGCTGAAATTGGATCAAGGAAGTATAAACAATGAAATTACTCAAAAATCCCAAAAAGCGTAAAAAGCATATTTCAACAATTTATGTTTTGTTAACCTGTATTTATACATTCCAGGCACACTGGCACTGTTATACGAGTCAACAAAAAAGACAACAAATGGAAGGTCAAGTTTGATAGTTATCCAAAAGACAAATACGATAAATGGTAAGTGAAGCTATACATTAATATCCACTCTGAGTATTTCTCTATTTTGGAAGACTCACACATACTCTGATGAGTTAATTTATGTGATACAATATTTCACTATAGCTTTGAATAAATACGGCAATGTATAGATGGCAATACTGTCTATATGGCCATATTGAATTACTCTATCATATACAGAAGTGAGAACCTCCCATAATTCTTTCATATTCTGTCGTATTGGGTGATTCCCCAGTGATATGATGTCCAATCAAATTGCAGGATGTGATCACGTGAACAATCATGAACACGTGCTACGTATGCACAAAGTAAAGTTTATTTCAGTTTAACATTAGTTCAACATCATCATTTCAAAACTACGGTAATACATTTGAAGTTATTCGATCCAAACTTGCAGAGAATACTCACTTAGAAAACTAATATTGAGAGATCCATTTCAATGGCAAAAAATGAGGCCTGTTTATAAAATTGGTTAGCGAAAGTGCCAATACCAAAGGTCATCTATGGGAAATCTCCCCCTGATCATATAAAGTATAGTATAGATGGCAGCAAAGAAGTTTTGATTATTTATTCAAAATAAAGATGTACATTTAGGACTACATGTACGTCGTGTCACATGACCCTCAGTGATTCGCTTGTCATTCTCTAAAATGGTTTGTACTGATATAAAATGGGTCCTGACATCAGAGGAATGTTGACATCGCACAAACTGACATATGGTTGTAACAAATAAAGTGTCGATCGTAACAAGTTTTACTCTTATCCATAGACACTAGGGCGTCAAAATCAAATCTCACATTTAAAATTTAACATCACTTCTTTTGAAAAACTTGTGAAATTCCACTGGTATTTTTACAAGGTTTTTGTAAACGTTTTTCTATTATTGTCCTTCCCTACTGGAATCTGTCCATATTGTCCTTATGTTTGATTTAAAATCTAAACAAATGTGTTTAAAATGTGTCGTTAATTGTCATTAATGAGTTTTTAATGGGCTTATTTGTCAAGAGGCTTTTGTGTACGCTCAAGTCGGTGTTTATCAATGAAGAAATCTCTCTTTGAATTCTATTGACAATCTCTGTGAATTCAAGTAGAAAATGATGATTATTTTGTCGAACTCCTTGAAGCTAACTCTATAAAAGTAAATAAATTGTAAGTCAGTTGACCCTTGCAAAAAGTTATCCAAGTTGGTATACCGCTTTACCCATCAATAAAATATCAAAAAATTAAATCGGTGAACTGGCATAGAGAAAAGTACATATATTGGTAGTTGTCCAATAGTTTTAAAATGTTTTAATGGACCTTTCTAGCTCAAGAACTGAAGAAGCAAGTGCTATCCATAGATATCATCATTTGATCTTTTTTGCAATTCATCAATCCAATTTGAATTTTCATTTAATGGCTAACTATATATCAATTGGTGAAATTCATTTCTTTTCAACTTCATCCAGAGATTCAGTTGTTTTAACCAATGCTGTTGAGGTCCTTTGGAAATTGATTATTTGTAATGCCTTTGTACCACAGGCTCTGGAAAAGATAGAATTGGCCAAAAATCCACCCCCTCCCACTCTGTGTCCCTTGGTACACTGAGAGTTGGGGGTTTTCTAATTAAGACAAGTTTACTCTCTCTTCAGGGATGGGGCCTGTGATTTTTACAGTGAATTATACTTTGGATTGAGAGGTTGTCAATCTTATTAAAGACTTCCTGAATACATGTATTTGTAATGGACAAGATGCCAGTAGAAATGTTCTCAAAGTAATATCATATTTGAAATTTAAATTAATTCTTTACTAGGTACCCGGTGCTAGGAGGTGATATCAAGAGTCTCAGAACAGATAAAAAGAAGGACACCAAGCCACCTGGTGGTGCTTCCCCGTCACAGGACACAGCCCCTAAACCTTCAAGTTCCACGACAGACAGTGCTTCTGGCCAATTAGTGGAGGAATTAGCTCATGGTTACAGGTACGGCTATGACAACTTTCCCAAAACTAGAATTTGTGGACTTGTGACACAAAAATAAGTTGAAAATGTACCAAGAATACAATTTTCATTAGCATAGGTAGCTGCAAGGCACTTCTTATTTTTCAGTGATTTTCTATAAGAATACACCATGTTATCAAACTTCCCATAATATTACTAATTTTTGTTTTTTCAGAACATGTTTACGCTACTTCCTCCCGCCACAATGGGTTATGGACAAAGATGCTGTTGCGACACTTACAGTACAAGAGTTAGCGAACTTTAACCTAGATGACTTTTTTGATCATTATGAAAAAGGTCTGAGAAAGGTAAGATATATATATCCAGTAAAACCTGTGCAAGTTGAACAGGGGGGGGGGGGGTTGTTCCACCTGTAAAGGTTCAATTAACATTTAGTCAGTAGGTCAGAGGACTATGAAAAGTGTACACATACAGAGGCGTTCCACTTTATAGGTTTAACTGTAAGATAATAGTGGCTTTCCCAGGGATATTTCTTTGGATGTAAACTTTTTAAAGTATTACCTCACCTATGAGATGTCCAAAACTTGTCAAAAATGTGGAAATATATTTTCAAGTGGGAACTGGGTGCGGGAAAATTTTCAAATTCTCAACTGATTGGATCACTTGTTCAAAATTCAAAATCAAAAATTTGAAATAATTTGCCGAATTGACCCAATAGGCAGAGCTTCGAGTTGACCTTCGATCTGCTATTTCTACATTTCTTACTACACGTAATACCATAATTTCTACACAACAAGAAGATGTTGAGGCTTCTGTTTAGTTGATATCCTCATGTCTTTCAGTTGGTGAACAGTTTCCAAAGTGAGGCATCTGCTAAACAAACCGAAGCAGATACTGCCAAATCTAAACTTTCCAACGTTAGGAAATTGATAGCGAAACTTCTCAAGTCAATCAACGAGGTAAGCATTTTCTTCAACAATTTTTGTGAAAATAGATAGTTTTTGTACTAATATACCAATTAGGTTTTAAACAAAATATTGTTGGCAACAGAAACACTGTATAGGGAACACATTTGGAACCCCCAAAAGGTGTTCACTGTAGGTAGGTGTTCACTTCAAAGAGGGTTTCTTATACTAAGTCAATAGAGTATGTTAACTCTTTGACTACAAATGACGTGATATGACGTCATAAAGCACATACGTTGACTACGAAGGGCGTGATATCACGTCCAAGCATTAACCCAATGTACTTTTTGGAATCTTGTAACCATGACAACCTATAAAATGGGACTTAAAAACCTATTGACTCTGAATGAGTGTATCATATACTTTAAAATAAAATGATATATAACACTACATATGTATGGCCATGTATATACTTTACATATTATCTCAGAGGTACCATATATGGCAATTTTCAAAAATTCTTCAGTTTTTAGTGCTTTTTACCCCAGTATTGAGCATATGAGTTAAAAATGTGGTACTTACGATCGAGAGAGAGATTCTTTGTTTCTAATCTATTTCTAATGTGCTATTTGTTACTCAACAAATGTATTAGAGTCTTTTTCATATTTCTTTGAAATCTTGTTAAAGTCTCGTTTTTAATGAGACAGTTTGAATAGTTCTTGAATAATACAATAACGTCATTTTCGAAGGGCATTATACTGAAATATTGGACCGAGGGCTGAAGGTACTATGGGTTTGCCCTTCTAAACGCACTAAAGACCCCTAGAACTGGCCCGGCAAGGTGGTAATAATAGTTGATAATGAGTTCTTGTGTTCTTGGTCGAAGTAATATAACTCATTAATCATTTGGAAAATGGACTTCAAATCTAAGCTACAAAATAAGTCGTGAAACAGTAAAGGAAAATATATTTTGTATTGTATCTTTTACTACCAAAAATAATATATTAATGTGTGAGATAGTCTTCTTTTTTAAATGGATTCAAACGTGCTACTTTCTTCAGCTGTAGGATATAGTACACATACTACCATGTCATAAACAAAACACTCACCCAAATAAAGTCTTTTTATAGTAATTAAAAACACCTTTTGTTCTTTAAATATTCAACCTATGTAGGTAGGTGTTCTAGAAATAGGGTCTAGTGGTTTTCTAGTTCATTTAACAGCAATGTATTTGTGTTAAATTTCAAGAAATGTGTTTATATCTCAAGAAGTGTGTTTATAAGTGACTCTCAATACAGAAATGTGTTCATAATGGCAGCTTTATTCATGTACAGGGATCAGTTGTGTTTTTTGGCATCTAGATTCACGAGGTTTCAGTTTCTCTTAAGTGTTAAACCTCCTTGGAAGTCAAAGATGATTTTTCCGGCTAATTGGCTAAAGTCTGCACTTAGGTTGTATATGCTAATGCCTTGGTCACATTTGCTCCGATTCATTAGCCAGCGCTGCCCGATTGAGTGTTTTTTTCAATATTGTATTCAATTTTGAACAAAATACTCAATTGGCCTGGCGCCATAGAGAAAATCTGAGCAAATGTGACCAAGGCATTACAGGTTAAGGTAAGTTGAAAATAAATGATCTGCGTGATTAACAGGAACCCTTTGTGTGCCAACTTGTCTAAAGTCATCCTACATTGCCTACCTTAATATGCCACTTGTAGTTTATACATGGAGCATAATAGACTATAATGTAAAGTAAAATTTGAACACCTCTAGAACTGACCAAAAGTGATTGGAGTTGCCGGTGTTCACATTTGGAATTTTTTATCATGGAACTCTTTAACATATAAAAAAATTTGAACTGAAAAAGTGTTCATATTGAGAGGTGTTCAGATTAGAGAAGTGTTTGAATATACAGGTTCTGCTTTATTTCACTTTTAAATGGCATTGTAGGATCCACATTTTGTACAATTTCTGGGAGTACAAGGATTTTGTCATGTATTTGATAAAGAAGGACTCTGATAGATCAGAATGTCTAAATGGAGTAGAACAGAGTTACATGTTGGGTTGGGGATACGACAGAACAGAAAAAAATTCAGAATTGTTGAGAATATATGCTTCCACAATGGAATGTAATTAAAATCAGACTGAATCTAAACTCATCTCCAGTTTGGTTTGGTTGTCCAACATGAAGAGATACAAAATGGAAAATAAAACTATTTGAACAGTTTCGGGCAAATTCCCTTCCTTGAGAAGATGTTTGGGGCATATTTATATCTTTAGTGAAGTGTCTACAGATTTTCAACTAGTTTTTATCATTATCATCACTTCAGCTCTCTGTTCTCGAATTTGATTCCTAGGCTAGGAATCCTCAGAGGTTCTTTGAATATTCTTGAACATTTTATGGAGACAACATAAAATGACTATTTGATAACCAATTATTAGATTACCTCGTAATGCTTTATTAATTTTTGATTAACACACAGGTTGGGCTACTGTGTATTAAAGTTTACATCACCAACATTTTTCAAATTGTGCCGCTCGGTAAGGGGAGCATATGTTGTCGTCTATCAAATTTTAATGCTTAGATGAGCCACTAAATAAAGCACCAATAAAACCAGTAATAGGAAACTCAAGTGACATTTTTCAATCAATTACAAATGTCAGAAGCGTGTCGGATCTTTACAAGGTTTTGCAAATTGGTGGGTTTAAATACTCCGGCTCATGAAATTTGAGATCGGTTCGTAGAGTTTAAAAGCAATTTTGCATGTCTCGGTGGCATCCATAATGGCTCATTTCACTTTAGGACTTTCTCCGTTCATGTTTATTTTTTAATAATTCACACCTTTAACGTTAGAAAATGAAGATTTATTCATTTGGGAGGTTCGGTTATTGAGCCTTGTTATTTTGTCAAAATCATTTGTGACAGATATTAGGAATTGACTCGTTTTTATTATCAGATTGACCTTCCGTATAATTTAAGGTCAACGTTAGTGTAAACAAATTTTAATCACAAAATAATTTTTATTATTAAATAATACACGTAACTTGTTTGTACATATTTGGGTTTCTCTCTGAAAAACTTCATATTTCGTATTAATGATGGATGTCATGGTTTTTATGACATAATTCTTGAAATCAAATCAAAGTCAAATAAGTAAATAGTATTTCACCATGTTGTTTTTTCATCGTTCGTAAATTACAATGAAATCATGAGAAATATCCATGAATTGAGTTGAGTCTCATATGAAAAGAAACATGAGAATCCTTGTACAGTGGCAAATCTTACAAATTGTGTTCACTTGCGAGTTGATCCGTCGCGTGCTAACCTAAATTTGGTGTTTACAAGGCCAGTTTAGAGCTTGTTTAACATTACGATGTTCACCCGAGAGCTGAGACATAAAATACATGCCGTGATCAAAGCTTGCTAATTGGTTAATGAACGAAATAAAACTCATATTTTTTACGATAAATAATCACCGTGGTTTTGGTAAATTAATTTTTTATTTCCATCAGTCTGTTGTTTTAAAAATACAAGAGAAGTTGAGAGTAGAGTTTTTTCATTAATAGACTTCCTCTGAGTTTGAGGGAAACTGAGAATTTAATGAGAATTTAATAAGGAATAACAGGAAAGATTTCAGCATGGTGGCCTAAGGGAAAATCCCTACCCTAAACAGGGATTTTGGTTTCATCTGCAGGCAACTCGACGTATTATAAGACAGAGAGAAAAAAGAAATGATTAAAAGATAAAATTGAAATGAAACAAACCAAACATTTCAAGCATGTTTTTCTAATTTATCTGATTTTTTGGAAATGTTTATTAAAACAATGCCGGATTACCCCATTTCTGACGTCCATCTTTTATTGTTTTTTTTATTGTATTTTGTTTACCACCAATGAAGGTGAGCAATACCTCTTGGGTATGCCCCGTATATATACGGTCGTAATTTACGTAATTAACATGGAAGAGAGACCCAGAAACCCCTCCTTGAAGGAGCCCTGTGTTCTTTTCTGTGCACTTATACATAGACATACAAGTACACACCACAGCCTTTTATACAAGTTGCGGACCACTCAGTCAAACACCCTGAAGTACTTCACGCAAACAAGCAAATTTAGTCTTGCCTGAACCGGGGATCGAATCCGGGACCTATTGCGTTAGAGGTACCTGCGCTACCGCTGAGCTACACGGGTGGACTGAGAAACATTATACTTCAAATTACCATCAGGATGTCAGAGGGACTTTGACAGACATACCCCACCTTTCGTTGTGTGATTTCTGGCAAATTAAGATCACCTCCCCCACCCTTTGAAACTGAATCTCTAAATTTAGCACTCCATTATGAAATTTGAAATTGAAAAATGAAAATATAATTATTATAGATTATATCAAAGACTTGACATTGAGCTTGGGATTTCAATGCGTTAATCAATTTGAAATGGGAGTCGAGATTTCAGTGTAAAGAACACTACCCTGAGACCACTAATGTATCTATAATAGAGTGAATAAAACAAACAGATAACAATGGCTTGCCCTTTCTTAAAATATCCCTTGGTTTGCTTTGATCTGCATGAGTTCTTGCTACAATTTAAGAAATTTAGTATTGATATCGTGACGTTTTTAAATATTCAGTTTTTGTTATTTTTATGTGGTAGTCAGTAATTGAGAATATCACTTTGGGAGTTGGTTTTAGATTTTAAAAAATGAAATTGAGGTATATTTTCCCAGGGTAGGCCTCTGGGGTAAAAAGTTTTCTCTTTAAGGTAAGAGCCATTAAAGTTTAACAGGAGAGCGGTGCTTTAGAAATGATGTCCCCCGCTTGGTATGTTGTCATTTAGCCGTATGATACAAACCAAACACTTCTGCTAGGCTCTTTATATATGTAACAATACGTCTGCAAATAATTTCAGTTTTTCTGGATTATTTCGCGTTTTTCTTGAAAATATTTGATTAAAGTGTGTCAATTTTTAGAATTTTTATATAGTTCAGATCTTCAGCTTCATACCAATGAATTTACTTTTTCTATAATTCCTCTCATTTTTGCGTATTGATAAGAATATGTTTCATAACCATGGTATTTTTGGTGTGTGTAATAAAGGATCAAAACAAACATTGACTTTAGAAAATACCAAATATTGGTTGATGCATTCAATAAAATTCTATTCTATCGTGAAAAATGTTCAACTACATCTTGTGTTGATTTTTACGAAATAATTCAAAGAATTAAATGTGCCGATATGTTTATTCCATATGGAAAATATGTGAAAGGAAACGTTTCTTTTACATCATTATAACAGGTTGTTGGACAGGAGATTGCATTTTTTATAAATCTGAAGTTTTTATAAAAAGTGATATAGGTACAGTATTAATGACCAGAACATTGCAAAGCATCAGATTCCGCACATCTAATAGTTCCTAAACCTTTAATTATTGGCCGTTGACACCTACAATTAAACAGAGCACCGATTGATGACCCAACGTTTAACACTTAAAACAACCTATTAAAGGTATCCCGTTATCAATACACAACGAAGGTTTCATTTACCATGGTAACAATGCAGGAGATTCTTTCCTAATTCAATTATTATGAGTTAAATGACTATTACATTGTAATTGATAGGCTTACTAGTGTTTTGAGGTGAAACAAACCATCTGTGCCGATCAAGCAATTCAACTGTAAAAGTTCTGTCATATGTTAATTCCCTATGGATTTAAGGCTTGTTCGTCTCTCATTATTATTGTACATCTGTGAAAGTTATACGCTATCATTCAGAATAATGATATCATGTTCGTAAAGATTACTTCTTTCTTGACCAGTGGCTTAAATTATAAAAATTGTGTTGTTGATTTTTATTATTAATATCCCTCAATTTTTGATAATGATCATGATTAGAGAAGTGTAGGTTGAGAATTTCTTCGAAACTTGCAGATTTCACGTTCACATTTCATTTTCGTTTAATTTTAATGTTATAAAAAGAAGTAGAAGGGAGTTGGGAGTAAGTTTTAAAAAATGTTCACAAGTTTCAACACAACATTCCATTCATGTCTTTCCATACATTCATGTATTCAAGTCTAAAAACTTCCAACAGCTAGCTTAATATCAGGGTAATCCCTCAATGTCAAGGTTATCTTGCAAAAAATGAAAAGTAAACACCCACTTTAAATTTTAATGTATAGTTGATACAGCGAACATAACGTGACGTTTGAAAAGATTTCTTCCAACATTTTACTCTCTCTCTCTATTCCTTCTATTTCCTTTAAAAAACAACAAAACTTTGAAAAATAAATTTCTCCCGATACTCGTTTACATCCCCAAAATGCAATCTGATTTTCGACGCCGTTTCGGTGCCGGAACAGTGCCGAATTTTTTCGATGCCGAAATGGCGTCGAATTATATTGGCTGTGTACTTCGTGCAGACAGTGCAGAACAATGTAGTTCTACCACCTTTTCATAAATCTAACACAAGTCCAGGGAATGACTACACAACTATACTACAAAATTAAGCATGTTGCTGAAAGTTTTGTTTTAGAAATGAGACCTCTGTTGAAGAACAACATCGCAGAGGAGCTGGCTCAAATATTCTTGACGTTGTAAAAGTAGCTAGTCTCTGTAGGAATGTAGGGGAGTTAACCTACCTCAGTACCTGTGTTAAAGTATAAACAGTTGAATAAATGGCTACTGAATAAACAGGGGGCATCTCACCTTGATGTCTATAAACGGAAATAAAGACAGTGGTCTAATCCCTCATAAAACAGTAAAGAAAATAAACAAATTTCTTTTTGATCTGATCCCTAAAAAAACTTGAGTTGATTTGTCGACTTGGAAACTATGCAAGACATGAAATGAAAATCTATTCTTAAATGAAATGAATCTACTGTTAAATGCACTCTTCTCAGGAGTCCCCTTAATAGAATTAGACTTTAATTAATGAGACAATCTTCAAGGGTTAATTTGGTTAAATTGATAATTGAATGTCAGTAGTTCTCTATGTAATCTGATACTCAGCTCCTCTGTTCAGCTAAAAACAAATCATTGGAGAATGTTTTTTCTTGGTTTTCCTTGCTTTATACAAAGGAATATTGAGGAATAAGCAATGAAATACTTGTAATTAAAGTGGTACTCAAAACAATATTAGGGATTTTTACAAGTGTGTAATTTTCTGATTTTAACAGCTCTATCCATTCAAACAGCCATTTTAATGATTTTTTCTTATTTAACTTTCATGTAGTCATATATGGCAGTGGCGGATCTGGGAACTAACAAGGGGGGGGGCACAAATTTGAGGTCAGAGAAAAAAACTTTGGGGCCCCTAAAACCCAAAAGTCGGGCCGAAATTTTGAGGCCCATTTTCCTCAAAATTTGGACTGAAATTAAAAAATAAGGCCTTAAAAGGTTCAGTAATGACCAAAAAGGCCCACTTTTTGGGACCTTAAGACTTGAAGGCTCAAGCATTTTTAAAAATCTAAAGTTTATTTTTTTATAAAGAAGTTTGGTTTATTTTTTATGTTTTCCATACTCTTTAATAAATGTACTTTATTTTGTGTCAGTTTTTGCTCATTTGAATCTTCCGTAGACATCCACTTTCAAAACACGTGCCAATCCAAACACTATTTTCTAGCCCCAGCGGCTTTCAAACTGGACAAGTTTTGCCGTTTTACTCAATATTCATTTTGTTATCCAATTATGTTTATCCCACTCTTCTTGTTTACTTCCAGGAGTTTGATATAGACCCCAACCAGGATAATGACTCTGTAGATGAACTCTTAGCCACATGTGTGAAACAGGTTGAAGAGCAGAACACACAGTCATGACAACATACAACGTAGTCATGGCAACCCACTTTGTATTCATTAGTGACCCACTGTATTGTCAAAGCATCTGACTTTGTTGTCATAGTAGTATACAGTGTAGTCATAGCAACATGAGTAATATCATAGCAACAGTGGAAAAATTAGTCTTGAATTCCAAGAAATCTTCAAGACTTGAGTTTGAGACAAGATGCTGTTCAAGACCAGAAGCTGTTCAAGACTGCAGAAACTGTTCAAAACCATTGACTGTATTGTACAATACACTACTCTTCATAAAGTTGTAATAATAGACGTTGAAGAAAGCATACAGAGAACTTATTTTTTTAACATTGAAAATTTCCATACAGCTACAGACAAAATGACCAAGATTTTGTGATTTTTAAATCTTGACTGAAGTGAGCAATACATATACCTGATGTGTAAAGATTATGTTTTAACCATATGTATGATCTAAACATTAAGCGTTGATCTCCGAGATATTTAAATAAATGTAATCATAAAATATCATGTGATCATTTAATCATCCAATCATGACCAGGAATTATCAAAGAATGTAGAGTAATAATGGAGATTGGCATTTGAGTTTGGACTTCTAAAAGAATATTTATTATCTGATTGTTGATGCCAGTGGGATATGTAAAATATAAGTAAGTCCAAAAATGTCAGGTCAATGTGTTTGGCAGGATGGGAAACAGGCATTTGAAACTTAAACCCTAGAGAGAAAAAAGAATGTATGTAAAATGTGAAATGATATAAAATCAAGACCAAATATGGACATTTCTGAGCTTTCTATTGAAAGTAAAATGCCAGGTAATACTAAGACCAAATATGGACATATCTGAGCATTCCAAATAAGGAGAAATGCTAATACTGAACTTATCTGACTTTATGGTTAAAAATAATGAATAGATTAAGAACTTCGCAGTAATCAGTTGATGAAATATACTTGTACAACTTGTAATGTTAGCAGTTACAATTGTTTGATCTATGTCATTATTTGTAAAATACAAATTTATACATGTAGGTACTGTACTTAATACCAATGGTATATGGTATGAAGCTCTTGAATTATCAACTAAAGTGTACCATGCAATGGAAGAAGAGCAGTGAATACCTCATAAATAGAGAGACTCTGAATAGGCTTAATTAGGGATGGTATTGAAATGTCAACCATTGTGGAAAAATTAAGTAAGTTTTGTTATGCAGCATCTTTGTTCATTCAGCTCTAGTTGTACAAAGATGGTTATGGGAGAGGATGTTAGTCTAGCCCCTCCCCCCCCCCCCCCTCAGTACACACAGGCCCATAGCCAACTTTTGTCAAGGGGGTCAAAACACTTGAAAAGTGCTCAAAACGGTGAAATACTGCATGATTTTGGCCAGGTGAACCCCCCATTCCGGGTACTGGCCTGACACACCTTCCCCTGTCTGATAAGGTGTGTAGTCAAGTAGTGGGAAGGGGATCACAGGTGCTTGTAGCTAGACTAGGAGGTTGGATGTAGATTTACTGAGAGTAATTAAACCTTGAAATGTGAACACCTGCTTCTCTGACAATTTTGGTGTTCGCATCAGACAGGTTGTACTGTATTGACTGTTTTTAAGGAATGTGAGAAAATTAACATTTTAAACGTTCATTATATCATGGGGGAAGAGGGGAAAAGTTTAACTGTAAGGGAATTAACTTAATTCTTTCACAACTGTTGGCATTTTGGATAGCATTCATTTCAGATGATTTAAGGTTCACAATTCAAAAATTATCTGTCCAGTAACCTTAGTAATTTGACTGATTATTGTGTGCATACACTCTGCTTAGAAAAATAGTAAAAGGCATCCATTTTCTAGGAAATCAACTAACATGAATATAGATTAGTACAAAAGGTATGCATTTTACTAATATACATGATATACCCCACCAGCATTTTATAATGAAAGATAGTGTAGTAACTAGTGATTCGTGCCAGTATTCTTTATGAGGTGCTTATCACATTGTGATGTCATAAGATTCTTCATGAGGAGCTTATCACATTGTGAGGTCATCAGATTCTTCATGAGGAGCTTATCACATTGTGAGGTCATCAGATTATATGACGAGCATTCTTCATGAGGTGCTTATCACAGTGTGAGGTCATAAGATTCTTCATGAGGAGCTTATCACATTGTGAGGTCATCAGATTATATGACGAGCATTCTTCATGAGGTGCTTATCACATTGTGAGGTCATCAGATTCTTCATGAGGAGCTTATCACATTGTGAGGTCATCAGATTATATGACGAGCATTCTTCATGAGGTGCTTATCACATTGTGAGGTCATCAGATTATATGACGAGCATTCTTCATGAGGTGCTTATCACATTGTGAGGTCATCAGATTATATAACAAGCATTCTTCATGAGGTGCTTATCACATTGTGAGGTCATCAGATTATATGACGAGCATTCTTCATGAGGTGCTTATCACATTGTGAGGTCATCAGATTATATAACAAGCATTCTTCATGAGGTGCTTATCACATTGTGAGGTCATCAGATTATATAACAAGCATTCTTCATGAGGTGCTTATCACATTGTGAGGTCATCAGATTATATAACAAGCATTCTTAATGAGGAGCTTATCACAGTGTGAGGTCATCAGATTATATGACGAGCATTCTTCATGAGGTGCTTATCACATTGTGAGGTCATCAGATCATACAACAAGCATTCTTCATGAGGCGCTTATCACATTGTGAAGTCATCAGATTATATAACAAGCATTCTTCATGAGGTGCTTATCACATTGTGAGGTCATCAGATTATATAACAAGCATTCTTCATGAGGTGCTTATCACATTGTGAGGTCATCAGATTATATGACGAGCATTCTTCATGAGGTGCTTATCACAGTGTGAGGTCATCAGATTATATGACGAGCATTCTTCATGAGGTGCTTATCACATTGTGAGGTCATCAGATTATATAACAAGCATTCTTCATGAGGTGCTTATCACATTGTGAGGTCATCAGATTATATGACGAGCATTCTTCATGAGGTGCTTATCACAGTGTGAGATCATCAGATTTTGTGAGATCATCAGAATTTGAAATAAATTTTCTCTTCCTGAAAAAAAAACTTGTATCGAGAAGAAGTTTGAACTGAAAAGGGTGCAAGTCATAAAATTCAATTAGGATTGAGGAACTTGTCTTGCTCCTTGCGAGGTGAGTGGTTTTTAGAAAATTTGTAAAATTTGTAAAAAGAGATGTATTAATGGTGCAGGTTTTGGATCATTTTAGGGTTAATCTAGGGCCAGACTTCAAGGGCACTGACTATCTGTTTAAGCATTAAAATTAGATTAAGGTTATTTTTTCAATGGCAATAAGCTGGAAACTGACTGCATTTCAATTGTAAGGAAAATATATAAAGGGATCTGTCATTCTGTGTTCACTAGTTTGCTTGATAATATTTGTGTCAAAAGATCTAAATTGTTGTATGCATTTCCTTTGATAGTTGAGTACGCTGCTATAGATGTTGAAAATGTTTGTAAAGTCACTTCTAGAAACACATTTTGTACATATGTAAATTGATGAACGGTTTTATATGAAAATTAGTGGAGACAAATGTCTCAAGGTTGATATGTGGATGTATATCAGTATATGTAGTGTATTAATCACATTTTGGAGAAGTAAAACATTTGGGTCAAGGTCCATTGTTTTGCTTTTAAGAAAGAGATTTGTAATTTGAAAAACAAAACAAATGTTTAATAATAGTTTTGGATGGAAATAATTTTTAGTTCAATATTTAATCTCGTTGTTTTGGAACATCAAAATATTGGTCTGATCATTTAAGTAGAAAAATTGTGATGTTCATGAAAAAATCATGGGGAACATGATCCAAATTGTTACTTTTAAATATTAGCCCATGGGCTGTTTCATGGGTAATTGAATTATGGTTCTAAAGTTGAATGTTTTGTGAAAAAAACATTTGGACTACTGTAAAACTTGTAAAGAACTGTTACTCTTAAAAATTAGCTCATGGGCTGTTTCATAAATAATTAAATTATTGTTCTAAAGTTGAAAGTTTCTTCAAAATAATTACAATTGTTCAACCAAAAAATCCAGTATACCCTTTTATTTAATTGGATATTTTAGTTAATATACACTTAAAACATGACTGTACATTCAAAGTAAATAATTTTAGAATAATAATACATAAAACCAAAACTGACTTTGTTTTTCTGTAATTGCTAGGAGGATGACTTATGCCTCAGTCACATTTTACAATTGTACGACGGCCATAGCTTCCCAAAAACGAGAAAAATATGCAGCATGAAATATGGGGATACACAGTATGATTTAGGTTTTGTATGTCGATTTTGTGAAACTACGGAAGCTGTACGGTTCAAGTATAAAAGAATATGAGATTGTACACCCCCAATCCGCACTGTAAAATCACGGTACCGTATGGTACAAAGAGCAAATTTGACTGAGGCTTAAAGAACTAAAACTACAAAGGGTTGAATGGAAAGGAAATTATTTTGAATGGAAGATTTGATGAGTTTTAGGCTAAATGAAAATACTCTCTCTATATTGGTGTTCATTGTCCCAAAGGGAAGGAACTTTTTATGCTTGTTCCTGTGCATAAAGTTGCCATTATTTAGAGTATTTCCCTCTCAACTTGTCAACAGGAGGGTGCAATCAAAAATGTTGGACAAAATTTGTTTGATTGCGATAAACCTTTGATTTAAACTTAACCCCGTAAAATCTTGATTCCAAATATTACACCATGCCGGTCATAAACAACTAATAAGAAATACGTTAACATACCTGAAATTGGGAGGAATTTTAAGAAAACAGCTTTCCTCCCAGATAGGGCTAACTCATTTCAGTTTTGGCAGTGATGATTCTTACTCAACAGGGGCATGATACTGTATGGGAAAAATACGAGCGTATATCGTATTGAGTTAATTTTTATCTATGGTGAATATCGTATTGAGTTAATTTTTACCTATGGTGAATATAATGATCAGTTAGTCCATTTGGCGATTCAAGAAGATCAAGAAAGACTATGTATTATTTTATCGTAGTACTTTTATTTTTAAGTTCAGCTTCTGATTGTACAACAATTATATTATTAAGACACATTTGACAAATTGTGACACATTTGAAAATGTCGTTAGACACTTTTGAATATGTAATACACAGCTCAGTTAAAATATACAGGACTCATTTGAATGTGTAGACAACAGGAAATTTTACAATAAGACACCTTTGAATTTACAATATGAATGATTTTAAAAGTAATAAGGACACATTTGAACAAGCACAAAGACACATTTGATTATTAATAAGACACATTTGAGCATGTACTAGGTGAGGATGCAATAAAATATCTGAATAGGGAACTAGACACAATTGGACATATAGAATTATCGTAGGAATTTGGAATGGGCATGTACAATTAAATTATTTGTTAAGCCATGGTGATTTAAAAAGCCCATGGTTTATTAAATTTGAGGGGACAAAGAATCAATCTGAACATGGAATGTATGACACATCTGAAAATGGAATGCATGACACATTTGAACATGGAATGCATGACACATTTGAAAATGGAATGGATGACACATTTGAACATGGAATGTTTGAAACATTAGAACATGTAAACAGAGCATCCATGACACATCAGAACATGACATGCAGAACACTCTTTTGAATATGAAATTTGTGACATATTTAAACATGGAATGTGTGACATACTTTTGAATATGAAATACATGACACATTATTTAACATAGAATGCGTGACTCATTTGAGCGATATAACATGAGTTAAATGTGAGACACCTATACAATGTTTATCATGGAACATCTTGGAATGGAAGACTTAAAATATCACATTTACATTACTTATTTATATATTTATTGATAAACACAGGTACTGCATCTTTGCACCCTCGGTCTTCCCTGCGTTCATCCGACAGGTGGGAGCCGAGTGAACGAAGATGCAGGTACTGGATGTCCCAGTCTATTTACAATTGGGTTGCCTATATTTTTCAAACATGCACCGACTGTATTCAAATGATCAATTGGCTGTACAATGTACAGTAAAATCTGTTTATCCAAACACCTCTCAATGTGAACGCTTTTTGTCAGTCCCATTCTTTAATTTGCCATAGATTTCCCAAATGTGTTTGGATTAGCCAGGTTTTACTATTATTACGAAGCAGGTATTCAATTTTAAAGGACATTAACAAAACAGTGCTACCTGTAATTTCTACAATTACAATTACATTTTTACATGGAAGATCTGGGTAGTGATAATTTATTTATTTACATATATATCGATGATTAATACAGATTCATCAATGATAAATAGATATACATCAATTATTAATACATTAATTCAATACATATTCATTAATAAATGGTGCATATACATTAATGATCAATGATTAATAAAAAATATATATATCAATGATTAATATTTGTACATCAATGATTGATAAATATATATCAATGATTAATATATTTACATCAATGATTAATGAATATATATCAATGATTAATATTTGTACATCAATGATTGATAAATATATATCAATGATTAATATATGTACATCAATGGTTAATGAATATATATCAATGATCAATATATGTACATCAATGATTAATGAATATATATCAGTGATTAATATATGTGTATCAATGATTAATATATGTACATCAATGATTGATAAATATATATCAATGATTAATATATGTACATCAATGATTAATGAATATATATCAATGATTAATATATGTATACCAATGATTAATGAATATATATCAATGATTAATATATGTACATCAATGATTAATAAGCATATCCCTGAGCAAAAACTAAAATTACATTGCACAAAAATTCTCTTACACATTAAGTAAGATGCACATGTGTTCATATAACTTACATTTTCAATATGAAACATGGAATATTTTAAATCCTTACAATGTGTCTGTTTGCGATTTGTAAATGGTTCATGTAATATTCTTTTACATAATTATTTTAAAAAGAGAATTTATAAATTAAAAATTTACAATAATATTCATATTACATTAAATGTATTTAAGAATAGTATTAATAGGTGAAAATTATTCTGTCCAAGGTGGGCTGAGTATAATGAGTAATCTGGCAAATTAGCTTTTACATATGTTTGCTTGCAGCCAGATAGTCATCCTACTGGCCATACCTTAAAGTGTTTTGTAAGACTGAATTTCAATGACCAATATGATTGTACTTTAGAGAAACTGTAGACCGTATTTCACTTTTATTTTTACTGGAAGTGCCCCGGCATTCCCATCACATTTGGTGTAATGGCAGAATATGCCTGTCCAGCTTGCATGTAATTACACGAGGGTAAGGAAGTATGTGAGGGGGGTAATGTCGTATGGGCCAAGGCTGTTGACGTTGTGAGTCCAAAACTTCCAGATATTGACGATGACACCGCTGAACTCTGACCCGATAGTTGACACGCTGGTAACGATGACGTAGGATAGTTCACTGAAGTGCCACTAGGGGCTGCATGCTGGTAATAAACATCGGGACTTGGAAAATATGACGATGAACTTTGCGGGAAATATTGACAAGATGGCGGTAGGAGTGGATTTCGACTAGTTTGATTCCGCATTCGATTTAACGCTGATAAGGAATTTGAGATGGGACGTGAAAGTTCTTTGTACGTCGATGTAGGGGTATCAGTGTGGGGTTTATCCTTTGTTTCTATTGATGCACTTGATGATTCCGATGCTGAGACACTCGCTCTAACTCGCTTCTTGTCGCCTTCTGAAAATAAAAAAATATTGATTTAATCATGCTTTTTAGTCAATGAATTATGGTACTATGATAATGAACCGTGAACATGTTTTCAAAAACATATTTTTAGTTTACATGTTGAACATTATCCTATTCTGGAAACAAATAAATTACTTCATTATTAAATTATATTATTAATTATAAATAAATTTTATTGAAAATCGATGTGTTAAGTGACTTTAAATACCGAAACAATTGCATGCAACATCATTATCAAATAATGTATCCTTGTATCAATAAGAATTAATTAATTAATAATGCAAATAAAAACAATATAATAGTTTCAGAAGAGATTTTTTCTCAAAATTATTTTCAAACTGCTGTTTGAGCATTTTAGTGACTTTTGGCATGTGATGGTTTTGTAAAGTAGCGTTTAAAATATATAGCATGTATTAAGAAGATGCCCAAGATAAGTGAACACGAAATATCTGGATTTGACAAACAAGTCAACTTTGGTATCTTACATTATAATCTAACATCTGAGAAACATCAAGTCATGTATTATCTGATGATACCTTTGATATCAGTTTTTTTGTTACATTGAGTATTTAACCCACTTATGCATTGAATGTTTTGTGCACTTAATAACCCATTAGAGTGTGTATGTGAGTTGATGGGAGAGGGGGGTGGGTTGAAGTAAGTAAGGTATGCAATGGCTAAAAAACACAAAATATAGGGTACAATATTGTGTTTGGATGAGATTCATATTTTGAGTTTTTTTAACATTGAAGTCTATTGCAGATTAAAATTGGAATGAAAAAAGTGTTCACATTATAAAGAGGCATAAAGATATAAAGGTTTTACTGAATGTGGTTTAATAATTAATGTACCTCAAAATAAAACTTTTACACAGTATGAGTATAAAATTTCCACTTCTACAGGAAAACATTTCAGATTTATCAAGATTCTTCTATCTACCCTCTAAATGGGTCAAATAAATACAAGAAAAATCTTAAGTTAAAGAAACACAAAATGAAGTATAAACTAAAATTATCATGCTTTATTGTTGTACCAGCGACACTCTGATTTCCTTTCGAGACTAAAAATTAATTGTATTGCTCCATTAGAATATTATACTAGATATAGTAGTTATTACCAAGCTTAATTGGCCAGAATATTGGAACACATATTTTGCAAATTGTCCATTTCTCGAAACAAAATTACAAATTAGGACAGTTAAGTTTCTAGTTATAACATATGGCAACCAGCAATCTTCGTTGAAACATTAAATGTACAATTAACAGAGAAGTGAATGGTCTCAAGGGATATGATTGGCTAATAGGATGACTCCATCATTTTTCCAAGGTGTAAATTGATGTTATTTTGCGATGGTGTGTTGGGCCATCATTACGGCTCAATGCGAGTCTTACAATTTAAACGATCCAGTCACGTCATTTCTTTATGATTTCCCGTTGCAAAACATAATTGAAAAAAGTTAAATCAATCAATTTTTTTAAAATGCATTAAATACTTCTGAATATGTTTTCATGTTAATTCCAGGAATTTCTAGAATTTTGCATTATGAAAATAGTCACAATAAATTAAAGGGCGCAAATATTGGACTGTAGTGTACGGCTAATTATCTGAGAAAAATGGTTGTTCGAGGTGGAGTCAGAAAATAGAGTGAGGTGTGAGAGTTGATTTGTTAGTGATGTGCGGAATTGTCAAAGTCGACATGTTGCGTGTGTTTGGACGATAATACCATGATTATTTCCAGTGCTAGAAACAAAATAATGATACATTCAACACCTTTTGTAAAACTCTATTTTCTTCTATGTCATTCGAGTCAAATTTTAGTGGAGGAACGCTTGAGAGTGAATCGAAATGTGGCTTTGGGGAAAATCGCTAGATTAGACACGTCAGTCGTAATTTGAAAACTGCCGGATATTCAATATATTTCCGTTCAAATTGTCTTTTAATCTTTTGTTTACTTGCATTGTAAATTGCCTATTGTTTATGACATCATTAATGTTAACTGAAATTAATCAATCATATTTCATGATGTGACGAAAATATCTAGTTTTAACCCCCTAACTTAGCATTTTAGAATAATATCTTAATGATCCAATATGTGGTTAAATGACCTTTAATTTAAGAGTGGATAGAAGTCAAGGTCTTTCAAAGGGTTGATACATACCTTTATCTTCTTCGGAATCAGAAGTGATAGAACTTTCTAGACCAATCATACGCTTTCCAAAGTGCGGCAGGCGGTCCCTAGAAATATACAACACATAATAAGTCACAAAGTTTCTTTGAGGAGTTTCTGCTGGTGACATATTATTCAGTTATATGGAACAAATTGTCAATAAATAAACAAAGTTTCTTTTGGCTCTTTTGTTCCAAATTATTGTACCAAAAAATTTAACTGAACTATTGATATTGCAGAAATTGTTTTAATTTAACTGAACTATTGATATTGCAGAAATTGTTTTAATTTAACTGAACTATTGATATTGCAGAAATTGTTTTGATTTAACTGAACTTTTGATACTGCAGAAATTGTTTTTGTTCAAATTATTCTGGAGAATTGTTCCCAGTGATATAGATATATATAGTACCTTTCTCAATATCTGATAAAAATATATGAAAGCAATCAAGATTCCATAATGAGTAAATTTACATGCATGTGTGTATAAACTACATATTAGTACTATGTATTAACTTTTTATACTTAACTTTAAATAAAACAAAATCACCGTCCGATATTCATTTTATATTCAATAAATGAGCATGAAAGGAGTAATTTGCATCCACATTTGAGGTTTTCGGCATTCAACGAAAGAAGGCCCAAAATGCCTCATTTTCCCCAAAGTTTTAATGTTTCAAAAGAATAGATAGATAGAAATAGACAAGTAATGTAATAGGTCAGATCTCCCAGCGCTCTAATTTCATATATCAAATTAACTCGTGTTCAAAGTCTCAAACGAAATGTTACAATGGACATGTTTTCTTTCTTCAATTTATTGAAAAAAAGTATAGGATCGGCAAAGAATTAATTTCACAGAAGTGTAGAATATTCTTTATATTATACAAAAATGTGAGAAAAATAGACACTTCATTCAAATTTTAAAGAGAAATTAGCTAAATGAGTTTAGCAGATATCATAAGTTTTGGTGCGGAAATGCATTTAAAGGGTCATCAACTAAAACTAAGGTTTATTTAACGGATACCACAATTTTACCCCAAGAGGCAATCTAATAAAATTATAAAGAAACAATTTACGATAATTCTTTCCCTGGGAGAAAACTAGGGAGATTTTCTTGTTAGAAGGTACAGGATTTAGCACATAAACGTTGATGTCCCTTCCAACTTCCAAATTATGTTATAATGGCCATGTTATAAAATGGAAAATACGGTAAAATAGAGTGGAATTAGCGAGGAATAAAATAACAAGAAATGAAGTTGACACTTTAAATATTATATAAATGTAATAAAATTTGACAGTTCAGTCAAATTTTTAGGAGATAATTGGAATAATCAAAAGCAGACGGATACTTTTACCGTGGCCAGTTGTAATTATCTAGATGGTTCTGTGGAGAAAATAATTGAAATCTCCCGAGAAGGAGGTGTGATTTCGGCGGAGGTTTTCATAAGGATCTCGAAAAAATTAGCAAAGTAATTTGTCAAATGGAACAGAGAATGCTGAGCATTTCTTACATTTTAAGCAGACTTTGTGTGTGTATAGTCACCAGATAGTCACTAGATTTAACGATATATGTGATATAAGAAACAGTTATTTTGTGTCTGAATTCATGCTTTTTAACAAGATTTTGGCAGATTTTATCACAATCCTTAACAATGAAAGAGATGGAATCAATATTTTTCATTTTGATTTTTCTGAATTGATACGTATAAACAAAAATGTTCTAGTTCAGTTCAAAATGTTTATAGACATTTTTACATCCCAACAGATATTAATTTTTTATCAAATCAGCAAATCAACTCCATTTACATAAGATTTAGAATCTTGTAGTTGATATCTAAAAATAACAAGGCATACCAAAAATCGAACTAACTGATACAAGTGAAAAAGTGTAATATCAAATTTTTCAATTGTCATTCTACTAACTACGGTAAGGAAAAAAGTTTGTGTCCCAGTCTATTGATTGTGTAATCAAAAATATAATGTTGTGCTTTTATAACTTTGTATTAATAAATCATAAATGGGTGCAAATCATAAATGGGTGCATTATAACTTTGTGATATTACAATATGATATTACAACTGTGTTCTCTTATATCAGCACTTCACTAAAGTTTTAATATTTTAAAATTTTATTCTGTTCATTGTTAAAAAACCGAAATCGCGTAGCGATTGAGGTCTTTTGCAATGGCCAGAATAAAATTTGAGGTTATATATTTGTCATAAATCATAAAACTATTCTAATATGATAAACAGACAAGAAACAGCTATTTGCATTTATGAATTTTACCGGTCATACATACTCCAATATAGACCAATAAATCAATTGTTCTAGCTATTGTGACATCACGTATCATATTAGAATTCAGAATTCATTTATGAATTTTAGCGGTCATACATAACTCCAATATAGACCAGTAAATTAATTGTTCTAGCTATTGTGACATCACGTATCATATTAGAATTCAGGTTAAAAATATTGTTCATCTATTCAACAACTTGAATTAGTATTCTTAACTTGATTGTTTGTTTATTTTATTGTTTTAGTTTCTTTGGAAAAGCAATGTGAAGTAAAAAATTCAGCTGTATCACATGCTGTACTGAGTATACCCATTGCCTCCCAAAAGAGAGATCTATTTGTCAAGTACATTACTCTTTCTTGTCTTAATATAATGTAGAGATCTGAAAGACTGATTTGTTAGGAGACAAATTGTCACATTTTTGAACTCTAAATATATGACAGGTGCCTGGGTAAACCCAAATTGAAAAAAAGTAGTTACCATAGTAACACTTTTTTCAATTTGGCGAAACCAAAAGTGATTAAAACTTGTGAAAATAATTACCTCTAGAAGTAGTTAGTGCTGAAATGGTGTGACTGGCATCTTTCAAAATGTCAGTAAATTTACTATTTTGAAATAATAGTAACGCAACGTTACCACATGCCAACACTTTCCTTCCCCACTAGGACGCATTTTTCAAGAAAAATCACGACTTAGAAATTATGGTATATGCTTAATGACAAATTCTTACCAAAAATTACACCTTGGTGTGAGAATCGGCACTTTTTTCAGATTGTAAAAAAGCCGAAGTTTGTAACTGGTGTTAACTGGAACACATGGCTAGTAAAAGATTGAAGTATTAAATCTGAACGTCTTATTATTCAATTGTTACATGCCATTACTGAGATAATAAAAACCAATTGGATTTGGAGCACTATCTATATTCATTGATGTTAAAATAAGGTATTGAGGTGGGTTTTATAGTTGGTCTGTATTATTTATATGGGTTATGGTGTATTTTTTAACTACCCTTAATGCACTACATACTGGGAATGAATAACATTTCTTTTTGGTTCTACCTTTCCATTCAATAGCTCTATATTAAATTCAGATGCCCTTAATTTATTCTTTGGCATTTCTATACGTCTTTTATATAAAAAATCCCATTTGAGAGGATTGCAATTGCTTAGCAAGAGTTTTTTTCAATACGATTCATAATTCTGACACTACTGTTTACCATAATCCTTGTTGATTCCACTCTTGTACCATATTTCCCATTTCAAAATCTGACCATAATGACCCATGACTCCAGACGACAATAGATGTTATTCCAATTTTTATATTTATCGCAGTTCACCCGGGTCCAACTTTACAAAACTCAGTACAAAACACTTAGATATAACCAGCACAGATAAAACATCAAAAATCTGTATGAACTGACAATAATCGGTAACAATACACAATTAGTTACAACATTCAAGTACTTAAAACATCTTCAAAATGGATTTTAATCCAATGTGAGGGTTCACCGAGTAAATTACATTATAATCATTTAGGGTTGACTTTGTGAATGAACTGATATCTGATTGAAGTTTTCTTGGATTTGATGTGACAAGCGGATTAAACAAAGGAAATCGGGAAAAGATGAGCTCAATGTTAAATTAGATGAAAGAATTTTGGAGATTTTATTTTAAAACTGAGATAAAACCCCTATAAATTATATAAATGATAAAGAGATTTTTACCTTCTGCCCATTCCATTGTCTCTGAATCCTTTTGCAAATGGGTTATTATCAATCTTTAATTGTGTAATCTGGAAGAGAAAATAAAACAAATAACATTATTTAAGTATACTAAGGTAGGTCAGTTGGTATTTAAGCAGAATTACAGTTATGTTTTAAGGTAGACAGTGTGGAATAATTTGGAGCTGTTGGTGTTGGTGCAATCCCAAATACAATATAAGCCTTTTGTACTGCTTTTCTTTATTACTGGAGACTAAATATGAATCTTCTCAAAATGTGACGGAATGTAAATATTTTATATGACTTTGCTGCAGAAGATTTCCATATATGGTATATGACACACAAAATTAGAAGGCTGAATCTTTTGTGTTACCTTTCAAATAAATAAATATGGTATTAATGAAAACACAAAATCAGATCCCATGTATTCTGCGTTTTCATTAACATCACATTTATTTATTAAAGGGTGACACAAAAATTAAAAGGTTGAATTTCTTGTGTCACCCAGTAAATAAATAAATATAATGTTAATGAAAACACAAAATGATATCCCATATATTCTGTGTTTAAATCAACATTACATTTATTCATTTACAGGGTGACACAAAAATTAAAAGGTTGAATTTCTTGTGTCACCCTGTTAATAAATAAATATAATGTTAATGAATACAAATTGAGATCTCGTGTATTTTTTGTTTTTGATTACTTGGTGACACAAAAAAACTAGAGGGTTGCATTTTTGTATTACCCTGAAAACACAAAATGAGATCTCATATATTCTATGTTTTCATTTACAGGGTAACACAAATGAGAAGGTTCCTTTTTTGTATCACCCTGTAAATACATATAATTTAAGCTTTACTGACCTGTTCATTCTGGTAGGCTGTAACTGCTATAAATGATGTCTCCTCAAACGAGTATGTGTTAAAACTATTCCACCTCATGGTGAATATATCATTAGCCTGAACCACATGGAACCTGGGTTGGTATTTATGCATTGAGTTCAAGATTATCTGAAATTATACAGGGTGTTCAATAAGTAAAGTAAAGCTAATTTTGCTCTAAAACAATTATTCAGCCAATAACAACAAGCTAATTTGTAATTAGTGTTTATTATTTCATTATTATTGATTATAAATTGATATGTATAAATAGAAGACAATTCACTTTTATATTATTTTTCATGTATTTCTTAGTTTCTCCAGTTTTCAGTTAACCTGTAGTTGATGGGCTTTTTGAATTATAATGAATTTTAATTGTAGATATTTAGCTGCATGTTTATAGTCAGGGGCATAGCCAGAAGTAGGCAAGGCAAATATTTTGAAAGTGAGGCAAAACATTTTTGGTAAAATTCTGCATCGTAACATTTTAATAATGCCAGCTACGGTTTATGGGAAGTTCGTAAAGAATTAGTAACGGTGTCTCCCTTTAAAGGACATCATCATAAATAGATCAGATGAAATTGAGTTTGAAATAATTGAATTAATCATGACACTGTAGTGAGTGACCCCATCCTATGATGATGTTAAAACGGTATATATGTACATAACCCCGGCTCTAGATCAAAATTACTGGAAAGTTACCATTAATTAGACGGAGTAATTGACAGAATGTTTATGTGAATGACTCTTAAAGAATTGTTATGGCGAACGGTTCTTATTAAAGCAAAGGTAATGTTCGTTTAATTTCCCTATGCTCGTTTCAGCGATTCACCATTTTTATGACTTGACGTGAATTATGAGGGAAACGTGGCAATAAATATGTAAGCACTGGGTGATTGTAGATGTACTAGTTTGTCATTTGCTTAAAGGCCCCGTAAAAAGTTTGAACCATTTTGGCTTATATATTGTAGTTTTACCAAATATAATCAAGATATATAAAGTGGTTTGAAAAATTGAAAAATAACTATATAACAATTTTCAAAGTCATGGAAACAGTATAAAAATTATAAAAAAAATTATTAAACTTTGCACAGGGCCTTTAAAATAAATATATGACAACAATAAAAAATATACTCACATGGCCATTCTGATCTAGATTGTTATTTGTGAGTTTCATCTTATGAAATGATACACTTTGTTTCATCCAATGAGCTCCAGATGCGGGGGAATCGGGATGAATATAGAGACGTCCTGGCATGTGAGGTTCGGCTTTCCCTGTCACCACCCACTCTGAGTTGTGATATTTGTAGCGACAGTCGTCAATAGGAACCAAATCTACCAATAGTATGTATTTCGCATGCGGATCAAGGCCCTCTAGGAGAATTTTAAATATTGGAAACATCCGCCTGAAAATGTAAAAAATGAAAAATGATTTACTAAAAATTGTAAAATTTCAAAACTTGAAAGTTTTTAAAAGACAACCAAAAAATAATATAATCAAAAATTCATAATAAGTCATATTGATTCAGTGATTTGAGGGCTTAAGGTAGTTATGCAATTTTACAAAAAAGGGGGAAATACCATGACATTATGTTAATTGAAATATTTTAATTTTAAAGCCTGTTTTGCACCATAACTTTTTTCTTTATTACCCATTTCATTAATTTTTGGTAATTATAATTATTAAAACATGTAAATTTTAGAAAGTACAATTGATTCTATATTCTTTCACATTTCAAAATTCTCTCTATTAACAGCTAGCTAAGAGGAGGGGCATTTGTAAAAAAATGATAATTGAAAACGTATGACATACAGAAAATTTGAGAATGTACAGTTGATTCTTTATTCTTTCACATTTCAAAAGTCACTCTATTAACAGCTTTACATTGTGTTATAGAATACCTATAGGGGGCATTTGTAAATACAAGGTTTCTTTTGGATTGAGTTCATTACAATATTATTTCAAGAAGATTACTGCTAATAAAAACACGCTCAACATCAAATAAATAAACACAGAGTCCTTTAAAATTAATAAAACTTTCCTTTGCATTTAGACGTAATCTTGCGTAACATAAATGAAAATTCTAAAGTTAATTCTCACCCTTGGGCTATGCATAATATTTTGTAAATTTCAGAGAATCAAATTCGCAAATTGAATTAAAAAATTTGGCATCTGATATTTTGTTATACAATCAATTCATGGCACTTTGAAAATATAATAGGTTTACACTCGTTGACACCTTTCAGATTAGTCTAGTCTCGTAGTGTAGTTATATAAAGAATTTGGCATGAAAAAAATTTGAACGCTCTGAACTTTTAAGAAAGGTACGCTGTATCACTAATAGTGCTTAGATTGTAATTTTTAGTAACTTTTAAGAGGTAAGTGCGTGCCCCATTCTTAAAATTTCACTATTTAATTTGAATGATAAATTCTTCCTAGACCAAATATTCTCACTCTTAATACATAGTAAACCTATTGATATGATTTGTTATTTTCAGATTTTTTTTAATGGAATGTAAAAATGGGTGAATATAAGCATTAAAATGGGTCGAAAATTGTGAGAGAATTATTACAGGTGTTTTAAGAAACTTAGATGTAATCTGAGACGACAGTGAAAAGGCTTAGTAGAAGTTAGAGGTACTCATTTGGAATTAACTCTCTTCACACACTCCTGACTCCTTAAGATTTAAATTAAGGAAATGTGCACAGTTGTAAATTAAATGACATCAATTGGATGACATATCCTCATGTGTCAATCAATTTTTTTCTTTTGAAACAATGTGCTGTTGCCATTGGCAAGTTAGTTTGTTTGTTTGATTGTTTGTTTTTGTGTGTTTGTTTATTTATTTGTTTGATGAGCCAGATATTACATAAGTTACCATAGCAACAAACATCATATGGTCATCTAAGCTTAACAACATGTACCTGATAGCCAGGTAATGTGTCAGTCATCAGACTTTGATTATATAATCTGACACATTCAATCATCAGAATAATATTACGTCATCAGTCAATTTCAATTTTTTTTAAATTTAAAACTACTTTAAGGATACAGACCTACTGTAACAAAATTATTTACCAACCAAAAGTACCATTTGTCATATCCATTGATCAATACAATATTGAGCAAGCAGAAAAACCAATTTCTTTTTATTTCAAACTTTGATAAACTGCTTTAAGGATGCAGTCCTATTCTGTAACAAAATTATTTACCATCCAAAAGTACCATTTGTCATATCCATTGATCAATACAATATTGAGCAAGCAGAAAAACCAATTTACTTTTTATTTCAAACTTTGATAAACTGCTTTAAGGATACAGACCTACTGTAACAAAATTATTTACCATCCAAAAGTATTGTTTGTCACATCCATTGATCAATAAAACATTGAGCAAGCAGAATGACCAATCGACTTAAATAATATCAATTCAACATTTTTCAATTAAAAATAGATTTTAGACACATGTGTGAAAATTAAACATTTTAATTTAAAATTAATTAAAAAAAACAAACTAAAATGGAGCTCATGAATAGAAACATCCAAAGCATCCACTCCCCTTGAAAAATACAGAAACTGGCAGTTGTATGTTAAATCCTGATCATGTCTTGTGATTTTAATAAATTCATGAATGATTTTTTAATAAATTTCCAAATTTTTTTAATTAAGGAGCTACGTGGAAATTGAAATTGAAACATGCTTTATACACTAACCAATGTGAACTTATGGTCAAACTTATGGAGGGGGGTGTACAACAATTTTATTTGGTTACATCAAGAACTCAATGTTGATGTTGTTTGACATTATAATTGCAACTTTTCAACTTAAATATCAGCTTGTAGTTTAATATCTAACATTAAATTAGACCCAATAATCAGATATTTTTGACTTTACCAAAATTGACACATCCCCTCCAGAAAAATTTCAAGCGATATCTCAATATTCTATTCATCATATTCATAATATTATACATAACAATTTCATAACTGACTAACAACATTCTTAGCCATCTTCAAATTATATTTTTTTAAGTTATCATTAATCTGTGATATCAATAGATATATAAATAAGAAGATGGCTTGAAGTTGATTGCGGGGAAGGATTAGACACCATTTCCAATGTGTTCAGTCGTTTAGAAATGGGCAATCAATATTTTTAATGTTTTGGAAAACAAGTGTCTTTTGAGCTGTCCGAATGAACAATTTTGGCAGCTACAGTATCGTCAATCTTATAATTATCCCATAAGTAAGATTATAGTTTCGGCCGCAAATTAGAGTTTATCCAAAGGAAGTGCAAACATTGAATATTACGGATATTCATCAAAAGTAATTAGACAATTTTATATATTCATAAGATTAGTACTATAAGTCATAAGGCATAGTTTTTAATAATATACTACAATATAATGTCATATAATATTCTAATTTAATGTGTTTAAATTAATATCATAATTGTTGGTTAAAGATTTTTTGGATTGTCAATATCCTGTAAATAGTGAAGATTATAAATGAATAAAAATACAGAAAATAAGAAATGGGAAAATGGGTAAATAAATTGTGAAAACAACACTTCAATTAACATGTATGTTGAGTCTTAAAGGGATAGCAAAGAAAAGTGGATAAAAGTGCAATCCCATTTAATGTCCAAAATAAAAGATATATCTGATTAAGATTGAAAGTTATAACATATATCTATTCAAAATGTTTGCCAGGTAACCTTAAATCAAAGGATTATCGTTAAATGAAGGCAGAGCAGTTGGACTTGAAAATTAGCATAACATGGAAAGGTGTCCATATTGTGAAAATTGTGAAAAAGTCAAAATTGTGACAATTTTTAGAAAATACTCTTTGCTGCACCAATAATTGAAATTGTCAAAAAAAGTAATTGTTCATTTTAAAATCAGGGAAAAGAGAATGCAATGGAAAACGCAGGTGTTGATTTAAATAAGTTTATATCATCGGAGTTAAGTCAATCAGTGCTTTGAATTACTTCACATTGACTTAATTTATCAAGGTATATTATGGGATATCGACTTTTGACAAGTTTGAGTTGCTTTAAGTGTAGGGATAACTTAAGCCCCAAAAATATGATGCAGCTCATTTAAATTAACTCTCGGACAAAAACTATGAAACCAATTTGACAAACACTAAATATACATAAAGAAGCATATTCTTAATTGCTTCAAAATTCAATAAAACGAGAAAAACGATACAAATTCTGTGTGAAATTGGTGGAAAAAGATGACGGGGTGGAAATTTTGAGCGAGGGAAATGCGAATGGAAAGGTTGTTAAGTGTGGATTAAAATGAACTACACACTTTTTACGCTATGTGTCACAAATTAGTGTTGACACCTGCGTATATGGATTTTTGACTCTAAGGAGAACCCATTGTGCGAAAGATTAACTTTCAAATTTATTATAAGAAAATTTGCTCTTGGTGATAATATGATAAAATTATATAACAACAATACAGGTGTTTTGAATGACTATGTATACATGTTTAACCTTGTGTTATATAAGCTAAACATAGTTTTAATTTTATTAAATATAAATCCAACATATTTGACAGTATGGGGTAATAGGACAATTAATGCATCTGATACTGTGGCTAAAAGAATACTTCTTGGAGGGTCTTAAAAAGAATCAGCGATGGCAAAAACAATACCTGCATTTGCTAACAGTGCTGGGGTCTTATAGTTAACAACATCTGCCTTTTTATGCATTTGTCCATGTTAGAAAATTTTAGAAACTGATGGAATTAATGAAAGTAAATAGAGATCATAAATATGTATTTCTATTGCAACATAATAACTTTTTTCGACAAAATTTATAATTCATGCTTAGACATAAAACAAAATATTCAAAATAGTACCATATTTTAACTCCATAAATAAATATATTTCTGAGTTATACTTGAAAAGAAAAACCAAGTTGAAATAACCAAAGTTTAACATTTTAAATGCCGAATGCCATCATTAAGTGACAGTCACAAAATATGGCTGTAACGATATGTTACAAATATATACAAGCGAGGATATCAAAAGGTTTCAAATAATTTCATATCCATTTTTTTCTTACCATATTTTTAAAAAATATAAAAAGATCAAATGATATTTACACATTATATGATTATACTATTGTTATATCACTGTATATAATATAATATCATTTATGATATATAAAACTGTGACTGATTCAACGCTGTTTTGTCTACTGGGTGTAAAATTGAAAGTGGCGGCCATTTAACACCAAATACATCAAAGCATAATTTATCATTTATAAGTAATCGTAAATGAAAAGGTGCTAGACTTGACTCTTACGATTCATTGAATTTCGTTTGAAATCAAATGAAATCATATGGGAAATTTAGGATCAAAAAGATGTTTCATAATCTAGTATTAGTAATACTTGAAAAAATTATCTTATTTTACTTGCATTATAACTCCTTGAAAATATATCCTCATCAAAAATTGGTAACACTGACTCTAAATTTTATTGCGTGTTAAAGTCTGTTTAAATGTTTGAAATTAAATTTTTCCCCAATAATATTAGATCGAAAAAGTTTTGACTGATTCCATGGTGATTCTTTTACTAAAAATCGCCAAAGATGAAAATCTTTTGAGACAAGGTTCAATAGATGAGATTGGTGATACCAAACATTTAGAGGGGTTTGTAAATCAAAGATAAAGAAATATACAAAAAATCAAAGTATTATTTCTTAGCATGTATTGGGGAAAAAATACTGTTACTGGTCCAAAATTCAAATACTTTGCTAGTAGACCTTCATCATTTAGAAAATAAGAAAAGGGATAAAGGGGCATAGCACACGTTTCCTCTTATATCTACCCTTTTCAAAAAGAGTCTCAATCTTGAAATAAAGATAGTGCTGTTATGATCTAGAATTACCCAATCAGAATAGGTCAATCGAAATCCAGCTACCCAACCAGAATAGCTTTTACTAATATTATTTCATATTCAAACTCGCTTGAGAGACCATTGCAGCTACCAAAAATCCACGAAAATGTTAGAGAATATGGCACTTGTGGTGGTGACATAAAAACTGTATATGTATTTGTCCTATGTAGAGAGTAGTAATTACTTGTATCCCCAGGGAATCGTTTCTTCTTAAATATTAACATGCAGTTTTAACATTATACATATTACACTAAATTATATCAACCTTTAATCTTATAAATAAGTCACTGAGATTTATGCTATTGCCTAACATTACATAATATGTCTCTACACCTTTGGAAATGGGAAAAATATTATTTTATACATATCTGGACAATGTGAAATCCACACTGGCCCTAAACATGAATTTTCGTAGACAGATTAATCCAAGGGTGACAACTTTGGTATTTTGTGAAATGGGTTTTGTTCATGTATTAATAAATCGTACTTAGTATGTAAGACTAACTCACACAAAGTTTTAACTGATTTCATGAACTGATAAAATATTTCAGATTTGTACTGAGATTTTTGAAACATCATGTGAAAAATGTTTTCAAATAGTTAGTTACTTAAATACAAGTTACAGGATAAAAGGTAAACACCTTTTCACTACTATTGTAAAAAATGAGATCTAGAATATTCCAATCAATGAATTCTTTGATGTAACACTATCAATCTATTATTTTTGAAGAACACAAAATAACAAAATAAATCAATAAACCATAAAATAATGTCAACCAATACTTTTGTAAAGAGGAATAAATAAGTATTGGATTGAGTTTACATTGCATTGCATTGTGTTGCAGTGCATTGTATTTATATTGCAGTGCATTGTGTTTATATTGCAGTCCATTGTGTTTATATTACATTGTATTGTGTAGATATGTTGCAAGAATATATAAAATATAACTAATTAGGACATTGCTACTTATGTCACTGTGTATGTAAAATATTCTGAATCTTTAGCCACTGTTACAGGTTTTCCAATTTGAAAATCAATGAATTACAAGAATATGTGACTCACCTTCCAGTTTTAGTGATGATCATTTCTGTTCCAAGTGTATGGAATTTCTGCCAGAGGTCATTGTTCTCTAGCTTTATCCGTATATTCTTGTCTTTGTCTTGTGGAGTCTGGTGGGGTGGTGGCCGGGGCTTCACGTCATGTGACCCCATGAACCCTGGGTATTGTTGACCTTGACCTACAGTCAAAAGGTTAATACTAATTTACTAATGTGCTTTAGACAAAAATTGTCCCTTTTTCAAATGTTGTCCTTTTTAGAAATGTTACCCATTTAGCAGAATTCCCTTTACAAATATAATGTTGTTCCTTTTTTCAAATGTTGCCCATTTAAGCAAAAAGAAGAGAAAAATCTTCATTTAAATGGATTACTCAATTTGAAGGGATGCATGGTTGTGTATGACTGAAATGCAATTTGAGTTGACTTTTCCAATGTAGAAATATGACTCTCATATTTTATATTAATTAATCAAAAAAGGTAAATACATATAAAGTTAAGGAAAATTCGTTTCACAGGACTCAACAGCAAAATTGGGAAATAATTCAGAGCAGTGCACAAAATAAATATAATTTCTACCCTTATTCTAAATTGTAATAAAAACAAAAGAAAAAATTAAACCTACTCTTTGGAGTTTTTAACATGCTCTTTGGTGGAGTTTTTAACATGCTCTTTGGTGGAGTTTTTAACATGCTCTTTGGCGGACTTTTTAACAACTTCTCATCAACTCCCCTTGATTCAATTTTATTTCCTACAACTATATTTTCTTTTTTCTCTTTTTCATTCTCATTATGATCCAATAATTTGAGTTTCTCTCGTTTTCTCTTTAACTTGTAATCTTCCCCTTTGATTCTATTGATCCCATACATTCCTCTGATTACTTGGACATCCATTATTGTCAACATCAGTAGCTATTTATGTATTTTTCAGTAGCTATTTGTGTAAAACTTTTTATTGTACTTTACATCCAATTTTATTAGAAAAGATATGTGATGTAACTTTTTATTCAAACTTTTTCTAACTATTTTCTGAACCTTTATGAGGCCTTATTTTGTTAATTGTTATTTAGCCTGTTTTAATAGTAATAGCACCTTTAATTTTATTTGAAATATTTGCGTCCAGTTATTATTTTATATAGTTTTAATTTTCCTACTATTCAGCCTCCTTCCATATTGCACTGACTGGTTGTGATTGTTTTCTACACCTCCTGTATTATTTATATTTGCATTTAAAACACCAATGATACAACTTCATTGATGAAACAACATCACATCCGAGGCGCATGTGGAGTTTGAAATCGTATACATATAATTTCATATATATCCAAGTTGATTATATAATCCGTATGACATTTTGATATATTGACTTATCTCACACGTTTGAGACATTTTGACATCTTAGATGGGATCTTTGGCTGAATACTAGACGCGTAGCACCACTTGCACGTCAAGTCAGGATAAAAACTTTTAGGGAAAATCGCGTTGCTTTTGTAGTTGGATTAGTAGTACTTATTGCTTATACATGTATAAATCCCTTGTGTTTTCAATTTTATTAACACTTTTGATGTTTTCATGGGGCTTTCATAGCAGTTGACTAACCAATTTTACTCATTAAAAATCGGGTTCACACAAGGGTCGGTTTTATTGCCTCTGATCTTTTGTTCATCAAAAATTGATTTAAGATGTTGAAATTATCGAAGTGTGAATTATACGTGGTGATTCTGGATGTTGTAACGTCAATCAAATAAATAGCATAGTGTTTTGTTTATACTCAGAATAGCTTGCGAAAAAGAGAACATTTTAAATCTCAAATTTTGGCAAAAACATTGAAAGGACAAAAATATACGCATCATTCTAGTAACTGTTTATTTTAAATCGAGAATACGGACCAAATAATCTACAAAATCATCAATGCGGTTATCTAAGGTCACATAGTTAAAAGTCAACGTACTTTCCAGTGAAAAGCGAACGTTTTGAAGTCATTATAAACCACACCATTACGTAATGGTTACAACATATTATATAATCATTGTAAATAACCACGATATATTTGCCGCAAAATGATATTTATAAACATTTGGTCGAATATCATGTTAAAAATATTTCATGTTTTGAAATAAATGCGATAAAAACGAGTTAAGATTCTTATAGTTTCTGTTTTGAGCTCAATCATTGTCAGTGGGAGTATAAAACACAATTGATTTTTAGTTACAGACTTTAAAATGTTGATTCAATTTTACAGTAAAATTGAAAACTGCGCATATCTGATTAATCAATTATATAACATATCCAACAATTTCAAACTTGTATTTTACTTTCCTATATTTCTAAAGAATTACTCTTACTCTCTTAATTGGCAAAAAAATAATTATTTTTGTATTTTAGAACTAAATAAAAATAGAAATTTCTATTTACTTACCAGAGAAAGGCATTGGATCATGATGTACGGAGAATCCCGGGAAAGGAAACCCTTGTGGTGCGGGAGGCATCGTGGACATCCCAGGTACCATCCCGGGGGTGGGTAGAAAACTCCGTCCCCGGGAGCAAAGTAGATCGTCTTCAAACATACTTCCGTGATACGAATCAACTAAATTAACCATTGCTCACAAATACGTATCCTCTTATATTCTATCTTTCGTTAACTAACTAAAATTTTATGATAATTGCCTCATCGGAATATGAACCAATGTTCTTGAGTTTTGATTTCCCCAGTGAGTGTGATTTTCCAACTAGCACATTGCATGCCAAGCTAGTGTCTATATATTACATTGAACCAATTAAACAACTATTATTCTACCTCGGGTTTCTTTGATGTATACCGTCAAGGGAGTAGATACAATCAAATAGGCGGGGTTTACTCCAAAAAGGCTACCTCATTAGTTAAAAGGAGGAGGGACAGTATATTAGTCAGTATAATTTATTAAATAAATACAAATATTGATATGAGACGTGTGTATATATCAAAACTAATAATATGATTAACTGATTAAAGGAAAATGATTAAGATATGGGTCGAGACGGACACCTTTAGAAATCGCATTTTGATTAACGTAAATCGGTAATCATAGGAAATTATGAGCTATAATGAAATCACTATCACATTGCATTATTCTAGCGATCTAAAATGTAAACGTATCGGATGAGGTGGCTGATCATCCTCTACGATAGGGGTTCGCTGGAAAAAAGGAAATACTCTTGGAACAAGGATGGTCACCGAGAGCCTTCTATCAATTTCTAATTGGTTTTTATTTATTTTGATCGTTTTTTAGTATTTTTTAATTTGAAAAAGAAAGCTGTAATGAGAATCTGAATAGTTTAACTGTAGGTTCCCGTTTTCTCCTTTTTAAGACGGGGAGATACATTGATGTATTTTGTATTTTGTCTCTATCAATGAGAAATCCACTGAGTCGCCAAACATGTAAATAAATACCAAAAAATTTCCGTGATACAATGACAAAAGTACCTTGTAATAAAAATCAAAACGGATCAATCCAACTGATCAAAGACATCCAAGTTCATCAACAACCGAAATGGACATAAATATGTAGTTAATGACAAAATAACACGAAATGGAACTAGTTTTCTCAATAGAAACATACACACAAACTTTTTCAACTGTAAACACCTCAGGCAAGTTTATTTTCAAGTTCATCATTGATCTCTTTGCTGAAGTGTTTTAAAAATCACAAATATAGTGTTGATTTTGCCGCATTTCTCTCATCATAAAGGTTGATGATTTAACGTTTATTGCTGTCGCCACTGCAAAGCTGGACACCAATGGTGTTAGATATTTATAGGCGCACTTGAACAGTGGGGGAAATAGATACCTTTATACTTTAAAGAGATCACTAGCTGTTAATATCGACGAAGCATTCAGTAGCCGCATCACTTCAATGATGCTGCAGAACGCCATGTGATGTAGCAACGTCCCCCCCGCGCACGTACGCGTTAATGATATCCATTTATAGTCAATTAAACGTCTTAGTTAAATATAAGAAACTGGTTCAATTTGTTTTAGATAATGGAAACAAATGACTCTAAAATGTTTTAAAATAAAAGTACTAGAAGATGAGTCAATATTAAAATCTGCTGAAATTAATTACTCAAATCAGTTTTAGTATAACGAACGGATTCAAGTGTCAATTTACTGAGAGTGATATTTTTATGTGATATACCCATTTGTGATATACCCATGGAATAAAACCCCGGGAATAAAACAGAACTCTAGTGAGCTAATTGAACATGCAACTAAAACAAAGCGAACGTTGATGAAAGCCCTATAAACATCAATATTGAAATGAACAGAAATATACCTTATGTAGTTTAAAGACTACAAAGTGTGCGTTTTGACAACAATTCCACAAATCGCCAAAAATATTTGAAAAGTGACAGACTACTCATACTTCAACATTTTCATATATTTCAAAATATTTTCTCAATGGAATGTTTGAAGTCAACTTGAATTTAAATCTCTTATAATATGAAACGCATTTAGGCGCCAGGGCATCTCTGACACGTTGGGGACACCAAGTCAATGGGTTGAGTTTAAAGACACAAAATGGGCCAAAAAGAGACAAAATTGCAGGGAATAAATGCCATATTTCTAGATTCAAACCTCTAAAGCGTATAACAATGTCAGAAATTTTCTCTTTTATTTACAAACTAAAGAGAAATGGTGTGGAATACGCGAGAACGGAGTGACGTCCCGTGTCCGAGTCCAGAGCTTAGATTAAGACCGATTATTTGGATTAAACAAGATTAAAGGCGACGTGAAAAGTGGATAATATCATATATCAATCTATTATTGAAAGCAATGAAAATATTACGTAAAAAGACTAATATGACATGTGTTATTTTGGAAATGCTTAGTAGCAGCTAGTCAGTGCACCAATATAACCAGAAAAGTGCAGCTTTTTATAAATTGCCATTTTCCTTGGAATCCCGGCAATATCGAAAATAGGGGATTGGCGGCATTTTATAAACACCCACAAAATCAAAAATCAATAAAGGCCCCTGGGGATTGAAATTATAAGTTAAAATACTCATCGATTCAAAGTTTGGTTAAGACCAGGCCGAAAAGGTACTGAAACGCTCAACGCCAGAGTAAAGACACCTGATCTTGATAAACGCGAATTGGTCTCAAATGGATATTTGTCAGGGCTTTAATCATGTGGAAACACATAGCGAGTCGAGTTTCTATAAATCAGTCCCCAAAATATTTTTATTCAGTTTATGTAGTTAAAAAGGCCATGTAGATACATATGATAGCAAGGATTTTGAAAAGAATGAAAATCACCAGGGAAAATTAAAACCACTGGACATATTACTACCATTTTTTCTAGAATTATGTAAATTTTGTAATAATTTTTTTTTGTAAACAAGTTCATCAAAAATTAAAACCACTGGACATATTACTACCTTTTTTTCTAGAATTATGTTAATTTTGTAATAATCTTTTTTTGTAAACAAGTTCAACAACAACTACATCAGTGTATGAAAACCCATCTCATCTCTAAAATTTACAAATGATTTTTGGATATTGTGTAAACCGTAATGGGCTTTCAATAGAAGGGTAGGCAACTTCCCATATTTCATACATAAGCCTTGTCCTAGGTTTTCGAAATTGCAGAAGAAATGCTTCATGTACACATTCCAAGGAAAATCTTGTTTTGTGCTTTTCATGTATGATTTGAGGAAATAACTCAAAAATAAAAACATGATTATCTGCATACATGTTGTTATCCCATGGTTACAAGGATACAGATCGAATATCACGTGAAGATATAATTGATAACGTGGATGAAGATATCATATTTTCATGATTATGGCAATAGTGAAACTGAGCATTCCCCCACAAGTTATATTTTTATTGGAATGTGTTCTTGAATAATTGCCCACAATGCAAAACTCGAAGAGAACATTTTGATTCCTCTTTTCCTTATTGGTTTCTTTATTTACTTTTAAATGAGATTAATCATGTTTCATGTTTTAATCAAATTCAAAATTGATTTTTCTTCAAGATAATGCTATAACAAACATATACTTTAATCAAAATCTTTTTTCAAATGAACCATGGCACCGCTCATTTTGAAGTTCTCATGTAATAACACATAGTTGCAAGTATTTGACTCGACTCCAACAATAGAAAATCGCAAAAATCCAAGAAAATAATAATTTGAATAATGCTGCCATCTTTATGAACTTTTCAAGACTAACAATACATATCCGAATAAATGTGAACTCATCGCATTTAATTCTTTATCCAAGACTCAAGAGTGTAGGAATAATTTCCCTTGAAAATAGCAGAAACAATTGATAACCGATAGCGCAGGTAAACAGACCCCAAAATAATGTGAGAATTTGAGGATCCACGTTAGCTTACCCATGGACTTTCAATCTAGTTGAAAGCCCATGGCTTAACATACCGCCTAGGTCGCTAATACATAAAGCCCCGTGCCTAAACAAGGTATCTCTATTATGTTTATTACTTTGAGTGAAATAAATCGAACAGATGGTCTAGTTAATACCAGTGAATAGTATTGCAACAACAAAATAATTAGAATTCAAGATTTTAAATCATATATTTTATTCAATTTAATATATTTCCAGTATTTTATAAAATCAGCAATATATTGGTAATATTTTATGTGATACCAAACATAATTTACTATCAAACACTTCAAATAAGGATATGATTTAAGATTTCCTGGAGGTGTAATTTGACCAATCAGCTTCTTCTTAACTAGTTGTTCCTTGACATGGCTAGCTGGTACAGCAAAACACCTGAAAACAGAACATAAAACAGTTCCAATATTTTAATAAACTTACATGTACTTATCAAAAAATAAAATAGTTATCAAAACACCTGCCATTTGCTACATACGCCGTCTGCTGAACACCAACCACCAAACACTAACCACTGAACACCGTCCACAAAAAAGTTGGGAAACTATAACAATATGTCACCACTTCTGGTGGTGGCATAATAACCAATTGATGACATGCAGGCCCGTAGCCAGGATTTGCCAAGGGGGGGTTCACTTTTGAAAAATTCCACGGGGTGGGGGGTCACTTGTGACAATTTTGGTCCAAAAATGGCCAAAATCACTTAAAAAGTGCTCAGAATGGTGAAAAACTGCATGATTTTGAAAGATTTTTTGGCCAGGGGGGTTCGATGGGTTCGACCTGGCTACTGGCCTGACATGACACTGCAAATACATAATAATTTTGGTAGTCTTCCCTGTATACAGGTTAAACTGTAGCTGATGCCATGTATTTTTCACGGAAAACTAATTACCATATTTCACTATCTTATACAGCTTATATTGCTATCAAATCGGAAATGAACCTTTTGTCATGGTTTTAAATTCCATGGACCTCTAATTGTAACATTGCTTTGGAAAGTACTATATTGTTAGGGGTTCTTTCAACATATAGTGGTTGCTATGGTAACTTACCAGTTGCTACGGAGACATTCAAGGAATCAAGACCAGGATGAAACTGTTTGAATGGTTGAATAGATACCACGTAGTTACAAAGTTCTTGCACGTCACTGCTTAAACCACTTCCCTCATTTCCTGAAATATGAATTACTTTATATAACTTATTTCTCAATAAATACCATGGGCTTTCAACTATAATTCAGTTAGCACTAAAATGAATAAAGCAAATGACAAACCAAACCAAAGATTTCTGTGTGAAATTGTCTCAGCTTAATTTGTTTGCCTTGACTAATTTTGGATCCTGGCTACGCCCTATCTCGTCTAAAGATCCAATGTCAAGCATTGGTGGCTAAGCCTCTGGATTTACTAAATAGAGAAACTGGCTCTTTAAAAAACTCACCAAGAAGAATGATGGTATCTTGCTTGATGGCAACCTGATGTAGGGGCACCATAGGGACATTGTTGGCCACAACACTTGCTGTTCCAGCCACATCCCATCCTCCCTCTTTCTTTTCCTGTAAAAAGTCAAAGAGGTCACAACAGTGATAGATGGCAGCACAATTTTGTCAATCATCTAATTGTATTCATGAATTTACATAAGAATAAATAATGGATTTAGGAACTGAAAAACAGTCCTGTATCGAATTTCTGGACATCCATATCTACTTCATCTGCTCGTGGAGGTACCCAGTATAGAGAGGAGGAAGATCACAAACAGAGCTTGAGGCATGACTAACTGAAACGGTTATATCAATATTCTTACCTTTATGAAGTCTGGCAGGTCATCAATGGCCTGAATATCTGTTATTTCTAATGCCCCGGCACTGGCCTTGCTTACAACAGGTGACATAGAGCAACTGAAAAAGAGTCACATAAGAATCCGGGATAAGAATACAGAAAAACCTGAGTACAGTGAACATCTATGGAGCCACAAAAATGTGTTCATTATTGGTAGGTGTTAACTACAGAGAAGCGATTTTATACAAAAATCGGTGGACTATGGGCTGAGAAGAGGTGTTCAATAGATACAAGTGTTCACTAGAGAGAAATGTTCACTAAGACAGGTTTAATTGTACATGGTCATTGGTATCCAATACAGTAAGAATTCTTCATACAATGATAAAATCACCTTATTTACATTGTTGAAAATGAGAAAACGTATTACATTTTTTCAAATGTGTCAGCATGCTGCTCAAAGTTTACAGGATTTATGGCTATTTCAAGCTTTTTATGTTATCTTAGTGCTTGTTTTCTTAATTCCTTGCTGAACGCACTATTTTCTGCAGCATTTTACATGTAACACTTTTATTTTAAAACATGCATACTGTCATATTACTTCACCAAATTGAACAATGAATGTATATCCCCACCTGCTATCTGCTACTGTCAGCACTCTGTCTACGCCAAAGTAGTAGGAAGACCTCAGGATAGCACCAAAGTTCATTGGATCCTGAATAACAGAAAGGGTTGTAATTTTACAAAAAGCATTGATGTATATTAGCCTATGATCAATTTTTTAAAAATTTAGAAATCATTTAGAACGTTTCATTTCAAACTCTAACAAAATATACAAAATATTTTGAAGCAAATGTGTGACATATAGGGAATTTACGTGAAAAGTCTGAACGGAATGCGTTCGTTTCATTTTTTACTGTATCGGCATTTTATAAAATAAAATATCAACATAATGCGTGATTTACGTGACATTTTATCATACACGCAAAATTGATGCCTGATTTCATTTTTCAAGCAAATACATGACAATCACGCCTAATGCGTGAGGGCTGACAGGGCAGCGTTCCACTGTCCAAGTTGTAACATACTACAGGATTATGTGATGTTCAGTTTTGGAAGTAGAGTTCAGGAAAATGAATATTTTGGATCATCATGCACTCAGGATATGTGCACCCGAGGTTCGGGTATTTTTGAATTTTGATTTTCATCTTACTTGGATATTCTGCAGTACTAGCCAAATTCTAGGATTTGCTTCCACTTGCTCAGGGACATCCAGGTCTTTGCTTTCCTCTGCATATTTCACTGGTTTAAGCTTACTGACATCCATACAAACTCCCTGTAACAAGACACATAATCTAATCAGACCTTGGCACGAGTTTGCTCTTGCATCAGTAAAAAGTTCAAGTTGAACGGATAAGTGGACTTCCTAGGATTTTGATGACATGGTTTATGTGACAAACACCCTTGCCTAGTAGCAGCAGATGATGACAATATAGTATGTTTTGGAAGTGCTATAGTAAAACTATACATTATATACAATAGGCTAAAGGGCAACCCCTTGCAAAAGATTTCATACCTGGTGTGGCCTAAAGCTGGAGAGGCCATCCAGTACATCAAGAGGGCATTTCTTTACTTCCACACCTCCCTCATTGGCCAGTTTCTGTATCTCCATAGCAACCCCATGATCAGCCCCAAATAGATTTTCCTTGATGAAGAGTTTATAGACACTTCTTCGCTGCTCTTGCAGTGCCAACAAAACTGGGAAAAGTCCAAACAGGACCTCCCCTTTTGTAGGTGGCAAAGATTTCACATGCCTTCTGAAATAAGATGTTACTGTAAGTGTAAAGGTAGACCAAACAGAAATCTGACATTTAATGTGTAGACTTGCATTCTAACATCAAACAAGACTTCAAGAGTTCAATTATATGTTACGAAACAACTATGTCTGATTTTCCAGATATACTGGCACACAGCTACTATATCGGCATGTTACTACTCAATAAGAGTTGCAAGGGAACAATCAACTTCATGCACAAATATGAAAACGGACAAATGAAATATTCATCATTCTTTTGAAAAGACTTACTTTCTGAACTCTCGTTTTCCTAGACCTGTGAGTTGTCCATTTGTTGATTCATGCGCAAAAAGGTCTTTGGACCTTTTAGGCTTTTTATGTACATTTACATCTAACAAAAGGCCATGTCCATTTGATGATTGGTTCACAATTTGTTCTTTTGACTTTTTATTTTCATCAATGTCTAGCAGAAGACCTTCTCCGAGGGTTAAATCATTATGACCATGACGTGAATTTCGTTGTGAGTGTTTGTTTTGGCTGAGTTTTTGTTTCATTTCTGTTTTTCTGTTATAATTCTTTTTATAGCTATTTTCAAATCTACTCTCTAAAAAACTGGATTCAGATTTGGTATTCCTTTTTGACCGTAATTGAATTTCACCCAGTTTTCTCTGGCTTGAATATTGTCGAGATGATGGAGTGAAGAATAACCCTTTACTTGGGGATTTCAAGATAGTTGGCTGTTCTTTTGATTCCATACATGATAGAGCACATAAATGTTTATTCACGGCAGTGTAGTATTGTCTGACATTCCTTAGTAATGCCCGTTGCATTAACAACCAGCTTGTTGAATTACAAATCATTATCATTGTGTACGCCTGAAGATTTTTGACAAATTCACACGGCTTATATTTATATTATAGTGTTCAGCAAATTTCCTTCAAAGATCTGTTTGTAAATAGTCTACATATGTACAGTGTAATGTTCCCGATTTAGATTTAGAGGTCTAATATCCTTTACGACCTCTAAATCGTGTTCTCATGTCAAGTATAGACCTTTTACATTCAAAGAAAGCTACTCTTATAGACTGACACTCGGGCGGTATTTGATATTCTTCACCACCCTTTCCAACCAAACATTCGCGTGGAGTGTGGTGATATTTTCTTACACAATCAGTCTTGAGTAAACACTCCTTTAATTCGTCTCTAAGGCCACTACAAGCAGCTTTGGGTTTGGAAATACCTTCCTCCTCAATTTGGCTCATGATTACAACATCTATCCAAAGCTATTCAATAAAACAGGCGGCTTTACGATCTTTTCGGGCTTATGAAATTTTCATTCCTCCTTATTTGAAGAGTGATTTAGAACAGCTAATCATTGAAATCTAATTCGCTTTAGCGAAACAGTCCAAACTCAAGATTAGAGTGTTCACTATTCCCAGAGATTAGGAACAATTAACCATCAGATTATTTGTGTGCTTATGGTCAACCAATGATTTGTCAGTATTTCCAATTATAGTTTGGCCAGTTGCTTTTTGGATGGGTTGTTCAATTTCTTTTTGGATGCGTTATTAAGTTGCTTTTTGGATGGGTTGTTCAGTTGCTATTTTTGATCAGTTGCTTTCTGGATGGGCTGTTAAGTTGCTTTTTTAATGAGTTGATAAGTCGTTTTTTGGATGGGTTGATGAGTTACTTTTTGGATGCATTATTTTTTTTTTTTGGAAGGGTTGATCATTTGCTTTTTGATGGGTTGTTCAGTTAATTTTTTGGGATAGGTTGTTCAGGTGCTTTTTGGATGTGTTATTCGGCATTTGCTTTTTAGTTGAGTTGTTCAGTTGCTTTTTTGACAGGTTGTTCAGTTGCTTTTTTGATGGGTTGTTCAGATGCTTTTTTGATGGGTTGTTCAGTTGCTTTTTTGATCAGTTGATCAGCTTTTTGGATGCATTATTTAATTGCTTTTTTAATGGGTTGTTCAGTTGGCTTTTGAACAAACTGTATGATATATGAACTTACCGTATGAATAGCATCTATGGGTTTGCAAATGGCAATAAGACCCCCGCCCCCAACAAAGTGAATGTAAGCTTGACAAAGTAATGCTTGCCATTATATACACAGAAATCAGGACAACCAGATTAATTTATTTTTGTATTAATATTTATTTCTACACACAATCAAAACGGTGATGTCTTGAATACTAATTACATATAATAAATGATGTGAATACTTATATGGTAATGGTAGTACAATGGATTTAAACCATCAAAGTGGGTCAATCTATCACTTAAGAAGATAAGCCACTTTAATTAAAATGATTGTAAATTAGTAAAACATGTTCTCATACCGGGGTATTATATTTTAATTACTATGATACATATTACACTGGTAATGGTAAGCATGCAATGGGATTTTCACCCAAAACCAAGGCATGTGTATTTAAAATAACTAAAAATATCATCTACACTGTAGACTGTAGACTGCAGTCTATCAAATGTCAGATTATGCAATAATAATACAAACTTGGGAATAAACTGTTTACAAATATTGATAAAATAGACAATGGACCATTCTTTTTAGTACTTGAAAAAGAACAAAACCACAAAATACAGGGTGACCACATAAAATGCAACCTTCTATTTTTCTCAGAGGTTTGGGTCTTTGGGTCACCCTGTATCCTCTCGGAATTTATGCACATGGATTTCAACTAAAATTACATCAGCATAGCTTCATCTTACATTTGTTCAGCTTTAGCATAGCTTCATCTTACATTTGTTCAGCTTTAGCATAGCTTCATCTTACATTTGTTCAGCTTTACCATAGCTTCATCTTACATTTGTTCAGCTTTTCAATGAAAAATGATGCATTTTGGATATGGAATGACACCACAGCCAAATTTTACAGCTTTTTTAACTCTAAACAATCAAAATGGCATCATAATGGCATTAGATCTTTTTTGTATTGACAGTGCACATTTCGAAATAAACCCTTTAACAAAGCCTTTACCATTTTGTTTATAGTGGAGGGGGTATCCAAATCATTTTCATCAATTACTTAAAACATATTACTTATAACATATTACTTCCAACATATATTACTTTTAACTTTTTACTTACAACAAATTACTTATAACTACACAATTAGTCTTATACAGGGTGTCAAATTAATATGTTCTCCCCCTTAATTTCAAGAGTATGAACTTTTGCGCATAAAAGTGCATCAATTTAATCTAGTCACCTGGAATTTCTTGTAGAGTTGCTCAATGAAGTTTTAATGGCCTAAAGAACAATTCAGATATCATGCAGACAAAAAAGTTATGTAACATTATGTGGATGTTAAAGTTGAAGGGAGAACATATTTATGTGACACCCTGCAAACATTGCCTAAAATATAATGAAACCCATCAAACATTACACAAGGAAGACACCAAACACTAACAAGGCATTAACATGCAAAATACCACCACCATTTGTTACAGACACCAAACGCCGATCATCAACCGTCGTAATAAAAATGGAGACCATAAAAATATGTCACCACTTTTTAGTTGTGACATAACAACTGGATGCTCCATATAGTGGTGGGCAAAACATTATGTTGTGACATAATAATTATGAGTTGAAAACACTTGTTTTTTTAGTTTATTTATAGGTTAAAAATCCTTAGTTTCTAAAAATTATTAAAGGTGTTTTACCTTGAAACAAATATAAAAGATTACAGTTAAAGATCCTGAGTATTGCGATTGACATATTATGTATAGTTGATTTATTGCATTTCCTGTACTGGTATATGATACTCCGAATACATATATCAAATATTCCATTTTACTGAGGTGAATTCATACTCTACATTTTCTTAAGTAGAGGAGGTACAATAATGATGAAAATGCACTCACTGAAAATAGAATGGAATATTTGTTTTATTATTCATTGTTGTTTCTCGTACATATAGGCAGAGAAGATACTGAGTGTATATAAAAAATATAGTTTAAAATGAATTTTTATCATGTGATCAGTCCCTAGCCAATGAGAGGGTGAGAAACACTCATTTGATAAGACAATTGCTAGTATCAACAAAGAAAAGCTCTAGTTGATGAAACTTGTATAAATTCATGTATATTGCCGTTACATATGAACTATTGCTTGCTAAGCATGAAATAAATTGTTTATTACATTCTGCCACAATGTGTAACTCAGTACTATAGGTGTCATCAGTCAACATGTTTACAATATAAAGAAATTGTATGTTTGTTAAATAATACATAAAGCACCACAAAACCTGTTAATTAAAACATTAAGTCGATTGGTCATTGGACTCGCAAGAGTTCCACTTACTAAACACGCCCAGTGATCGGACAAAATGAACAGATGGAGTGGGAATGCAATGAATTCTGCTAAAACACTAAAAAAATCTGGAAAAAATTTTATTCACAGGAAAGTTAATCCATTGAATTGCTCATCGCTGCATCCCCCCTCCGTTCATTTTGTCAGATCACCAGGTGTGACGAAGGTCATAAAATGCAACCAGGTGTGACGAAGGTTTTACAGTACTTTAACTGAAGCATGCTGGTCATAAAATGCAACCAGTTGTAAGCCTCAATAATCAATAATGCAAAAATACATTGCCTATATGCACTCATGTTCTTTTCAGTTATGCTTCATATTGTATATAAAGTCTATTGATACAAAAAATATACATGTGAATAAATATGTGATGCCAGCTCACATATCTAAACTATACATGGGTCGAACACATGTGGGTCAACCATGTGTGGGTCAACATAGATGGGTAAACCATATTTGGGTAAACCATACTTGGGTCAATCATATATGGGTAAACCATATGTGGCTCAACCATATATGGTTAAACCATATTTGGTAACACCATATGTGGGTCAACCATATGTGGATCAACCATATTTGGGTTAACCATATGTGGATAAACCAAACTGTGTGGCCTTATTCTTTGAATATTGCCTAGGATTGAGTCATACCAGTAAAAGCTGACCCCCTATAATCTCAAATTCTTTTATAGATATCTGCATATAACAGATTTAGCTGGAAGCTTATTAAACAACTGAACCAGAAGACTCATTAAGTGGAAGAAGGTGCTGCTCCGGCAGTATTAGTTGTCAGATTACCAATCTCTAAGAGAATGATGACGATTGTCACATTTCTAATAAATTTGGCATGAGTTTCTTGTTATCAGAATGACAAAAACTTAAAATAGGTGATTCAATCAATTGCCATTTTGATTTTTTATCCTCCTGGCAGACAGCTACACCGCAGTAAGGCACGTTGCGCACTATTGCATGAAAGTCATTGGCCGAGCGTGCAGTTTTCCCGATGAGCTGACGTGAGCAAACCTCTAAACTTCCTGCATGTCCGACGATTAGGATATTCTCCCCTGAAATTTATAAGATTTATAATAAAGAGAAAGCACAAAAGGAACCATCAAAAGTTAAAACAACATGAAACCTTAAAGTCATGTAAATACTGCCCTCATACAAAGTCTTAATACAAGACATTCATGTTTAAGATCATCCACAATCCATTGAGTCAATCTTTTATACAAAATCAGGATCAAAAATCATACAAACTGTGATTCTGTAAAATCAACATGATACCACTTGTTAAACCATGGACTTTCAATTATTATCTAGTTGAAAGCCCATGGATACACCTATATAAAAGATATGACTGGCTGTGTTTTTGGGGTTGCTAATATGATATCAAGGTACTATATATAACATTAAAAACAACAGGCAGGAAGAGGCCATATTATGAGTATTCTAGACAGTTGACTGATAAGAAAGAAATATAATGTGTACGTACCATCGGCATGATGTCTGTGTAGCGCCTGTTTTGTAAAGTGATAACTACGTGAATAAAGATCAACCACAGATTCCTCCGTAGTGAGGTTCTTGGCAGGCAAGTATGGTTTATATGTGTTGTCCACATTTATATTGTAGTCTATATATTCCTGGGGAGTCGCGAGGAATTTGGGCATTTGGTTGGTGTACCAGCCGCACCATTCAAACAAACATGGCTCCACTCTAATTGGAATTGATGTTTTCAGTCCTGCAATGTTAAAAGTTGAAATAGAAGTTTAAAAGCATCCATTTAACAATATAGTTAAAAAATGACAAAAATACATATATTATTGATTGATAACTTAAAATATTTTTCATCCAGTATGGTTGCCTTAGAAATGTTCTGATTGGTTAATATTGGTCACATGATCTAGTGGATGCAGATTTAGCACATAAATCAAATGAAATGCAACACAATGACAACAATATAAATAGTTGATACCACAACAGAAGTAGTTGCCTTCCCAATCCACTTCATGACAGTTAAAAACAGTTCAAAAAGTCACCAAAACCAGCATCAAAAAGAGGTGAGGGAAAACTTCGCAAAAAGTTAATTTGTAATTAATGAGACATAATTTTGTATAAATATTGTCGAAAAAAGACTGATCCAAAAATTGATTTTCTGTAATATTACAATGAAGCAACTGACTGTGTTAGTAGCTATCTACGCCTATGACAAGTATTACATAGATATATTGCGTACCTCTGAGTATTTGTGTAGCTGTCTGTAGACACCTTAAAGAAGGAGACGAGTAGACATGGCTGATCACAATATCTTTTTCATGCATTGCTTCACCTGAAAAAGTAAATTAAAGAAAAACCTGTATATCTGAACAACTCTCAATGTGAACACTTTTTCGGTCCAATTTTTTAATCTGCCATAGACTTCCATGTTAAATGCCAAATGACAAGACACAAGTCACAATTGCACACTTGGGCAAAGTCATAATAGCAATTTAATTCACTTCTGAAAATATCAATCAATCAAAAAATGATTATCCATACATAAAAAAGATCTCGAAAAGTACCACAGGATTAACTTTATAACTTGACTTTGAATGAAATATACCTCTTATATATAGCAGGGTTAAATAAGCTTCATGAGGAAGCATTTTGACAAAAAGCTCGTAACAAAGGATTTTGCATCTGTGTAGTGTGTTACACCTTGATATCCATTCATCATAAAACTTCTTTGTCAAAATGCTTTGTTACAAAACAATCTAACCTGTTATGCAAATCTAATTAATGTTATTAATACCTGTAACAAAAGCCTGGTGATGACCCTGTGTAGTAAGCGGGGAATCATGTCTGAAGTCGTGTTTCCCGCCTACTCTCTTGGCTAAATGTTTAGGCATGTTCAAATCTTTCCTTATGTAGTCACCTGGAAAAACACTACAACAGGTCAGCTTCTTGTTTTAATTAACTTGAGTTCTTAAAGGAACAAAATATTTAATGTACAATATTACAATTCCAGTTTTTGCTTTATGCATTTATTCACTTTTTCAATATATTTATTTTACAAATCTTCATCAGATGTGTAAATATTGTAAATGAAATATTTGATGGTTTTAATTTGTATAAACAGCATTCACTTGAGCAAGTAATGAGTCATTTAAATGTAAATTGACACCGTACCAGCCTATTATACCATGCTCTGTATACCAAAGCGAGTATAGAGAAAAGTTATTATTTTAGAAAATGTTTACACAACAAAGAAGCCACCATATTTTAACCACGTGGTAAATCTTTATAACCTGATTGGTCAAAACAATTCAGGACCCAATCTCTTCCGAAGCAGAAATCCATTCTTTCACCGTGACGTATTATGTAAATTTGTCGTGGCCCATGATGCACCTGTGGCGATGGTCTACTGCACGCCCCATGATCTGCCACTTTATTGACCTTTAAAACATAAACAATTATAAACCAGGATTTTGATAGCAGGTACACGCGAGGCCGAGCAAAACTTGGGAGGTACGGGGCATGCCCTCCAGAAATCTTTTGATTTTAGACCTTAAATGGTGCGTTCTGAGCGATGTCAGACTGCATAATGGGGCACTATTCATCGTATACATCATATTTTTCTTTACTTTTTATTTTTTACAACAATTTATCGTTTGCTCCATCATTTAGGATAGGCAACTGCGTACCCTCGCATATGCCTGATTACATGCCTGAATATATACAGTACCACTTACTTTTACTGGAAGAATTTTAGTTATACAACAAAAGTAGATAAATGTCACTACCTACCATTTGTTACAAATGCCAAATGCCGAACACCATCTGGTAAGACTTGCTCATTTGATATCCGGTAGCATATTTTTTCAAAACTTTTCACAAGTGATCAAGACATGTCTCTTGATTGATTAGAATGTTTACTGATGAATATGTTTGCTGATAAGATGTTAGAGCAACTATCTTTAATAATGGACAGAATAAAACTTTCAGTCATTCATTGCGCCATAAATCATAGAATCCAGGTCTATTTTCCTCAATAGACTATAAAGATATATTATTCAATATATTACTTTAAAGATGTATTACTCAATATATCACTAGAAAGATGTATTACTCAATATATTACTATAAAGATGTATTACTCAATATATTAGTATAAAGATATATTACTCAATATATTACTATAAAGATATATTACTCAATATATCATTTTAAAGATGTATTACTAACCTTAGCATATAATGCATTGTTTGGAATCTCTGACATGAGTTTATCTACATGTGTTTGGTGATGATGACTTGATGAGGGCGTGGCACCATCCTGTACACCATTCAATGTGGACATTCCGCAGTCTGACCCGATCATAGTTATGGACCTAATGCAATAAATGTACTGTAAAGATAAATTTGCGAGGGCCTTTGATCATTAATCTTTTTTTTTTTTTATTACTTTTTTATTCTGTGAGCAACTGAAATAAAAAAAAAGTGGGCTGTACATGGAACTGACTTTGTACATTAAACATGCCGTGGAACTAAAATTGTACAATTTTTTGTTGTTTTGGATTAAGATTGAGAATTCATTGGTATATGACTTGTTAGGAAATACTTATTGGTGTAATCATGCGGAAAAATTCCTTGCCAAATCTAAAAAGTTGCATTTCTTGGCTCAACCTATATGTGACTCAAACAATACCAAAGGGTATGTAGTACTATGTACCTATGTAAAGTCCACATATCTGTTTGACTAGTACATTCAGTGTAATTCAAAGGGACCATTCCAGATAAACCAGTTAACCATGATGTCCCTAAATGCCATTGATCGCGAGATTTCTCAATATCAGCAGGATCAGCGAAGATGAAGTCTCCATGTATAAGGTCCAGTTCATCAGGAGCTTGGGGCTTGTGTTTGTATCGGACTCTCCGTACCTTAAATATAAACGAGACAAAGTAATATAAAAGATCACACTTTTTAATCAAAAATTCAAAATGGCCACCAAGTAATTAACCCAGAATGCCCAAAATGTAATTAGAAGTTGGCAGTAGTCTGTTCTTGTATCTGTAAATATTTCAAGTTGAATGGTTTCAATTGGGATTTCATTGACAAGGTCTATTTGGCTCATCCATCCCAGCAGTACAAGGCGACAACTTTGAAACGTGTGATGAAAATTGTTACAGTCCTCAAAATATGTTTTTATTATTTTTTGGTGGAACGAATGAGGAAAATTTGTTGGGTGGTATTTGAGTTTTGAAAGAAACCCTGAAATCCTTGTAGTTTTACGTAAAGTTTGCAAATGAGGATTTTAGCCAGTCTGAAGCTCAACTGTTTTGAAGGAAACCCTGAAATATTCTTAGTTCACAGATGAGGATCTTAGCAAGTTTGACGCTTACCAAGAGGAGGGAAAACTCCATGATTCAATTGGTGACATAAGATTTCCTCCTTCGCGCACCTCCTTTCCCGGAAGTACGTATATTTTTGTTTACCCTCCATCTTGGTTTTCAAATTGACCTAGTTTTAAACCAATCAACGATCGACTCGCAAAACCAATCAGCGACGATGTCATCTCAATACAGATTTACATTATAGGCGTATGTCATCTTTGAACCCTGGGATTTCTCCCCCTCTTACGCTTACCTGTTTATCTTTACACCTTGGATCCCTTGAGTAGAGCCTTAAGTCCCAATGTGCTTCAGATTTAAGGTCTATTTCTTTACTAAGGGACTCTAGGGTCTTCTGGTGTTCTGACTTGAACTGGTAGGCTAGTGATATATGCAGCTCTTTCTTATGTGGTTCTACGTCTACCCCTTGAAGAGAAAATAGTTTTAGGTTATGATTTTAATTTGCATATAAATTCACATAATACATTGATAATTCATTGAAGGCCTAGGCTGAGAGCATTACAGTACTTCCCTATAGCCAACCACCAAACACCAACAGCCAAACATTGTCCATAAAACAGTGGAGATTTTAATAAGATGTCGCCACTTCTGATGGTGACATAACAATCCTTACCTATTTTTTTGGCTTCTGCCGCAAATTCATTGATGACTTGTTTCATAATGGGTACATTTTGCTTGTTTAGAAAGATTCCGATAAAGTTTGATGCATTGTAGTAGTCAAGGAGGAGTTTTTGTGGCATTTGGGCAGCCATTCTGTCGGCTATTACTCGTATATTTCTTGCTACTTCTATCACTTTGTTATCTGGGACCTGTAACAGTGTATGGTAGAGGATGATTATAATGACAGTGAACCATGATCGTTCGAACAACTAAGGCATTAACATGCAATACACACCACCTGCCATTTGTTACAAATGCAAAATTTTAAGACAGGTTTTACTGTAAAGTCAGACATGTTATGAGATAGCCCCTTACCTTGAAAAATGAACATAGCGTGATATGTGGTAGGTAGTTGTGGGCAAGATTCCATTCAGTTTGTGCCCTTGACTTATACCAGAACAATTGAAGCTGCTTTAACAAGGGCCCAGTGGGACACAAGTATACAATATAATCCCTGGGGGTCACTTCATCGAGTGTGGGGTCATTCAGATGTGACAGTAGCCTGAAAATGGAGGAAAATATCTAAACACAAGAGCTGAAAGGGGAAGGTCAAAATTCAGTACAAGAGACAGCAAATGGCCATAACCTTCGCATCTAAGATGGCGGGGGGTAATTGTCGATTTCAATACTTTTAGTTTTCATTGAATTAAACTACTTTATAGTTGATGTTAAATGTGGGATACGGTTGTACCTCTGCAAAATGATGGTTAAGTTGTTAACCTCATCATATGATGTAAATAGTAGACGCCGTGACGGTGACACACCTATATCAGAAATTTGTAATTTTTGTGACCTTAACGAAAGAGAAAGTGTTAAGCATTACCTGCCCACCAGCTTTACGAATGTCAGAAAAAGCAAGGGGAAATCTAAATGTAACGAACAATGATTTTACTCTTAAAGTGATTTTAGGAATTGTATACAATGATGATAAGGAGACCTTGCTTCTTATAGCGATGCATGTGTATGAGTTGCACAGGCATAGACAATTTCTCTTGGGTAAAGATTAATTATCCTCTTAACCTTTATCATATAACACACAATTTTAATATGTTTTAATTATCTTACATAAATCCATTATATGTTAATCATATGAATGTAACTCTCTTTAATTTGAACCAAATCAGGCTTATATGACATCGGAACTTTGGAGTATGATAATTTGTTCATATATCATGCGTGGGTGCCACAGTGCAACGATATCTTCCACCGCTTTACGGAAGTTTAAGATATCGTTGAACTGTGGTGCCTACGTATGGTATTTGAAAAAATGACCATACTCCAGAGTTTCCATGTCATATGTTCCTGGTAAAGTTAAAATATCAAAGGATTGTGACAACTTCAACATAGTTTAATTCAATGAAAACGAAAAATATTGAAATGGACACTAACCATCCGCCACCTTTGATGACCAGTGAGAATGTGACTGATGCATGACTTATATTAAGATGAACAGGGGCTGATCTGGAAACCAATGAGGGGGGCCCAAGGTCAGAGAAAAAAACTTTGGGCCCCTAGGGCCGAAAATTTTGAAATTTTGAGGCCTATTTTCTTCAAAATTTGGCCTTAAACTAAAAAATAAGACCTTACAAGGCCAAGTACTGACTAAAAAGGCCCACTTTTTGAGGCTTTAAGGCAAAACATTTTTGGGCCCAATTTTTTTTCTGCAAAAAAGGGGGATCCCCCCTGGATCCACCACTGATGAAACACACATTCAATTGAAAACTGACCAAGCCTATTTTGCAATGTTAGCAGTCTTAATCATATTACGAGATTTGAACATATGATAAGAGGGTGAAATAATCTTATGTGGGTTGTATAAAAGAACTCACCAGTTGGAGGCGATGTCTACCCCCTGGTGTCCAGTTGATGCAAGAGCTTTCTCTCTGCAATAAGAAAACATAAATACAGCTAAAAAACGCATCGTACATGGATTTGGGTTTAAAAACACAATTGTTACTTTCAACCAATTACATTATTATATTATTTGGTCCAAATGAATATAATGTATGATAGAGGGTATATTAAGACAAGGAAATTAAGAAATTTCAAGCCCTTGGTTAGGAGAAAAATTAAGCACTTTCCAAATTTGGCAATAGCTGTGCAATAATCATTTTGTTGATGTAAGAAACATTCTTAACTATGCATTTCTGAAATTTTGATAATTAAGTCACAGGGAATGTGCCATACTTATATCTATAATAGGCATTACATGCTTGAGCCCCCCTCCCCCCGAAACTGCCTGACCTCCATGTGTTTATACAGTACATATATTATATGCTTATTCTAATACTTGTACATGTAGTAACTGATGTCATACATTCACTATTGTTACCTAGCATTTCTTTGGTTAGTATCATCACAAAAATACAAGACATCCCCTTAGACAACTCAATCCCTGAACAACTGTGCTGTTGAAATCTGTATGGATATAGAACACTGGTCAGTATCAAGATGCGGTAACGGCCGTTACCTTCTCATTTAAGATGACGGACGGAAAGTGTCGATTTCGATATTTTTTGTTTTCGTCAAATAAAACTACTTTATAATTGACCTAATGCTTAGATATTTGAACTTGATAAGCCTTACAATATATTATTGAAATTTTGGAGTTTGACCATCTGTTCGTAAATTAATCATACGTGGACGCCATAATTCAACTATATGTTATATCGCTTAAGGGAAGCTGGTAACTGGAAGTGCATGATACGATAACTGACACGTCTGTTTCCAAGATGATGCGGTTACTACATATAGTTAATAATATAGATATTTTTGTTTCAGACCAAAATGATGCACTTTGCTATACTGTGCAGTTTTTGTACATTACGGTTGTAAAATGTAGCATTTATCCTGGACCATACGATACGATGCAATAGACGTGCCAGATAGCAACTTTTCTTATCAAAAACAGAAGCTAAATGTCAGGACATCGATGTCGATTAATTAATTGAAATTGGGAATCGAGATGTGAGCCCCCACTTCTTATATATCAGGTTTTGCTATGTGAACTGGCCCTCTATTATAAACTCTCAATGTTACAGCATCACCACAGATCAGTTAACATATCATTTGCAAAATCAAAATCTAAGTTACCTTCCCTTAAGCGGTGTAACGTATAGTTGAATCACGATGCCCTCGTATGATTTAAGAACAAATTGTCATACTACAAAGTTTCCATGATATATATTAGGCTTATAAAGTTCAAATATCAAAGCATATCAACACTTTCCATCCACCATCTTAGATGAGAAGGTAACGGCCGTTACCGCATCTTGATACTGACCAGTGTAGGAATGCATTCTCTGACATCCTAACATTGCCATGATCACTGCACTGTGATTTCAATTAGGAACAGTCACTTCATTAAAAGACAATAATCGCTGTTCTTATGTCTTGATATGAATGTTTACTTTCAGATTAACTAAATAAAGATAAGTTTTTTTTCTATTCACTCTAATCTACTCAGTGTTCATTTCACTTGAGACTGAGATAACACTGTTCAAAAATGTCATTTGTTTCATTATCGGTCCATATGCATAAGTCTTGCATCAAACTCATGTACATGTACGTGTATAATATCCTCGTTGTGATTGTTATTCGGCGCAGAGATGAAGCTGCTGCAACTGTGCAAGGGAGATTTTTTTTTATTTTGATGTCTGTAAAGAAATGTGTCGTTCAGTGTTGATTTCACTTGAGACTGAGATAACATTGTTCAAAATGAGACAAGCGGTACTGGTGAAGACTATATCCTATTTAGTCTGAATTATATTCAGACTATAAGGCACCTATGTTAAAGTTTGGTAATTCCAAATATTTGTTTACATAGGAAGTGCTATTCAAAATGGCCGATTGGGTAAAATTAATTTGCAAATTTTTACTTCAACTAGCTTTATTTCCACTAGACAATATGCTGTGTTACTTTTTATTGCATTTAATTGTACCTTACTATTTAATTGAAATTTTGTAATGTTTATTTTATTGAAAAAATGTTTCCTCCAATTGATAATTTTGTGCAAAAAATTTCACTGCAATTTCCACAGGAAAGTAGTACATCATAACAGACTGACTTCTAGTCAGTCTGTTGGATACATACTACAGTGGGGATCATAAAGAATTGCAAAAGCTATGAAAATTACATCCTGTCGCACATGTAATAAATTCTTACCTCAGTGTATTCAGTGCTCTATTTTCTCTCTCTAAGTAAGTCCAAATATAGTGGAATTTGTGTCCCTAATGACAAATAAGAACTTCAAAAGTTGAAGTGGATATTCACATGTTATGCCGACTCTTCAAATGTTGAGGTGATTTTGTCGCCCGATTGCGCTGGAACGGAGGATTGGCTCCCAGAATGCAACATGACACGTGCAAGCTTTCAAATGCTGTTCCGCCATTTTGGAAACCTTTCATGAGTAAATATGGTTAACTGATGTTGCATTCTGGGAGTCAACCGTCCTTGGATAACAAACATGGGGATTCATGAAAACATTTATTCGATTTGTTAGGGATTTATCCATTATTTGCAGGTATGAAGCTTTGGATTCATTTATTGTGCTACTTTAGTGAATGGGAATTATTTTTCTACCGCTTGGGAGAGTTTGAGACATGAAACTTGGAAATTAGCTCATTGTGACAACTTGTGAACGTTGAGTTTTGTTTTTGTCCCCCACTGTAGGTACTGGTGACTGAGAGGTCATTTAATTCATTATCGGTCCATATGCATGAATCTTGCATCAAACGCATGTACAAGTACGTGTATAATATCCTCGTTGTGATTGTTAATGTTATTCTGTGCAGAGATGAAGCTGCTGCGACTGTGCAAAGATTTGAGGATTTTTTATTTATTTATTTTGAAATCTGTAAAGAAATGTCTCATTCTGTATTATAAACGATCAGAATCATTACAAATTATGCCAACTTACGCTCTCAGCTTTGAGAATCCCATCTGCAAAAGAACATCTCTGTCACTCCTCGCTTTTTCGGCATTTTCAACGATGGATTGCTTCCGGATTCTAGGGGGTAATTCAACGGCGGCCATTTTTAAATTACCGGGAAACTCAAATCTACATTTTCGTTTTGTGTAATTTTTGTCATCCCCGGCCGGGGACATATAATGGGGGCATATGTTTTCACTTTACCACGGTCATAATGGTGAATAAATATGCTTAGGTGTTAAGGAATGACTGTTAGATTCATAAAAATCTAAATATATACAGGACGGCATATATTAATTCTTAAGCAAGAAAATTAAAAACAACTCTGTGTTCGGAAAATTGCTTAAACATCACCGTTCGCTTATCCAGCGCATCCTTAATTTGTTTTGAAGTTCTGAATAATTGTATCCTGTATTTAGGACGAAATGTAAGGTGACCAAATCACCTATGAGAATAGAAGGTATGTAATTGAAATCCTAAACGATTTGAGTCATGTATAAACATGTAGTTTGTGGATTTTAGCTAATTATTTTAGCTCTTTTCGTTGAATTTATTTTTCCAAAATAATTTTGCTAATTATTACAGTGGGTATCACAAAGAATTGCAAAAGCTATGAAAATTACATGCTGTCGCACATGTAATAAATTCTTACCTCAGTGTATTCAGTGCTCTATTTTCTACATCTTAGTAAGTCCAAATATAGTGGAATTTGTGTCCCTAATGACAAATAAAATCTTCAAAAGTTGAATTGCACATTCACATGTTATGCCGACTCTTCAAATGTTGAGGTGATTTTGTCGCCCGATTGCGCAGGATCGGAGGATTGGCTCCCAGAATGCAACATGACACGTGCCAGCTTTAAAAATGCTGTTCCGGCATTTTGAAACCTGTCATGAGTAAATACGGCTAACTGATGTTGCATTCTGGGAGTCAACCGTCCTTGGATAACAAACATGGCGATTCATGAAAACATTCATTCGATTTGGTAGGGATTTATCCATTATTTGCAGGTATGAAGCTTTGGATTCATTTATTGTGCTACTTTAGTGAACGGGAATTATTTTTCTACCGCTTGGGAGAGTCTGAGACACGAAACTTGGAAATAAGCTCATTGTGACAACTTGTGAACGTTGAGTTTTGTTTTTGTCCCCCACTGTATCTGATTTCTTCAAATGATTGATTGATTCATCAATTTTAACACTAGTCTTGTAGAAGGCTTTAGCATTTCAAGTTGATTTTTTAAATTTGGATATATTTGGAAACAAATATCCAAATTTTAAAAATCAACAAATATGCTAAAGCCTTCTACAAGACTAGCCAACCTGTCACAAATAAATAAGAGTTGGGCCAATCTGCGCGATAGGTTCGGTTTTTACTCGGTTCGGTTTTTCATTAATGGAAGTACTTCCTTCCCATGATTCAAATTGGTTTTCTGCGATCAGTTCAGTTTAAATTTGTATATCAAACGTCCACACATTGGGGGTCACTTAACATTCTGTTATTACACTTCTGTTCTGTGTATGCTTTTGTTTTTATACTAAACTATTATATTTCCGCAATTAAAGATGAATTATGGGTAGGGACTTCTGTGAATGAACGTAAGTGACATCTATCTTAAATTATAAGTTCTAACCTAGTTATTGATTGCGCATGCATTTAAATAATTTGAACCAATTAAATTGCTGGATTTTATGCGCATGTGCGAAAAACCGAACCAAAAAATGGAACCTTGCGCAGATTGTCCCTAGCTGGGGTAAATAAGATTATTGATGTTGCATTCTGGGAGTCAGTTCACCTTAGATCACAAATATGGCGATCCATGAAAACTGAAGCTTTGGATTCATTTATTGCCTTGATTGTGCTGCTTAAAGTGAACGAGAATTATTTTTCTACCGCTTGGAAGAGTTTGAGACATGAAACCATGGGCTTTCAACTAATTGAAAGCCCATGATGAAACTTAGAATTTAGCTCATTATGACAACTTTTGATGATTGAGGTTTTTAAATGTCTCCCACTGTAGTTTGATTTGGAAAAGGTACATGTAATGTGCCAGGCCTGTAGCCAGGATTTGCCAAGGAGGGGGGGGAGTTCAGTTTTCCAAATTTTCCAGGGGGGTTCACATTGACAATTCTGTCACAAAAATGGCTAAAATCTTGAGAAGTGCTTAAAATGGTGAAAAACTGCATGATTTTGGAAGAATTTTTGGCCAATGGAGCATTGTCGGATGATCTTCAATAATAATTCTTTGTTTTATATGGTTTCTTTATTGACGCTTCAAATTAGACGCATCATATATTATCGATGTGGTGATATATATTGTAAAAAATCTAACAATGCCCAGGATCTTCACCTTATACCAAGGTTTTTTTGGGAATGCCCCGTGGCCGAGAATGCCCCTTTGTCCTCTTCACCAAGTAAAAAGTTCAATTTTTATACATGTTTTTGGGCCTATGTCCTGGACTTTTTGCATGCTGAGCCATATTACAGTAATAATGAAAATGTACATCAATTTTGAACCCTCTGTCACACTAACACGCTGTTCAGAATGATCATCGAGGATCCTTGCTCAACTGACTATAAGAAATGTCAAAAGTGATGAATATTTCCATATTCATGATCTTCCATTGAAGATGAATGTAATACTTCAACATCTGATTGCATAGAATATGCATCATATGGATGTTAACCAGGCACATGGTAATTTTTATGTGGGACCAACTTTGAACCATTGTCTACATTAAGATATCTATTGATACCAATGAATATCTTAATACTCCTTAAAAGGAATACCTGTGGAGTAATCATTAATTATATCTAGCTTAAGCTAGGATTTATCCAATGTTTCACTTGAACAAATCAGAGTACTGTTGACTATATACCATATAGACCTACATCTTTACAATTCATCATTTAAATAGCAAATTATTGATATTCAATAAACACATGTAGTATTGAATTATCAGGTCACACACACTACTATACCTAACACCTAGAAATGCATAAGATACTTTGTTTGTCTAATTGGATTGTTTAGTATATTCTTGAAAGTACCTTATCAACATCTAACGTTCAACCGATAAACCATTAATAAGGAACAGACAAATAAAAACAAATATATAATCATTACTAATAAGCCAAATTCGTTGCTCATGAAAGCCAAATGCAAGGTATAGTAGAGTGTCACAGGTTCAGACAAAATGTTCAATACCTAAATTACTACACTCTACTATACCTTGCAATTCATGAGCAGCCCATTTGGCTTATTAGTAATAATTATGTATTTGTTTTTATTTGTCTGTTCCTTATTAATGGTTTATCGGTTGAATGTTAGATGTTACTAAGGCTTTAATACTTAACAATACAATTAGACAAAGTATCTTATGCATTTCTAGGTGTTAGGAATAGAAAAGTGAACTAGACTGCAAACGGTGTGATTATGATTGCCGAGATGAAATAGAGATGCTCAGTATATTGGATGTATTAGCTTATATAGCTATGCTCTAGCTAATAGGATTAGATGAAATTGTTAGGTATCTTGTGCTTTATCTTTTCATTGTGATATCATTATTATATGATTGCTGCAATGTTGGGGAGTTTTATTTAGGAGGGGGGGGTGATCATGATAAGTAATCTTTGAGCAGAGGAGAATTCAGAATCTAAACGTTGGTGAGGCAGTTATTTTCTAAAGTTTATATGGCGATGATGATATCCTGTTCACATTAATTATATACCTGGCCTTATTTGACATATTTGGTTTGAAATTACCTGTAATAGTTTAGCATAGCACTGTGAGTCCTACTTTGAAGCCTAGTAATTCATTTATCAACCTGTTTTATTAACACCAGTGAAAAACTTTGTTGCGCAGTACATGTCATTGAATGACATATAAAGCGATCTCCCCAGGTTTTTTATCCAAAAAGTAATAGATGCTTTTTTGTGGTAAAAATGTATCAATTTTTATACTTCTGACAGAGATTTAACAGATTTTTAACAGTGTAGCACTCAGTTTTTCTGAGATCATTTATGCTTGCAGTATGAGGTTTTGAATTCTGCTTCCACTTTAAAAATGGGGAAATGATTTTGAACAGTATATTCTGCCCTTATGTAAATACACACATATATAAAATATTACTAGATTCACATTAGTAAAGCTCACCATTTTATCAATCAATATATACCTACATACATGTGTTTAAACATTAAATGTAAAGTAAAGTACTACATGTATGTATAAATTCGATGCTACAATTCAATTCAGTTTATGGCTAAATAACCTGGATTCTCTCATATTTGAAAAGTAAAAGTTCAAATGTCTCAATTTATTACTCTGTTATTACTTTTATTGATATATTTTAGCTTTTAAAGGCAAATATTGCCACATTTATAAAAGTAAACCCAGTTCTTTTAAATGCAAATGTTTTTTACAAGTAATTCCTGATTTATTGGTTTTTAGAGAAAAAACATCAATTTTTCCATTTAGAGTCCTGCTGTATCTGATTCTATCTTTAATAAGCCATAAACACGAGCTGTAGAATATTTCATGCTTGAGTGAGTTTAGTACGAGTACAGTATGGATATGATTAACATTCCTCTTGGATATTGAAATATTATGCACCACTGCACCTGAATTTATAGTGACTCTTATTAAGGTAAGTTGATGAAAATACAACTTAATGTAAAACCTGTATAGTGAATACCTATGGAGCCACGAAAAAATGTGTTCACTACAGAGAGGGGATTTTATACAAGAATCAATGTAAAATGTGTCATAAAGTGGTGTTCACTAAACACAGGTGTTCACTAGAGAGAGGTGTTTACTAAGACAGGTTTTACTGTATTTAAGGTAAGTTGATGACTAAACAGCTATATATTAAGTTGATTGAAATACAGATTTAAATAATAACCTGTAGTGAACGCATATAGTCACAAAAAATGTGTTCACTGTAGATAACTAAGACAGGTTTTACTGTATTTATCATGGGCACTTCCATGATCTCATGATGCTTTGACTATCAGAGTTTGCAAAGCTGCCTTATTGCCATTGGCAATCAGCTGTCAACCCTCACGCATTAGGCATGATTGTCACACACTTGCTGGAAAAAATGAAATCACTCATCAATTTTGAGTGTATGATAAAATGTCACGCAAATCACGCATTATGTTGATATTTAAATTTTTTTTTATAAAATGCTGATACGGTAAAAAAACGAACGCCGAAAAAAGCGAACATATTCTGTTTGGTCTTTTCACTCTAATTCCGTATATGTCACGCATTTGGTTCAAAATATTTTTTACATCATCTTGGCTGACTGATTGCTAATCAGGTAAGTGTGTCAGTCATGTTTTCAACCATATTCCTCATCATGATAAACAATGACATCTCATTTCTTCTCAGCCTTTGTGAAACAGAAAGAGGCTATGAGTATCAGAATGCCTATTTCTGAGGCCTGGTTAGTTTTCCCAGTCGTGTCATAGCTTATATAATGGACTGTATAAGTGAAATCAGCAACAGATCAGCTCAATGTAGATTCTGTTCTCAGTATGGCAGGGTCTGGTTGTTAATATCAACTTTTTGTGTTTATAAATAATGTTTTTGCGATTTGTATTCATCAAATTAAAATGGATTTTTGTCATTCAGAAATTCAAAGTGGTATGAGATGATGTTATCCCATAAAATGGGATTATGTTATATCATGAAAAAAATAAAAGTAATGGAATATCATTGGATAAATGCAATATCATAATGATCTTGTTTGATATTACAACATGCTTACTCTATCTGATAGGATAACAACTGGTTCATAAAATGTAATTTCTCAAAACCATATGATATCACATACTTTAACATAGAGCTGGAATGACAATGTCCTGTAAATATTATAAAAATACAAGATGATAAACTATAATTTCCTCGTCCGTTTGAGGCAATATGTTGCACTGGTAGAACATGTCCATAAATCAAGCTTATACAGGTAATTTATTTTATACATTGCATTGTAAGCAAAACATGGTAATATAAACATAATAGAACAGGGTCCCGCATATAGCTATCAATTAATCCATGTTCTCTTAGATAATCGTTGTCATAGTCTATCAATGAGCTGAGCTTATACAATGTAGTCCTATTCGAGTCTCAAGGCAGTTCTATCGTCACATTCTCGGTCTTCACTGTGTTCAGCGTTCTGACCGATGGGAGCCGAGTGAACAAAGATGAGGTGGTTTTGCATGAAGGGAATTTTTGATTAATTTTTGTGATCATAATCATTGAAATTGATGCTGATTTTATACGGAAATCTTATTATAGAGAAAATATAGGGCAATCGAGAAGTAACGTCAAGGTGTTGCCATTTCAATACTGCTGGACCAATCTTCTTAAATCTTGTTACAAATGTTTCCTAAACATTATTGAGATAATACCGCAAGAAAAAAACTTCTACTATTTGATTGGTCCATTTCAATTATCTCAGGGGAACATATGTACCAGGTTTCAAAAAAGAGTGGTGCAGTAGTATTGAAATGGCAACACTTTTAACATTACTTCTAGATCACCCTGTATAGTGTACTTAGTTCATAATCAAATTATTTTGAGTAAACAGAATAATGAAACACCTCTTCTAAAATTCTTCAACATTTTTTGTGAAGGCATGAAACTATCTTAATGTTAAAAAAATATCAATTGACCTCAATTTCTCATTTCAGGTAACTTACAGATGAGTCCGACATAGCAAGTTGAATAGTTGATGCAGCAGAATCATCATCACCATGGCAACCTCATCAGATAAATCAGAGTTATTAGAGAAGAAAAAAGGTATGTTACTAATATGATAAATTATCTATAGCAATAGCATCTGTTTCTTGGTAATGGTCTATATATGTAACTGTTGCATACTTAAGATTACTGCAAGATTATTGGAATGCATATCTATATAATTGCATACTAAACAATATTATTGGAATGTGTATCTCTATAATTGCATACTCAACAAGATTATTGGAATGTGTGTTTAGTACTTTATTACTATTTTGTTTAATCAATGTAATCTAGATTGGAAAAACATTTTGCACTTTTGAGAATTAAAGCATAGTGAATATATTAATTACTTATATGATACTAATGAGTTTACTAAAAGCTTTAGTACAATACAGTTATTACACAATTTAGAGTATATTTAAACATGCAAATCGTTGTATGTTTCTCCATATTCATTCTCTAGATAGGGGGTGGGGGTCTTTATAATATGTATTATTAATAATATTTTTTATTACACAGTCTAGAATATATTTGTGCATACATGTTGTCATGGTGATGGACGAGAAAATATTTAAAACATGTAGCATGTTAAAAGAATATAAACTTTACTTAATATATTATAAGGAGAAAGGGGATAAAGGAAAATAAACAGGATCTCAGTGCAAGACTATAGATTTATTCCTCATAATATGATTTTTCCCTCTGGCCCTCCTGTTTCTTTGAAAAAATCGTATTTTCCCTTGGAATAAAACCCTTATTCAATCCCTCCCAATAAATAACCTTTATTTATGCCGGGGTCAATTAGACCAACGAATAGATTTGAGGTTCTTGAAGAGGAGGCTGCCAAAAAGCACATCCCAATCTTTCAGTTCCATTTTTCAAAAATTATATTCGTGTCTGTGGAATAAAAATTATGATGCCATATCTAAAAAAGTGAACTTCACTAGTCAAGTGTTGATATAGCAATCAGGCTGATTGGTTTTCAAATTGATATACACAGAGAATCCATTTATAGTTATTAGTAATTGGAGATATGTCTATAGTAAGGCTAATGTACTCAAGAGTACACAAGATTTGTTCAATAAATATTGATACAAATGTAGTATCTTCATCCATATATAATCAATTTACTGTAACTTGAAAAGCACATATTGTAATTGACCCCCCTCTTACTTACGCGATTTGATTTAGACGGAAAAAATGACAATTTTATTTTCTCTTTATTAAAAACCGCACCCCCTTGGAAAAAAGTGTCTTACGGGCCTGTTTAACATACATATTGTTTTCAATCTCTGAGTATCTCACCTTGAATGAGGGTTAACATGGAAGTGAGGGTGTTTGTATCAGTTTTTATTGAACAACCCTCAAACATGTAGATGACAAGTGAATGTTTTTGATCTGCATGGATTTGTATTAAACCATTGGGAATGACATGATAAACCATGGCATAGGTATCTCTTTCTTCTTTCAAGCCTCAAAATTTATTTGACCTGATGTGATTGTATTAAAATGATTGGGAATGTTTTTTTGAATAGTATCTTAGATTGTTAGGATGATCAATCATCAACAAATATGCAAGGCAAATTTAAATAAGTAAGAGAGACCTTAACTTATATATAAGAGCAACTAATATATAACACCTCTATTGACATTATTTATTAAAAGTGAAACAAAATATTTAAAAATTAATTTTACTGTAAATTGTTGGTAAGGTGCCTCAAAGAGGAGGAAATACTCCCAGAATTCATGGATGAACTCTTCTCTAGAGGTATCCTTTACATTGAAATTTGTTCATCCATGAATTCTGGGTATTGTCCTCTCTTGGTGCTTCACTTGCCTCCTCAGCTACAGTATCTATGGCCATTGAATATTTTAAAATCATATTCCGGTTAAATTATCTTTGAAATAATTTCTCAATAAAGATTATGCAGATGCCAGTTTATCAGAGGATGAAACTGTTGGTCTACTTCTTGATGAAGAACGTAAGAATTTATCAATATCAGAGTTTCTCATTAATTTGCCCATGGGCATTTATTTGAAAGAGGGGTACATCTAAAAGTAAAATCCCCTCTTTTAAAGTGCCAATGCACAAATGGGTGCATTAGCGAGAAACACCAGTATACAATCTCACAATCATGCTATATATGGTGTTGTATCACAGCGATCGTTTGCCTGGGGCTTGTATCTTGAAAATATTATGATTCACGATTTGTAGAATTCAGTTGTGTTTTATTATGTCACCACCAAAAGTGGTGACATATTGTTATGGTCTCCATTTTTTTGCGACGGCGTCCGGCGAATTGGAGGTTGGCGTCTGTAACAATTTCTTACAACTTCCTATAACTTAACAAATACTGTTTAGACTGACTTCAATTTTTTTCTAAATCATCTACATGTTCTCAGAAGTTCAAATCTGACTTTAGATTTGACATTTGACCTTCAATGACCTTCTCAAGGTCAAAAAGGTCTTTTTTCAACTTGCTTCACATTGACTAAATTTTTTTTCAAAATCATCTACACGTTCTCAGAAATTCAAATCTGACTTTAGATTTGACTTTAGATTTGACATTTGACCTTCAAATCTGACTTTAGATTTGACATTTGACCTTCAATGACCTTCTCAAGGTCAAAAAGGTCTGTTTTCAACTTGCTTCAAATTGACTAAATTTTTTTTCAAAATCATATACGTGTTCTCAGAAATTCAAATCTGACTTAAGATTTGACATTAGACCTTCAATGACCTTCTCAAGGTCAAAAAAGGTCAAAAAGGTCTGTTTTCAACTTGCTTCAAATTGACTAAAAAGTTTTTTTCAAAATCATCTACGTGTTCTCAGAAATTCAAATCTGACTTTAGATTTGACTTTAGATTTGACATTTGACCTTCAATGACCATCTCAATGTCAAACAGGTCAAAAAGGTATTTTTTCATCTTGCTTCAAATTGACTAAATTTTTTTTTCAAAAAATCATCTACATGTTCTCAGAAATTCAAATCTGACTTTAGATTTGACATTTGACCTTTAATGACCTTCTCAAGGTCAAAAAAGGTCAAAAAGGTCTGTTTTCAACTTGCTTCAAATTGACTAAATTTTTTTTTCAAAATCATCTACATCTTTTCAGAAGTTCAAATTTGACTTAACAAGTTCTCAGAAGTTCAAATGTGACTTTAGATTTGACCTTTGACCTTCAATGACCTTCTCAAGGTCAAAAAGGTCTTTTTTCAACTTGCTTCAAATTGACTAATTTTTTTTTCAAAATCATCTACATGTTCTCAGAGGTCCTTCTTAAGGTCAAAAGGTATTTTCCAACTTGCTTTAAATTGACCAAATTGTTTTAGGTGGTGACATTTTGTCATGTTAATGCCTTGTATTATATTGCCACTGTAATGAAAATAGGAATCTTGTTCTTTGATACTTTTGAGAAACAGCCCCCCCGCTTTGTATAACAAACATGGGATGCTTTTAAGTTAATTACATATATTGTGCCGGAAATTCAAATTACTTCATAATGAGAGTCCCATGTTCACCCCGGAATAGTCTGACAACGGTAAAGTCAGACACCATTGTCACAAACGGCGGACATAACTGTTGCTTCAATTAGATTTTCATGAACTATGTTTAATAGAGCACCTAGACTAAATTCCTTTGGATTAACAATCAATCAAAGTGTCTTATTACTCATTGTACAGTTGATAATGTTCTACCATTGAAATAAAGTATTTAATTTAACCAATCAAAATGAGATACGGGACAACGGACACTGTAATTACCATATGCCGTTGTCTTTCTAAATTACTTAAATTCAGATTCCGTTGTCATTGACAATATCGAAGACGCTTATTGTGGCGATTCACGACCCAATTTAATCGAAAATGGGATTTCATATGATACATTATCACAATAGCTTAATACATGCACAGAGTTAGCGACGATAAAATCCCATGAAATGAGGACCAAGTGATTATACAGTTGAAACGACGGTTATGTCCGCCATTTGTGACAAGGGTATCTGACTTTACCGTTGTCAGGCTATTCCGGTGTGATGTTATTTCATTTAGTCCTAAAAATGCTGTTTGAGATGGCAGTTAATATTCAGCTTTTTGAGCCATGACATCTTTTTGCTTATTAAGTATAACTTACAACTTGAACATAATATTACTGTTTAGTGATTGTTTAATTATTCCAACATTTTGCAAACACCTGGTAGGTTTAAAATTCAAATGGTTTTGTGGGAGAAGTTCATTTCGATATCCCCCCAGTAGTTCGACATGCGTGATTACAAACAACTAATTCTTAATCAATATAGTATGATAAAACTTGTGGATTGAAATTTCTGACCTTTTCAAGATTAAAAACATCATGTGTGTATACCAGTTCCTCTAAATATATTATAAACCAAAGCGTTCAGTTTTAGTTTATTCACGATCACGAAGTGGGAATTCTGTCTATGTATTTAAGGGATATAAACATTCGAAAGTAAGGCACGCATTTGTTGTCAAGATACATTTCTTTTATATGAAGATACAGTAGTTAAAATGGCAACATGTTTTTTATTCATGACATTTACAATTAATGATATTCATGAATGGAGTAGCAATGTATTTAACACAACAAAAGTGAATGTATTGCCATTTTCTAGTTCTTTTTTTTATCATTAAATTCAGTAAACATAGGCATTTATGTGAAACGATAGTGTGGTTCACAGCTGACTGTATAAGAAATTTACGCTTCGGATTGTCATTCTTTGTAATACTCCCCCAACAAGTAATATCAAAAGTTAAGGCATAAACACCCAAATACATGATATTTTAATTCAGAGAATGATTAAATGAACAGATAATCAGATAATATTAGAGAATAGCAGGAGCACCTACTAAGAGGACATATGCCAACATGCAACAATGGGATTGCATGCTACATTGTGACTTAACATTGCATGGTCCTGTTGAGGTTCTGAGGGACTTTTTTGCCCCATGTAGTCCAATGGGAATCAGTGGGCCTTTATTTGATGTATACAGTCCTATGAGATCCTATAGAAGGAATTAACATGCCTATGCCTAGCATGGGGTATCCATAAAATCTACATTATATGGAACCTTTGAACCTCAGGGGATAAATGGGACTTGGTGGTACTTTTATGGGGTATGGCGGGACTTTTAAGGGGCATGGTGGGACTTTTACTGGACATGGAGGGACTTTCATGGGGCACGAACGGACTTTGCCCCATTGGTGTATGTTGGGCATAAGGATAAATAGACACTCTTGATCGAGACCTTTGATTTTGTATGTTGATACCTAAAAGGAGGCACAATAAAATGTTATATTTTTGAATGCCATACTTCATATGTCCCTGATGGCTTCTTCAAACCATATAAAAGCTTATACAATGTAATAACAGTTTGGGTTTTGTAAGGTTGTCAATAATATAATAAGCGATGATGCCTTTAAATGTCAGCAGTAGTTATATAGAGAAAAGGAAGTTGATTTTTATCATGGTTAATCCCCCCCCCCTTTCCTCCCTTATTTGAAATGTGTGCTTTCACTTGTGAATTTTTCAAGAATTCAATCAACAGTCATTTGAAATTCAAGAATGGAAATTTACCCCACCCCCATATCAAAAAATTAACTGTTATTCTCCTACAGTAGACGTTTAGACACCATCCTTAAAATAGGTTTAAATGAGACCTCATGTGGGCTTAGAGCTTGATTGGGTAAAGGTTAATCTTATTATGGTTTAACCTCATTTCACTTGAAACTTTCAAAAAATCAAAATTATTCAAGAATGAAAATTTACCTCCTCCCATAGTAAATTAACTTTTATTTTACAACTGTAGACATTTTAGACAACATCCTTAAAATAAGTTTAAATGAGACTTCATATAGGCTTCGAGCTTGATTTAGTAACTGATGATTGTAGATCGAATGGACTTGAACACTGATGCGGGTAGGAAAAAATAACTCATTGTAGAAACAAATAGATGAATAGATCCTGAAACAATAGCATCCAAATTTTACTTTTTATATCAAACTTATTTCTGTTTAACTTTTACTGCACAGGATATGATACAATACATGCATGCAAATGTCACTTTTTAAATTCACTTGCATAGCCACATGTTGTTAACCTCTTGAATACCAGCCTCTAAAAAGGGTTTAAAACCAGAGCATTTTTCATTTTTTGCCAGTTTTGTGGATATTTACATAAAAAACACAATAGTTGATGTTTGATTTCATAAGAATAGTAAACATAGACCCAGTACATTCATTTTAAAACATAATTTGTGAAATTTGGATGAAAATTGCCCAAATAATAGCAGTTTTAGTAAAAAAGTCTGTGACAGATATATCTGTCGCTCTGGGTCCCAAATAGATTTTATTTGTGACAGATATCCATCATTCTGGGTATTCAAGAGGTTCAATAAGTGACTCACTGTATTTTTAAAATTCATGCATCCTTGTTTGGTATTATATGAAACGTTTGGCCATCTATTTTTAAAGTGCAGTTGGCCATATAGATTTGGATGTTGGATCTATGCATTTACGAACGAAAAGCATGCTTCAACTATACAGTATTACACAGCACTTTAGCAGTATATGTATTTTGTCTACTCAGCCTAATGAATTTCATTCATTGTATTTATTGGTATTACCCATCCCCTGAACACACCACAAGCTTCCATATGGTACTTGTAACACAACTCTCCTAAAGATTTTTTGTTTGGACGATTATTTACGATACCACGAGAAGTTCATGGTATGATCAGGACATGGATTTTATCTTTGATATTGTTATAGATTTATATGTGTATCAGATGTTGTTTTAATATTTTTGTCATATACCTTTCTTATAATATTCAAATAATCTATCATGTATAACTGAGAATATTTTTACTGCACTTTTTTCATCGTCATATAAGAATTGCATGATTGTTCGTGTTTTTATCTATTTTCTATTTATTACTTGTGATCATTCAAGCCTGAGGCCTTGGAATCATGTACATGTTGTCGATTTCTTTAAGAATTGTGTTTTTTTGTGTTAAATCTATCATCTTTAGCTTTATACTTGTCCTATTCATGTGTTACTGTAGTTAAATAATTTATATACATTAAGATCTGTCTAATCTGAATGCAACTGTGATAGGCCAAAAATTAAATGGTTGGATTTGCAGGTCTTCACATTTTACGTTTTTTTTTAAATGTATGAGTCAATGGAAGATATGAGCTTGAGACAAAGTGCTCACATTGAGAGGTGTTTGGATATACAGGTTTCACCAGGCCCGTAGCCAGGGGGGTTTGATGGGTTCGAGCAAACCTCCCTGGCCAAAAAAATTGTTCAAAATCATGCAGTTTTTCACCATTCTGAGCACTTTTTAAGTGATTTTGGCCATTTTTGGACCAAAATTGTCACTCAGGGAACCCCCTGGAATTTTTCAAAAAGTGAACCCCCTTGGCAAATCCTGGCTACGGGCCTGTTTCACTGTACAAACAATATACTACTCAGTACCACCATATGGGGAATATTTAAACATGTTACATCTTATTCCCAGGCCTCATGTGTCAGTTAGAGCAATAGATCACATTATTCCTTACAGCCACCAGTTGTGAATTTTCAATATTGTATTTTTTCTTCATGTTATTGTATCTTCTACTAGATATAGTATTGATTTCTATCTATTGTTACCATAGCAACATATAGAATAATGTTTTATTACATTGTGTTTACAAAAATTGATATTGAATCAGTCTACATGTATGCAATAACTTTAAATGTAAAAATGAAGATTTAACTAATCTATTGATTTTCTATTGAAATAGTTTGAAGTCATCTTTCTCATTATATATTTAATTTTCTAGATTAAGAGTCTTCATAGCTTTTGATTCTTTCTGTCTAAGTAAATAGGTTATTTGAATTTACTGAGACATTTTGCCATTCACTCTGGTAGTTTTACCAGGCCTGATCATTTCATTGGTGATAGGTGGCGTGGTATACCACAATTTTAAGGGCCAATGAAAAGCTACTGGACTGAGTGGCAAAACCTTTTTGTAAGTTTCAAATAATCTATCTGAGACACAAAACGTATAATCCTGAAGTAAGAATTACATATTAATTATATATAAATAATTGAAAATAAATAAATGAAATTATCAACTGATTTGTTGTAAAATTCATTGTTATTTCTCACTGACCTTTGCTTATCCCACCCTGTTTGGAAAATTAAAGATGTATTATATATGTCTATTCTTATAACCCATTTTCATGATTTCAGATTATGGGACTGGGGAGGCGGAGGCTGATGACGCTTCCCAAAATGGGACAACCAGTCGTGACATCAGACTCCGTGATGTCAAATTTGAAAGAGACAGAGAAGAGGTAGCGAAGAGTTACGAGTATACCGTTGAGGATGCCGTGGAATGTATCGGCTTTGGAGTATTTCAATGGAAGTTGATCTTCATGTGCGGCATGTATAGTGTAAGTCTTGCGCTTACCAGTACTTTGATTTCTTCACTTAAAAGAGAGCTTCGTCTATAATCTTTGAGTTAGCGATAATCCTGTTATCATGCCTTATCCAATCAGAACACTGAGAATATGATCCATCAAATTCCAGCTACCCGTCAAAATGGCATTCACTGAATTCTATGACTTTACGAGTACTGACATTCATTTCATAATGCAGCTCGTATAAAAGGCCATGCCAGCTACCTTTGGTGTATATATTTATTTGTCCTATTCAGAGGCTAATGCTAGGCTCAGTCACTTAGGGCACCAAGTCAATACTAGGTTGACTCATCATAGTAAAGCATATGATGATGTTCTAACGCATGCGCAAACTACAATGGACAAAAAACAAAATCTGAAAGTATAAGGGGGCGGGGTTCCCGGGAACACAAAGTTAGAGGCGGGAGATTCAAAAGTCATAAAAAGTCATAGAAAGTCGTATTTGGTCCCTTAATGGTTATAAGCAAATATGGGTGTGATTTTGATCCTTTTATTTTTGGTCTAGGTGAGCATTGAGCAAGGCAAGATGTTTGTAATTCTAGCTAAAGATGAAAAAACTAAAGCCAAAATGTTTTAAGGTATAAACTGTATGTTATTGAATTGTAGGCGTGTGATGCATTTGAGATGCTTCTCCTAGCTGTTCTCTCCCCCGTTATAAGATGTGAATGGCAACTGGAAGAATGGCAAGTCGCCTTACTCACAACAGTAAGTATTACTCACAGGGACTCACCATTGGTAGGTTCTAGATCTGAGGAATCTGCCTTGGGTATTGAAGCAAGTTGCTACCGCTCAAAATTAGAATTTGGAAAATACGCGGCCCGATCAGAAAGTAAGTAACCAACCGCTCTCATTTCTTCATACTTTATCCAATCACATTGAAATTTTCACACATGATGTAGAAAATATTAACCTATTAAAGAACACCAAGGACAATGGGTTAGCGTCAATTCCATTGTTATTGCTGTTGCTATGGTGACAATTGTTTTGGGTAGGCGGGGCACCCTGTTTAAAGTTGCGCTTGAAGATCATTTATAGAGTTTTTCTAGATGTTGTAATACCGCCAAATATATCAAATTTAAATGTGAGACTACATTTTAAGTTTAACACATAGTTCTTCAAATTAATCGCCACCAAAGTCAATGCCATTGAGGCAATGTTTCACTACGTCCGTAAAGAAGTGCAACATGACACCATTCAATGACTGTAAACTGCCATTGAAAGCTTAATGATGGCCTTATTGCTGTCAACAAATGGACTCTCCGTAGAAACATCTTTGCATTGGGAAAGAATTAAGTCACCTGGGGCCAGGTCTGGGGAATAGTGAGCCTGGGGTAGTTGTGTGGCCATGGAATAAGGCTTAATCAACTGTATCTGCGGTAATGTTGGCTCTGTGGAGGTGGACCATTGTCATCATGCCAGTAAAATCCCCCTTCAACAACATTTGACTGGATTGAAACTGTGACTGAATCATGACCATCATTATGACAGATATACCCTTGATATCTTTGTGTCGGTGACTTATAAATGTGACAATGGAGCGTAGTTACCATTGTCATAATACATAAAACAAATTATTCAGTCTTGCATAAAAAAAATGTCAGGTCACTTGGAGGAATAAAGCATGTAAAAAACTCTACAAACCATCTTCCAAAGCCGCTTACAAAAGGGTTCCCCGCCTACCCAAAACAATCATCACCATAGCAACAGCCATAACAATGGCATTGACACTAACCCATTGTCCTTGGCCTTATTTAATATGTTAATATTTTCTACATCATCTGTGAAAATTTCAATGTGATTGAAAGAAGTATGAAAAAATGAGAGCAGTTGGTTACTTACTTTCTGATCGGGCCTCGTAGTTGCCCCAACTTGAAAACGCACTTACTAAAGCTAAAAATTCCACACAGTAAAAACTATATAATCCGAATGTCACAGGGACTAGCTAAACATGTTCATTTCAAGTTTTTTAACATTTGAATCAATGGTGGATAAAATAATTTTGACTGAGAAAAAGTGTTCAGATTTAGAGGTGTTTGGATTAGAGAGGTGATTGGATATACAGGTTATTTAGTATTTTGATCAGTATTTGGTAAATTTTGAAAATGAGAATTTTAACCCACGGGAGAAAACCCTTGGTAGAACATGTACACATATTAAATATGTCGATAACTTATATGTATATTTGTATATATTATTTCTTTCTTTTTATTTATAGATTGTGTTTGTTGGGATGTTCATAGGGTCTCCTATCTATGGCAGCTGGTCAGACACGTATGGTCGTTTGCCGGTTAGTTCGTTTTGAATAAGTATTTCAAGAGATGGTGTCTTATTGTCAAGTGTTGAGGAAGAACGACATTAACTTTATTAGGAGGAGGGGTTTATGCTGATTTATAAGACTAAATGAAAAATAAGGGGTCTCCAGTCAAACATTTACATCTGGTGTTAATTCATCCTGGGGCCACTTTGACCATGGGGTTATTTCAACCATGGCCAATAATTCAAATTTTGAGTAAATTGGCCATCCATGACTAAGGTCTTTCAAGAAACAAACATGATGGACTGTGTAGATTGAAATTATAAGCCAATGTCTAAATAGCCCAATGACGAAGTAACCCCATACATTGAAGTTTGATTTTCGAAAAAAATTGAGATGAAGACCATCCCTAAGAATATTAGCAGCATACTCTAAATGCAGAGCTCAATAACTCATTAGCAAAATTTGACATAACAATACAGTAGTTTGGAACAACCTCTGGTAAACTTATTTCTCAATGCACTGAAATTCAAAATAATCCAAATGAAGTCCAGTATTTCTAAAAATTATCCTAAAAAGGAAGATGTGCCCCATTATTATTCATATTTAGCAAAATTTGGATTAAAACAGCTTAATTTGACAATTTTAGGATAAAAGAGGCATTATTTATTGAACATCCCTCATACTAACCCTGAAACATAAATAATGTTCATAAATACTCATTTTCAGGTTTTGGGAATTTGTGCATCATTGATGTTCTACTTTGGAATACTTACTGCACTTAGCCCCACCTATATTTGGATTCTCATACTAAGAGGGATAGTGGGCTTTGGATTTGGTGGAGCTGTCCAGTCGTATGTATTTATATAATATTTAATATTAAAACACGCACAATCCTAGAACAATTAACAAATAATAGGTTATGCAAAGCAAGAATGTACAAAGGAAGAATATGCAAAGCTGTTTCATATACATGTTTTCCAAGTTTTTTGAATTTACCCCTCAGAAAATGTGGAATACCGAGTCTACGAATAATGTTTAATTGATTGTTGCAAGGTCTTTTGGATGTCAATGCACTATCTATTTTTTTAATTTAATGCCCACGAAATACTGTCAACGTGGTTGTATGTGGTCAAAGTCTCAAAATTTGTTAGCGTTCTCATTACAGCAAAGGCCAATGACTAAAGGAAAAGTCAAGGTCACAGTCAAAGGTCACGGTCAATGTCACACTGTAAGATCAAAGTCAGAGGCCAAGGTCAGGACTCGGGGTCACATTGTAAGGTCAAGAACATAGTGCAAGGTCAAAGTCACATTGTAAGATCAAGAACATAGGGCAAGGTCAAAGTCACATTGTAAGATCAAGAACATAGGGCAAGGTCAAAGTCACATTGTAAGATCAAGAACATAGGGCAAGGTCAAAGTCACACTGTAAGATCAAAATCAGAGGACAAGGTCAGGACTCGGGGTCACATTGTAAGGTCAAGAACATAGTGCAAGGTCAAAGTCACATTGTAAGATCAAGAACATAGGGCAAGGTCAAAGTCACATTGTAAGATCAAGAACATAGGGCAAGGTCAAAGTCACATTGTAAGATCAAGAACATAGGGCAAGGTCAAAGTCACACTGTAAGATCAAAATCAGAGGACAAGGTCAGGACTTGGGGTCACATTGTAAGGGCAAGAACACAGGGCAAGGTCAGGGTCAAAGTGTAAGGTCAAATTCACAATGTAAGTTCAAGGTTTCATGGTATGGTCAGAATAATTGGGCAAGGTCAGGGTCACAGTAGAAAGTCAAAATCACAAGGCAAGGTCAGGGCCAGGAACATAGGGCAAGGGTCAAAAATACAGAATAAGGTCAATGTCATATGGTAAGGTTGATGTCATATCTTTATATTTGAACACTTTTGGTTCATGCAGTTGGGTTTGAATTTGAACACACCCTATACCCACATTCCCTTCAGCCTTTTCTCCATTATAGAGTATTTAATCAACCCTAATCATGCAGCTTTACCCCCCTTGCAGAATAATTAATCAACCATTTTTGAAGCTTCACCCTCCTTGCTGAATACTTAATCAACCGTTTTCTTGCAGCTTCACCCTCCTTGCAGAGTACTTACCTCGTCGTGTGAGAGCAAAAGTCTTAATTTCATACACGGTAAAATGATTTGCTATTTCTGAACTATCAAAAATACCTGTATATGATTATTAGTTATGAATGTACTGTACAGTTAATTTAAGGCACGTTGAATGAAATCTCTCGTGTATGCTTATTGCTAATTGGCTGAAGGACACCTAGCAAGATCCCAGAAATATAGATAAAACAATGACGCCCTTACCCGTGCCTTCCCATGCCAGATTTTAATAGTTAAACCATGAATCAATACATTCTATACAGATCTGGAGATGTCTGGGAATTTCAAAATAAAGTAAAATGTCAAGAAATCTTGTGATAAAAATGTGTGGAGAAATGTCAAGAAATTTTGTAGCACAGTTAAAAAGTAAAGACGAAAATAATAAGAAGCCTGTTTTAGAAAAAGTTAATAATGATAATTTTAAAGTAATATACTAAACTGTAAAACCTGTGTAAGTGGAACACCTTTGGTATCTCTAAAAAGAGTTCCACTTAGGGAAGTTCCATCTCATGGACTATAAAGAGGTTCATTTAAAATAAATTCAAGAAACTGAAAAAAGTGTTCCACCTACAGAGGTCTTCCACTCACAGGGGTGTTCAACTTTACAAGTTTTACTGTAATATTTTTAGGCATTTTGGGCTGCTGGTAGCTGTGTAGAGATCTTTATGGCTTTCTTAGTCATTCCTACCCTAGGCTGGCGCTGGCTTGTTGGCTTCTCTGCTGGACCTATGCTCATCATGATTATTTTACTCTATGTAAGTACTCGTCTTTGTTCACCTTTAAAGTCAAGTGTAAAATTTTGCAGTATTGATCAATATTTGGTCAATTTTGGAAAATCAAAAATGGTGGTGTAATGACTCGTCTTTGTTCACCTTTAAAGTTGAGTGTAAAATTTTCCTGTATTGATCAATATTTGGCAGTTTGGTCAATTTTGGAAAATCAAAAATGGTGGTTTCTCTTGACCTTTTAATGTTCTAGGATGCTCATTTTAAAATTGTGGCAATTATTTTTCAAGGTGCTTAAGATGTTGAAATATTTTTAAAGGAACTCCAATAGGCCTATAAATTTAACACTTTCAAATTAAACATTTCCTAATTTGAAACCATAAAAGTTGGAGATTAGGGCATAAGTAAAAGCCATGATCATAGAAAGACTTAAGGAAATGCAACACTTAAGTAAAATACTTGAATCTTCAAAGGGTCAAAAACTTGCAAACTTGACTTCTTGTTAGTTATAAGAATCAAATGGCCCAAGGGGTCTTGAAAATTAAAAATCTAAAATGCAGGGACTCCTAATCAGACACACTCCACAATTACATTTTATTTCCTGCTTACAGTGGATGCCAGAGAGTGCTAGATTCCTGATGGCGGCAGGGAAAAGAGACAAGGCACTACAAGTCTTACAAAGGATGGCCAGGGAGAACAAGTCTAAACTTCCTGATGGTGCATTGGTAGAGTCACAAAAGGTAATTGGTCGCCTATACTCAGAGAAGGTGCTAATGTTTATAGACGAGAATCGAAATACCTTTCACCATGGGCTTTCAAGAGCGAGTTAATGTCAGTTTTGATCCAGTTGCAAATTTTAATATTCAGGAAGGGGAAGATTAGAACTTTTTTGTGGACAGTATTGGTGGTTGGCGATCAAAGGTCTGCCTCTAACAGGCAGGTGTTGACATTTTGCATTTGAATGCCTTGTTAATAATTGTTTAATTTGTGTTTCAGCTAAAACGTGGTCACTTCACAGATCTGTTCAAAGAATACACAAGTACTACTCTGCCTCTTTGGATGTTATGGTTCTGTACAGCTTTCTCTTACTATGGGGTTATATTGGTACAGGCTCAGATACATGAGTTTGCGAAAACTTGTGGCACAGGTTAGTGTCAGTGGGTTTAACACAATCTGGGAATTCACAGATAGCATGCTGACAAAGTATATGTGTGATGGATAGTAAATGCATTCTGTGAAGTGAGGAATTAATTCAACTATAACTAGTGTTGTCGAGATGTGCCATAATCGTACATCGATGCATCGGCAATTTTCAGTAGTAAACATCGATGCACATCGCGATGTACATCGAGAAAAAGTCAGACAAAAGTTCACTGAAATACCAAACGCTAATGCACTAAAATACCGAACAGAACAAATTAATAAGAGTACGCTGGTACATCCGGGAACTTCTAGTAATGGTGAAATGAAAGTAAAGTAATTCTTTTAGATTAATGGTTCATTTTGACTAGCTAAAACAGTTTTAAAGCGAAAGAATTTCAGAAAACATTGGGAAATGAAATAAGACATGAGAAAGGTAAGCGATTTGCGTCAAAATAAGATAAGAAAGGGTGATTTTTAGCAAATTAAATTTTTTTAAAAACATCGATGTTTTGTGACATCGATGCATCGCCAAAATCAGCTTTGGCAATGTATATCGCGATGTATCGATTAATCGCGACAACACTAACTTTTCAAGCCTGGATTTGGTTTCAAATGAGTGATTATACAGGCCCGTAGACAGGGGGAGCAGAGCCGGGAGGGAGCAGTTGCTCCCCCCTGGCCAGAAATACTTCCAAAATCATGCAGTTTTTCACCATTCTGAGCACTTTTCACATGATTTTTTGCCTAAACTGTCAAAAAGGTCCCCCTTGGCAAAAGGTCTCCCCTGGTAAAACCGCTCCCCTCAGTAAACCCTGGCTACGGGCCAGGGCCTGTTATATTTCAAAAGGGTACAGTATTGGCTCATTTTACTCCTCTGAAGTGATAGGAAAGAATATCAGATTTGGTGCCTGGGTTACACTTCAGAAATCCTTTTTTGTCAAAATGCTTCATATGATAAGAGAAATGCCCTTTTTGTTGTACATTAAAATTTTCATATGTTTTATTATTCAGCCGATGTGATTCCACCAGGAAAAAAAATCTTTTACCTTTCATAAGTGAAATGCCCTTTTTGTGCATTGAAATTCTCATATGTTTTATTTTCAGCTGATGTGATTCCACCAGTTGGTGATTGTCATTGTGCACATTTACTGGATAGTGCTGCATATAAAGCAATGATTATAGCGACATTGGGAGAATTCGTATGTAAGTATGTCTAAAGTAAAACATAATATGTGTTCAGTGAACACCTCTTTTAAGTGAATACTAATGTTTATTCACATTTTTTGATATCCCATTGACACTTATCACTATTTTTCTCAATGGCAGGCCTAGTATACCCATGTAGAAAATAATGAATTCCTGGTTCTAAAATGGGGTTCAGCTTTCAGGAAATGAGAATTAATTGGAAGGATGAGCTTAATTCATATTTTGGAAAAATGCCCAAAATTTTTTTTCAAATAATGAACCCATATGTTATGCCCTCTCCTTATCAATTTAACTCACCCCTTTGATGCGTACATTTGAAACAATATGTTCTGATGATTGTAACAATCCATTCCCATGATCTATTTAGCTTCATATCCCCAAACAGGATTTATTTCACGATCATAGTCATCATAAAAGCTTTCAAACATACCGTTACAGTTCAAAATTTTCTACAAATTTCTACAAATTCCTGAGGGCCAAGCTTTCATTATGTTGGCTGCTGAGAGTATTACTATCATCACCACCTATATTGAAAACTAAATAAAAACTTGGATAATGACCGCTATGGCCTGCCAAAATTGCTCAAGTCGATATAGTAAATATATAAGCCTTCTAAACGAGTACTAACACCCAGAGAACAAGCCTTGGAAAGTTTTGATAATTCACTTTTCTGTATAATCATGAATGTCATTTTTGTATTTTCAGGCATTCCATTCAATATAATAGCATTAGACTGGATAGGAAGAAAAAGGTGTATCTCTATAAGCCTGTTTTGTGCGTCCATCTTGTTTTTCTGTATACTCATCTGTACACCACCAATCGGGACTACTATATTTATATTTGGTATACGAGGATTCGCTACATCATTGTTCAACTCTGTATATATCTACACAACAGAGGTGAGTACTGAGAAGTCTCATAGGTCGAAATGGGTCAATGGGTGGAAATATGGGAGTTAAAACCTACAATTGTCTGTGTGTTTGGTGGTAAATACTCACATTGTGAGGATTTAATTCAGATGTGACCTAGACTATTTTCAAATGAGAATGCATTGAAGTTCGTGGTGCATTTCATTCTATTAAGTGCATTCTAGCAAAAATTCAAATAATTTCATTATGAAACCAACCTAAAAATTTGCCAATTCAACAATACAATACAATACAGGTGATTTCAATTTTCTGGTGACCTGGCACTTGCTATTTCTGTTGTAGACACAATTTGTAATGTGTAATGTGTGAACATCAAATCAATGCTATTTTGTAAATATATGTCCAACTCATTGACTTAAATCATGGAAAATAATGATTGATGATCATCTCCAACCTCTGAACACAGGGCTTAAGAACTTGTTCCTCCGTCAGAAGATTTCTTGATACGACCATTACTTGCAATTCCGACAAAACCATTGTCTATTTTTGACGAACAATGACTTGTGACTAAATCATAAGTTAAAATTTTTCCAAAAACGGACCTCAAGATCATTGAGCTCTGTAGTCAGAGAATGAATCACCTCTGGTTGCAATTAGGAAGCATGTTTTTCTTAGCTTTACTAATTAAGCTGTTTTCTTGATTAGGTTTACCCAACTGCAGTGCGATCTTTAGGTCTAGGGTCTTGTAGTGCAATGGCGAGGTTAGGGGCAATGACCACCCCTTTTGTTGCTCAGGTATGGAAAATCATTGTTGCTATTTTCATCATTTGAAACTATTTATAGTTTATCATTTTCATCATTTTCTGAGTGCCAAAATAAATAATTAGCGTATTTCTGTAATTAGCGCTGGGCATTTAGAAATTTCAAAATACCTGCAGACCATTCTAATAAGCATCAATATATGAAGGAAGTTAAAAGCCAAAAATGTATGTAATCGTCAGAAGCTCATTATGATTATTTTCACTGACATCAGCAGAAAGGATGATGAATAATCAGCTTTCATTATGTAATTTTAGAATTTTAGCCGCTGTAATTCTGATCGAAATTTTTAATTGCCCCAATATATGTTTTTTTTGTTGTAGGTCTTGTTGAAGCAATCCCTATTAGGGTCTATATGTGTGTATGGGGTTCTGTGCATGATATGTGCTGTAGTAGCCTGTTTGTTACCCATAGAGACAAAGAATAGAATGCTTCTGGTATGTAAAAAACTCAGTATCAAAAATAGTAAAAATGCTCTGTAAAGTTATGCTGTTTTTATGTCACCACCATCAATATGTTGTGACATATTGTTGTAGTCTCCAATGTTTTTGTTGAAGCGTTTCGTGTTCAGCAAGCAGTGTTCAGTGTCTATTATAAATGGCAGGTGGTGACATTGCGTAAAGTATGGTATAAGAGGTAAAAGAGAATGCCCAAAACAAAAGGTGTAAAACCTTACAAGGAAAAGATACAAGAGGACTTAAAAACCTTTGTTTGAACTTTTGATTAATATGTCTGTTCCTAAGGAAATGACAGATTTTTCTTCTTCCAGCAAACTGGCAAATAATTAAAGATCTTCAATCTGCAACAATACAAGCTGCAGTTCATCTGGATGGGCTGCGATCTAAACTGAAATACTGCAGCTCAACCAGAATGTCTGCAATCCAACCAAAATTTCTGCGGTCCAACCAGTATTTCTGCGGTCCAACCAGATTTTTGCAGTCCAGCTAGAATTTCTGCAGTTTAGCTCTTTGTCAACTACAATTAATAAACATTTTGAATAAATCATTGTAAACATACTCATTGAAGGCACAGACCTATGATATACATGTATCACATTACATCAGTGAATAACCTATTTGTCAGATGTGTAGTTTATTCCACATGGGCTTTAGAGGTATTAAGTTGTTGTCTGTGTAAGCATCAAGGAGGATTGCCTCCCAGCATGCTTTGCTGTGCCGATTCTTTGACATCATGGAGGTCATGACCTCATGATTCACACGTGACATCTTACAGAATGGCATAAAGGACCAATTTAGTAATTATATTACCATATTGTCATCTCGACTATGAACTTGGTCTGGAGATGACCAATAGGCCTAATACATGTAGTAGTATTATTACCAAATTGTTCCTTGCCAGGCAAACGAGGACTGGGATAGAATCTTGGTTATCTGTCCTCTTTAAAAATCCATACAGTATGTCTAGCTGTATAGTCTCTAATGTAGTTCATACATTAGGCTGGGAAAGTGGTCATTTTACCAAGAATTGTGATTAATGATAGATGAAAATTATGATGAATACTTTGTGATATGTTGTGATAGATCTCATAACAACAATTATAGTGTTAACATTAGTGTTAAAAATTATATTGTTAACATCTATAGTGTTAACAATTATAGTGTTAACATTTATAGTGTTAACAAATATAGTGATAACAATTGCTATGGCTTTATGAGTATCCATGACAACAATTGTGTTTAAAGTACTTTAACTTTAAACACATCCAATTACAAACATACTTAAACAGTTATGAGTAACTATACTGAGGCCATCTCAGAACTGGTGCAGTAATCTCTAGATTTCTTAATATTTGTTCTTGTTAATGTATTTTTCCTGGTTTCAAATTGTATTCAGATTAATAAGAGTGCTGTAATTAGAACAATTGAAATGATGAATTATTACTATTATGGCAAAATATTGTATTATGCTTCTTTCAGGCTCAACAAAAGAAATACTCCTGTTCTTAATTTTTTCAACACACCCCCATTCAATAAAAAGTAACTAAACATAGTTTTGAAGTTTTGAGATGTTAGAGACTGTGTTTTTGTCTGAGAAACTCATTCAGGTTTTTGGTTAAATCTCACAAGTTATTTTGGTCTAACTCACTGGTTCTTTGATTGATCAGCCCATAACATGGATTTAGAAAATCACTGTCACACTCAATTCAATTCAATTTTTATTTATTTATCTCATAATAAATAAATTATCCAACTTTTTCTGGATGGTGTTCAGCATTTGATGTCTGTAACACTTTGCAATAACTTTCAAGATGGTGACAATTTGTTATGTTATACCTTGTTGAAAAAGTGCTGTGTGTACATAAATCCTGATGTACTAATATACATTCCACTATAGTTATCATATCGTAGCCTAGCCTGAAAAAGAAAGCTTACAAATAATTTGTTTTGAGCTGATGTTCAAATCATTTTAAAGAGTATAAATTAATATCTACATCAATAGCCTAATCTGCAAAAGGCTACAAAGCCCATTTAAAGCAGATATATGATTTAAACCTTAACATTTATAATAATAACGAAATGCATTCTTGAAATAATATAGCAGTCTATATTGATTTAATATGATGCTCCAATATATGATATTCTTTTTTGATCAGAGTTCTTTTGTCACATTCTGTGTTTCTATGGTAACAGGACAACTCATCCCAAGACAACTGTCTTGGGATGAGTTGTCTTGGGATGAGATATCTTGGGATGAGTTGTCTTAGGGATGACTTGTCTTGGGATGAGTTGTCTAGAAACCTCTATACTCTTATTCTACCACTACCAGACTACACTGATATCATCTCAACAAATCAAGGTCTCGAAAGACCAGAATTCACAATTCTCTTGATCACCGAACCAAATACAAAATATCTGCATGCTCTCCCAATTGTCAACAGGGGTGAATGTTTCGTGACATGACATTGATCTTTTAGTAAAACTTGACATACTAATTAATTAGCCTATTGAATCTCATATTTTTGTCACATGTTACATTGTTAATGTATATACATTTTATATCAACCATTTTATGATCTATATGTTTATATTATGTGTTAGTTTGAATAATGTACAGGTATATTGTAGAGAAATAAATTATACATGAATTATTTAAATTAAAAAAATATTTTCCTATTGATTTATTATTATATATTTAATTATTAGGACCACAAACAAGTGGTGTATGGCTCACATAATGAACCTATGAAATAAACTACTTGTCTGTTTGTCCGTCCTTCATTCTGATAATGTACTGTACGGCCGGTATTATTCGCGAGCTTTAATTTCGCGAATTTTGCGAAAACACGGTTTCGCGGCTATTAAATTTCGCGAATTTCACAAGTTTGAAATTCATTATTCTCGGAATTCTCAAGCTAAATTACTAGTAGATGTACAGTTATTGCACTTACCTGATGTCATAGTTGGATCAGAGTTACAATAACTGGGATCTTTATCATCGGCAAGCTGCATATCAACTTCTATTATCGCATCGTTAATTTCGGTCTTATTTTAAAACGAAAAAGCAGTTTGAATTCGTATTTTGTATTACTAGTAGTTATTCGAATTTTGTACTCACAACATCAAGAATTCCCGGGGATTTAATTGGCAATTTTGCGATGATAATTTTTCGCGATTTTGACACCATCGCGAAAAGCGCGAAAGTTAATCGCACGCAAATAATACCGGGCGTACAGTACATCATTTGCCTTGAGCTTGTGAGAAGGGTTGACCTGCAGAAGTAGACAATGGAATCTTGAATTACCCCAAACCTGAGACTAACACTAACCATTTGAAAGTATGATTATGATAGGGACATGTACAAGGACACTTCGAAGAGTAACATAAGTGAAGCAAATTGTACATCATGATTTTGGCATACACCTATTCCATTTTACATCAATAATCTGCAAAAAGCCTCTCTAAGTAGAAGACCTCAATGTGTGCAAAAACACTTTCCACCATCCACCAAGCTATTGACTTATTGTTAAATAACTTCTGTAAGAGGAACATCTCCCGATGGAACACTTTTTAGGTGTTCCATTTACACAGGTTTTACTGTAGTCCCATAGCAGATCTATAAAGTTCCCGGGATATAGTTCCCATAACACACAGGAAGTCCTATTTGGTCATTTACAAAGGTTTTTGTCAAGGAATGGGTTAAGAAATGTTTAAAAAGTGCTCTAGAGTATATTAGTCTCAGGATGTACTCAAGGACTACCAGACTACTTCATTACCTGGACCCGGTGTGAAAGAAATTAAGGTCCCCCTTTTTAAAGGCCCTTACTGGCCCTGATTGTGTATAAGATAATAAGAGAAAGAGGTCACCATATAAATCAATGGAGATAGGACCATAAAGAGGTAGTGAAGGTACGCAACGAACGAAATGAATTTTGAGAATGGTTTTTACATTCAAAAATCCCGGGAAAGTAATGATGTATCGAACGAAAAGCCTAATTGCACATGCGCGTTGTCAAATTTTATTTCCGTTTCCGGATTGAATTTTTTTTTAAAATAGTTATAAAACTGAAACAAACCCCAATTTGCTACTACTTACTGCAGTTCTAAGTCTCATCAGGTGAGTTTAAACATATATTATGTCAGGATGTGTTGATATAAAGTATAAATAGTACATAAACCAGTACTGTCAACCCCCAAAGATTTTCTCGCGGGACAGATTTTTCAGACCCTGTGCCAAAAATTCGCGGGATTTTGCGGGACATCCACCTAAATTCGCGGGATTTCGCGGGACATTTAAGGGATTTGCGTGATTGCGCTAAAAAGGTCAAATTTTGATCAAATATTCGCGGGATTTCGCGGGACCATTCGAGGGACAAACACGTTACTTGCGGGACAGTTAACAGGTTAACCACCAATTGCAAAGACTTCATAGAGGGATAATTTTTTTAGACAAAGTGCCTTAAATTCGCGGGATTTTGCGGGACATCCACCTTTTGCGGGATGTCGCAGGACATTCAAGGGATTTTTTATGTAAAAGTACTCTTGAATTATCAAACTTTCAGATACTGATTTATCAAATATAATGCACTTAACTTAAGTAAACGTCAACACGATTCCACACAATACGCATAGAACTATTATTAAACTATCAAAAAACCACGCTTTAGGTGTGAGTACCGTAATCCGACACGAAATTCAAAAACTTATTCTTGTGAATACTTTGCACTTATGGCGTTCGTGACCAACTATGAAACATTTACCCCCATAGTGTTATATATCAAAATGTACCTATTCATATAGGGGTTCGATTATTCTACATCAAATTATAGGGAGTCAGGTTTCTTTTCGAGATATCAGTGTCCATTTATTGGAACTCGCGTTTGCTAAAAATTTTCAGTTCTGAGATGAAGGCCGTGACACGCGTAGTAAAAAGGCCAACGTTGGAACTAATTGTGACATACATCCCTATTTCCGTAATTAAAATGAAATTTGCACTCTTCCTCTTTATTTTGATACCAAACGGCATGCTAGAAGCCAACTATGGTGTTATTTGGATCAAAATCATAGTTTTACAAGTTAAGTGTACTATGCTCTTTCCAAAAACAGTCTCCGATGATCTGATGCACTGGGAGTTCGGCAGCACTTTTCAAATTAGGTAAACTTGACTCCTCAAAAGTGCAAAAAGCTTAGCTTCTTATATCACAAGATAATCACAATTATTTAGCCTCGGGGATTGTTACAATTTTGAAAATTCGCGGAGGTCAAAGCCGTCATTTGCGGGAATTCGCGGGACATTGCGGGACACGCGAATAAGCCAAATTTTGGTCAAATTCGCGGGATAATCCCGCCATTCGCGGGACACTTGACAGCTCTGATAAACCATCTGCGTCTTGCAGCATTTAGGAATATTATCCAAAAAAAAATTATTTTTTAATTTTTAGTCTTTCGACCCGTCCTTCAGCCAGGCATTACTCTAAGGGGAAACACAGCCAAATGCTGTAACATGTGTTTTCCCATGCAAAAGATCTGTCTTTTACAGAAATTCAAAATCTGTGCCCATGTTTTGCTATCATGTCATCATATAAAAGCATATCATACAGTGGTTCACATCTTTGGAACAAGCTTGATAAGACCGTCAAAGAGTCTGATTCTGTAAACTCTTTTAAGAAAGCATATAAACAAGTGTATCAGATCAGAAAATGAAAATCATGTAAATGCATTTTAAAGACATTGTTCCTTATATTTATTATGTTATTCTCTTATAAGTTGTTCTCTATGTTTCATGTAAATGCATACTTTGAAGATGCATATATATCAAATTGTTCTATATGTCCTATATATCTATTTGTATGTTTCTATATTTATTGTACACATTGTAAATAATTGTAAATTATTACTGGGCCTCTAGGAAGACCAGTTTTTTGCACTGATAGAGCTACCCAGAATAAATATAGTTTTCAAATCAAATCAAATCAAATCAAATCAAATCAAATCCAATTTTTAATGTGTTTTCATTGTTTTTTGTCGACTGGTAGGGTCTGGCCGAGCAAATGGCAAGATGGATGACCTTTGACCTCACCTTGACCGATGGTGATCACGTCATCAATATTACCAAGATGGGATGACGAGTTAACCTATCTCATAGTTTGCTATTTCACAATAAGATAAAGAAATGTGTTAGGAATTCGCTTTTATCAATTAAAACATCACATTGACATGTGGTATTCACAATACAATATCACACACGAGATACACGATGATACGATATATCCACTTCAGTTGATGTAACTGGGAAATCAAGCTGAGAAATCTGCTTCGTTAAGGATTTTTCCAAATATTTTAGTTTCACTTTCAGGTATTTCCCCAGGATTTTAGAAACATTATCAGTATCAACGATTATCGGTAACAGCAAGGTAATTGAGGTCTTTACCGGCAGTGAGATCCATTACCGTTGCAAGCACTAATTTGACGTCCGTGATCCAAGTATGTGAAAAAAAATTTAATCAATTTTCAAACTCCACACAAGAATCAAAAGATCTCACCTGTTAAATACGCCATCCATAGAAAATGTTGAAAATTGTCATTCTGATTTTGACAGATGGAGGGAAGTCAGGGGTTTCAATAAATATTTTTTCAACAGGCGTTTGGCAATTTCAGCAGGCTGAAATTTTTTCAATCATTCGCCGCTCGCTTCGCTCGCGTTATTCTTCGCTCGCGTTCTTCTTCGCTCGCGTTCAACTTCGCTCGCTTTCTACTTCATTTTTGGAGGTGCTCGACTCAATATATTGAAAATAAAAGCATATACAGGGTCCCCATATGTAAAATCATAAAATCAATATTTTCCTGCCACTTTATTGCAAACTGTATATTTGATCAATTGATCTCTTTGACATGTTCATTACTTTATGTGTTTTTTAAATGTTGCCCCTTGTGCTTCCTCACTGTGATGTAAAATATTGAAATCAGTATTTTCCTGTCACTTTAATGCAAATTGTATATGAGCAATTGATTTCAATAAAGTAGATCAATACATAATTTGATTTTTAATTA